CTCTCTCTCTCTCTGTTTGTTATCTCGTTATGTTGTTATCTTTCGTACGCACGCACTTCTATATATTTCGAATGAAATGAATGGAAAAACCTATGGCATAGGTCCTATGCGTACCGAAAAAAAAATTCACTGCACATGAAATTTTTGTTGTTGTAAAAAATTTCGATTCTCATTTTGCCTGGTTAGTTAGTTGTATGCTACAACAACATAGGAGAATATAACAACATACAGAATATATTCTGTATATTAGAGAATTTTCATTTCAAGTTTTTTTTACGCGCGCCATTAGTTTCATTTGATATTAGTTTTTTTGTTTTGTTTTTTGTTTTTTGTTTCATCATCATCTTCTTCGGGTTCCTACATGACTGAATGTTGAAGTGTTTGATGTGTGTGTGTGTTTTCAGTGAAATTTCGCGCTCAAAAATATTAAAAATTCACCATTCTCTTCATCATCATCATCGATGATTGTTTGTCAATTTTTCTTCTTTTGCTTTCTATTCCATGTCAAAATATCAATTTTTTTCCAACAACATTTCAAGGAAAAAATTACATATAATTTTCATCTCAAACAAAATTTTTGACAATTCAAATATTGTTTCCAACGATGAATTTTTGAATATATTTTTTTCAAACAAGATAGTGAAAGAGAGATAGTGAGAACTACGTGCACCAAAGAAGTTATTTACAGAATTCATTTTCTACAACAACAACAACAGCCAAACCAAACAATTGGCAATCTAGTCACATACATTCGGTGTATGTGTGTGTGTGGGTGTTTTTGTGTTGAATCGATTTATTTTACTCCAGAATTTTTTTTTATTGAAAAAATAAATATAAATTTTTATTATTTGAACGTCAAATATTATAATCGATCTATCGATCGATCGATCGATCGATTTTTTCTATTGTTACTTACTTGGTTACGAATTAAACTTACTACCCTTATATTTGTTTTTCAAAGAAGAAAAAAACCAATAAATTTTGAAAAAAAAGTTTGAAAATTTGTCAATTTACCTGTTCATTTCTTACCTGTTCATATTTCATTGCTTTTTGTTGTTGGTCGTCTTCAGAATTTTTTTTTTGGTTTCGCAATCAATTCAGTTTCGATTTTGGAAAAAAAATTTCCAAATTTTTCTTCGTAAAAAGAAAGAAAACAACGAAGAATGTCATGTGTGTGTGTCTGCTTCATTTTGAAATTAATTTTCCAATGAAAAAGAAAATAATGAATTCCTATTGAAAAGAATACATTTTCATTTGAAACAAAACAAAAGATTCTTATTGCTTCATTTTTTTCAAAATATTTGTTTCATTTTTCATCAACCGTTGTGATTAATTTCATTGTTATCTCTGTGTGTGTGTGAGTGTTATCTGTAGGTGTATCTCTCTTATGTGATATGTTTTTCATTTGGATTTTTTGTTTGTTTTTAGCCTAGAAAAAGATAGAAAAATGAAAATGTTGTCGAATCCAACAACAAATCAACTAATATCATCTTTGTTTCATTTTAATGATTGGAAAATATCAACAATTTTTTATCAAAAAATTTTACAATATTTTTATTGTTGCCATCATCGTCGTCGTCATCGTTATCGTCGAAAACAATATTTATTGATCGATGACCATAACAACAACAACAACAACAACGAATATAACAATGACGGCAACGATAATTTCATAAATCATCATCACCATTATTGTCAAACATTTAAATCATCAATGTTTATGCTCAAACATCCATGGCAAACATTATGTTTTATCATTCAAATTTTTATTCTTATCGGTATGTTTTTTTATTGCCTGTTATTGGGTTTCTGGTCTATATTTTTCTCCCTCGACTAACACACAAAAAAATCATTCACAACAAATATCAATTTAATATGAATCGGGCGAAAAAAACGGGTGCCAAATACCCGACAATCACACATATATCGATAATATCTGTAATATCTACCACTTGACTATATTGTGATAACCTTTTTTTTTCTATTTTGAATGGCGTCAAGAATTGTGTTTATGGTGTGTGTGTGTGTGTGGTAGGAATGAAACCGAATATTCTTGGGCACCCAAAACATTTTTTTCCCCGACCAAACGAATAAATCTATTTTGATGATGATGATCATCATTGTCATAATAGTTGCGATCGGATTCCATGAAATGAATTCTGATTAGTTTTCTTTTTCGTCGTCGTTGTTTTGGTTGTCAACTTTTCTCCTGTAATGATTATTATTTTTTGCATTTATTCATTCGATTTCATTGTTTTTTGTTTCAATGTTTGTTTGTTTCCCTCAATGAAACTCATCATCAAAAGCTACTTTTTTCCAGTTTTCATTTGAAAAACCATATCTGTTATGAATTGGCAGTGGAGGAAGAAGAAACAGAAAAAAGTTTCACATTTACACAACCTATATAAATTTTTTTTGGTTTTTTTAATGATTTTCAAATTAGACAAAAATAGAAAATAACTTTTTGCTGGCCATATTTTGACGCAATTTTAATTATCTATTTTTTTTAACTAGTCCTGGATCTGGTCATTTTTGTTTCTCCTTCTTCTTCTTCGTTATCTAAAGTTCGCTATAATTTGCACCTTTTTTTCTTTTCTGTTTTTTTTGTTAACGGTTACTATTTCGATTCGCTAATCAAAGTTTTTGATCAATTCATACATATGAATTCTGTTCTATTCTGTTCGGGTTAGTTTTTTCCAACTATTTTAACCTATACGATTTTATACGATAATTATTATTATATCATAAATGTCATTATAGAATAAAAAAGTGATTTATAAAAGTTTTTTTTTAATATTCATTTTATGAACTTGATCTCATCATTGTCTGATACTAATTCTGGCATAGAATTCAAATTACCTGGATATCAGGTTATCTTTATAATTTGGCTTTGCCTATTTCAGCATTACTGGGTTTACTCACTCGGATATCATCATTTTCGATCTGCAAAACCAAAAAAAAATTGTTCTTCTCAACCATAACTTTTTGTCTATTGTTTTTTGTTTTCTCTATTGATGGTCAAGATGATGATCAAAGTAGTAGTTCATATCATTTACATATATAAATATTCATTCGTTATTGTCAAGATTCATTGTTTGTTGGGTATTTTCTTTTCTTTTTTTTTGATTGTTTTTCTTCTTCTTCTGATTCTTCAAAAACAAACAAACAAACAAACTACCCAACCATATTAACCCCCCGGTACACACCTACAGCTTCGAAGAAGGGAAATTTTATCATTAAATTTAGATTTATGATGTTTGTTGTCATCTACTTCATTTCATTTACTTCATTTACTTTCTTATTCAACACCAAACTGAAATAAATATTGTGTGTGTGTGCTTTCTTCTTCCTTTTGATTCTCCCTGTTACATTCTTGTAAATTCACATTCCTTGATTATTACAAACAAATTCAGTTAGTTGCTTGCTGTTATTGTCGTCATTCTATAGTCGTTATGTATGTGTTAAGGGAATATTCGTTTGTCTTTTTGTACATCATCATCTTTATCCACACCGTCATTTTACCATGTTTTTTATTTTTATTTTCTTGTTTCATATCTGTATTCGAAAATTGGTCATCATCAACCAACATCATATCGGTGTGTGTGTGTTTTTTTTGGTTACTAGCTTGGTCGCACACAAACATATTTCGTTTTTTTTTTGTTACATTTTCGCCATTTTTTTTTGTTATCTTTTTTTCTATTTTACAACAAATTTTGGGTTGTTTTCAACCCCCTTTCTCTCTCACTGTTACTTTTTTGTTTTTTTCGGGAAATAAATTCTGGCTACTTTGTCCATTTTTTTCGTGTCATTGTAAGTTTTTTTTTGTTTTTCCCGAACATTTATTCAACAACAACAACGGAAAAAATAATAATAATAATCATTGTACACAGGCCATTTATTTTTTTGCTCCAGTCCAATGTGGGTGTATCATGGAGGTGTGTATGGAGTGGGCAAAAAAAACAAAAACAAAAAACAGCAGCAGCAACGATTCTTTGACGGTGAAGCAATGCAGTACATTACAATTGACTACTTTACTTTACTTTATAACAACACTGAAATAGAATTTTTGTCCTTTTTTCATTTCATTTCATTTTCTACATTTTCGTTTTCAGCTCATTACCATTTATTGAAGTTTTTCTGTTGTTTTCATTGTTTCCCTTCTCTATCTATCTCACTCTATTTTCTCATTAAATTATTATTATCATTATTCTTTCAGTTTTTAATTTTCCATTCTGTTGTTGTTTCCGTAGCCAACACACATAGTAGCCCATCCATTTGATTCGTATTCGAATTGAAGAGCAAAATAGCATTATCATTATGATTTAGTGTGGCGATTAGGATGATGATGATGGTCATCATCATTTAGCTATCAAATTTGCTCGCAGATAAATTAATCGTATGTGATTATTATCATGATTATTACCTGATCATGTTGATAATTTGCTTTAAAATTCAAATGGCCAAAGAAAAAACTTCCCCCCGATAAGGTTTTCCTCTTTTATTTTTCTCGAAATGAAATCCATTGAGATTGAGATTGAAAATGAAAAGCAAAAGAAAACAAAAAGAGCATCCAAGTTACAAAAGTTGTTCGTTCGTTAGTTGATGATTTACAAACAACCAACAATCAACAATCAAATTGAGTAATGGATACAAGAATCCATTTATAATCAAACACACACACACAGAGACAGACTCTTATAGAAAACACATTTATAACAAAAAAAAAAAACAATGTTTTTTCTTTTTGGTTCCCTCACAATTAATGATCTTGTTTTGGTGTATGAAGAGTGTGGTTGATTTTCTCTTAGTCGTTTGGATCTAAATTATTACTTAAATCGAAAAACTGCCACCACTGAAAATCAAAATCAAATCATCAACATCATCGAATGAGTCTCATCAAGTCATTATTTTTAAATTTTAACGTATTTTTCAAAAAAATTACAATAAAATTTGTTTATTTTTACAAAAGATGTTTATTTTCGTTTTCTTTTTCCATTCTCGTTTTCATTTACATTTTCGATTCAAAATTCTTTATTTTTTCATTTTCATTTCCAAATAATTTATCATTTCAACACAGTTAATATAGATACTAAATTCAAGTAATTTTTTCATCAATTCCATTGAATCAATATCATTATTATCTAATCGTAATGTATAAGCGAATTTGATGAATGATTCTAATGAATAGCTATCAAATTGCTTCAAATAAATCCTATGGGTATAGGAGAGGAAAAAAGCGAATGAGAAAAAAGATATTTATTAGAGAAGATGAAAGAAAAAGAAAAACTTTGAAAGAAAAAGATATTACCTTGGAATCTTTTTTCTACAATATTCGTTACTACCATTTTTATCTTCATTCAACAATAATAAATAATCATAATAATCTTCTGTTTGATCAAACATTGAACGAAAATAATCCGACATTGCCATTATAAATATTGTATGACAAATAAAATCATATTCATCATTACTAATAACACAATAAAATGGACTTTGAAATTTTTTAAATGTTTCCATTTGACAGAAATCGATTTTTTTTCGTTGTTGTTGATTATTTAATATTTTTAGCTGTTTTTGTTGTTGTTGTTGTTGATCACCAACATCAATAACATCATCATTGACATAGCTGTTTGATTGCATTTTTTCCTTAGTTAACACCCGGATAATACACTATCTTTAAGAAGAGAAAAAAAAACTATACTTTTTTTTCACTCTGACAATCCACTCAAATACCTGAATCCAAATAAGATCCGAAAAAAAACCGAGGCAAATAAAGAAAATCGATCGATCCGTATTAATAATAATAAATGTTCACCAATTAATCATCGAATATAGTTAATATTTCGTTTGTTGGAAGCATTTATTATTATTTAATTCTCGAATTTTGGTTATTGTAAAATTTTATTTTTTGTTTGTTTGCTTGTTTGTTGATCGACTGAAAATAACTATAGTCGATATCGATGTTTTCGTTCATCACCATTCTTTTTTTTTGTATTTCGTTCATCATTCGAATCCAATTAAATTCATCAAGATCTGAATTCATTGACCTTCATTTGATCTTCAGTTAATCAATATTTATCAGCTTTATCGATCAACGAATATTGTTATTGGAAAATTTGGACTTTATCATTGATTTTCAGTCATATGGTCATCATTTGAACATTATTTTCACTTTTATGATCTTCTGCTCGATCGGCTGTGTCCGATTCTTATTATATTTTGCCAAAAAAATTGCGGTAACCGCATCGGTTTATAAATCGACAAAAGATGTAATAACAACAACAACAAAAATGGAAAAGTATCAATTCTTTACTTTTTCTCTGATTAAACTCAATGAAACATGAAAATAAACGATTAGGTTTTTTCCTTTTTCTTGGCTCTAACTTTTCAACCCAATGATGATTGAACACGCATAAGCTTATATGAAACAACAATGGTTTCAATCCATTTCCTTTTTTTTCATCATCATTATTAATGTCATCAATTTTACAGTTTTTTTTTCAGGAAAAAAGCCAATAGACCGACTGAATTCTTCGGAGATCGAGAAAAAAAACTGGATAAAACTGGACTATTTTTTCAACTCCAGTTTTCTTCAACAAAGTTTCAATTACTTTCATTCTTTTTCCCCTCATATCTATTTCGTTTTCTTCTTTTCCAATTTAGCCGCCAGCCAATGAACAACAAACTGTATTGAAAAGTTTCATCAATAATGTAATAGATTTCGGCCATATATGGTTATAAAATTTTCATGAAATTTTAATTATCTTTTGTTTTTCTTTATCTTTACAATCACCAAAAAGAAAGAGAAAACGCATCATTTTTCATTCGATTTTATCGGCTATTATTATTATTATAACCGAAAATCGATTGTAGATCGACATGATATTATTTACAAATAATAATAGTGGTGGGTTATTATCGTTGATGTTTACATTGGCCCAGTAGAAACAACAAAAATAAAAACAAATAATAAATGATAGCCGATAAAATAGGTGAAAAACAATGAAAGAAAGAAGGAAAAAAGTTTGTAACGAAACGGCTTTATTTTAATTTTTTTGTTTTGTTTTCAAAAATACTTCAAAAATGTTTAACAGGAAAAATTTTTTCCATTATCAAAAAAAAAAATCAAAAAGTTTCAAGTTTTGATAAAACATTGCTGCAAAATGAACAGAAATTTTTCAATAAATTCTTCATCATCATCATCGATTATATCGAATATTTCCGTTTGGTTGTCAGGTTGCCTGCAAAAGCCATGAAAGTAATGAACAAATTTCAACAACAACAACAAAAAAAACCGTTTGAATTGACAAAAAACTAACCGTTCAAATTGAACTAAATCTTCTTCATTTATATTTCATGATGATGACAATAAACATTGGGTTCCATTTCAATTCCAAATTTTGCTGTGGTGATGTTTTTTTTTATAACGAAGATCGACTATAAACACACACATGAACACACAGATCCACTGTATAAAAGCATTATGGAATTTAAAATATAATGCCTATAATGATGATGATGATGATGATTATCGTTTATAGTGATAGCTTGTTGTTGTTGTTGTTGATCTGATCGATCCAAAGGCACCCCTTAACTTGCAATTTTGAGAATCATTAATGGTATTCGTGTATTGATTGTATTGTAAAAAGCATCATCATTTTCCCTCTATATATATATTTTTGCTCTGTTTTTTATATCTATGTGTGTGTGTGGTAAACATTTGTCCGATTATCAATGATGATAATCATGATAATGATGATAACTATGGAAAACAAAAAAAAAATTGGTGTTCAAAAACAGATCTTACGTTGTTTTTTCCATTGATACTAAATGACTATTTATATTCTTATGATGATCATCATAATCATTACATAAGCCCTATGAATGAATGAATGAAATTGGCTAATTTTTTTCCTTCTTTCTTTCGTATAAAAAAACATTTTGTATTGCTCAATTATTGTATTGCACAATCTTTAAGTTTTTTTTCTCATCATCATTCAGAAAATTCCAAAGAAATTTTTTATTGATTATTTCATTTTCTGTTGTTGTTTGCTTGTTTGTTTGTTGAATTCAAAATTTCATTATTTTTCCCGTTGAATACACCTGGTTTACAGGAATTCGATCAACACAATGAACAAAATAAATAACATTGAAATTGTGTTTGTGTGTGTTTTTTCATTGTCAATTGTATTCTCTTTTATTTTTCGGATAAAAATAGACATCGGGAATGAGAATCGGAAGCAAATAAATTTCGAAAAAAATATCTATTCGAAATGTCAACTGGTTAGTAATATTTCAGAAAAACGAAAGAATAATAGTTTTTTTTCTCTCTGTTCGACGGAATTCATTCGAAAGAGAAAAAGAAATTCTTTAGAATGAATTTTGAAAAAAATTGGGAAAACGAAAATTCCAATAAATAGATTATGTGTGTGTGTTTGACTTGCTTAGACAAAAAGAAGAAGAAAAGATGAAACAAGAAAATTTTTTCTCAAAGAGTTTTCTTTTCTTATAATCTGCATTTGAAAATCGTAACTTTTACATATGATGATGATGCAAAGGATGAAACAAAAAAAACAATGAAATTTTTCATTATTTCACTTGGTTTTATTTTGGATGTTTAAACAAACGAAAACAAAGTATTAAAGGGGAAAAAATAACACTGTGTGCGTTTGTGGGGGTGGTAAAATGTGTCAATGAAAGAAAGAAGATATTTAAAATCTCAATCAATATTTTTTTTTGTTTGAAAAATAGAAAATGTTAAGCTTTTATACAATCAAAAAACAGAAAAATCTGATCTGAACTCTGTAAAATCGAAATTGATAATGTGTGTGTGTGTGTGTTTGGTGTAAAGAAATATTGTTCAAACAGAAAACAGAGAATGAAAAATGATTTATAAACTTTAAAAAATTCCTCATCGATTATTTTTTTTGGATTCAAATTCTTACATTCATCAATTTTCACCATCAACATGATTTCTATTGCCAAAAATCTTTTTTATTACGGAAATGTGGCCATTCTGTTCTGTTCTGTTTTGCTGTGTTCGTTCAATTTCCCACTTTTAGTTTACTGATGTTTGGTTTTTTTGCTTATCATAATAATGGAAGAAATTTCCGATTCCAAAAAGAAAAATGTTACTTTTAATCATTTCAATCAGATTATGATTTCAGCATTTACATTCAATGGTTTGGGTCTCATTATAAATTAAAATACCCCTTTCGGAAAATGGTTCCATCAAATCAATTTTTCTATTATTAGCTAGCAATAAGTGTTTGTAAATATAATAGTTTTTGTTTTTGGGTGAAAGAAATTTGCTTCATCTTTACACAGCATGAAAATATTGGAAAATTGATTGACATCCACCCACACAGACAAACAGACAAACACGGCAGGCGCCAAAAACAATAAATACTATATCCGGTTTTTTTACATATCAAATAATGATTGTTTGTTTGTTTGTTTGGTTTGATTTGTCTGAATTCAAATGTTTACATGAAAATCTCTTATTCATTGACGTAATCAAAAAGCATTTGTTTTGTTTCATACCACAAAAATATTTGAATCTGATGATAATAACCTGATGAAATAGCAACAAAAGAAAAATTAATTTTGAAAAAAAATATTCAAAATTGATTAAAATTCACCAGAAGAAAATATTCTCTCGGTTGTTTTCATGTTCCCTTCTCATCAGATCGTTTGAAATACACGAGAGAATTTGAAGTCTCGTTCACAAAAAGAAATTTATTCATCATTGTTTTTAATATATGGGCTATAAAATTGAAAGATCAAAAGGAAGGCCATCGATATAACATCAATAAGAAAAAAGTTTCATCAAAATAATTTCTTGAAAACTTTCCCAGTGCAGAAAATATCTTTATTATGATGATGGTGATTAAACGGAATTTATACGGTGAAAACAAAACACCTTTTTTTTCTCTCTCTCTCCCAAATCATCAATAAAACATTTTCATTTTGAATTGATTTTTGAATGGTGTTTGATGATGAAAACGCATTTCAAAAGAAAATAAATGTAGGAAAGTTTTCGTGGAAATCTTTTCCGGACAGGTTTTTTTCACGTAATCAAAGAAAAGAAAATAACAAAAATGGCGGCTATAAATTTGTTTTTTCTGGACCTAGACAACAATTTTCTCAATTTCCAGTAGTCCAAAACAAATAATAATTGAAATTAATTTCGCTTTTTCTTCTGTTGTTATTGTTTCACTATATTCCTGGATTGTATCATAATTTTCTTCTCTTTTCGGTTTCGGTCAGGCTAATTTTACACACACACACATAAATCTCTGGTATATGATGATCATTTACTCTCTCTCGTTCTCTGTGTTCATGTTCAAACAAACTCACCAAATGATAATCATGATTGATATGGATACACAGAGAAAAGATTGGCTCTAAACATGAACCCGAACCGAATGTTTCTGGTTATTTTCTTTGATTATCCATTTTTTTTGTTTCATAAACAATTTTGTTTCTGTATCCAGTTATAATGATCATTTTCAATTTTTTTTCACTGCTACTGGATCAATGAAGCTTAGGTCAAATGATGATAATAATGATAATGATGATGATGAAAAATTTCTTTTTCCATAATCATAATGATGACGACATGGGCTAATCATTTTCTATTTTTTGACTTTACATGATCAAATGACTTATGAATGAATGTTTGCTTTACACGACTTTACATAGACATAAAAAAGGTGTGGTAAGTTAAAACCAAAAACAGCATTCTGTGATTTTTGTTTGGTTATTTCTCTTTTGATTTTCAAAGAATATTCTGTGTGTGTGTGTGTTATCTTTTATCTTTTGTTTCTGTGTCGATAGAAAATACATTATGCTTTCTCAAATGACAATTTATACCCGAATGACATGATTTGAATGAATGAATTTTTCATTTCATTTTTTTTAGATTTTCTAAACATGTTTAGTTTACATCTCTATTTTTAGGTTTTCGCTTTTGTTTTTGTATTGTTTTCCAAATGTGGGTGTTTGCGTGTGTGTGTGTGGTAAAAAAAAGTTTCCAATATCCATTATTATTATTAGGTTATTTGGATTGATTGGATACATTTTTTTTCTCTCTTCCATTCTTATGTTATGCAGAACTTTTTTTTGTTTTCCTGGTTTTCGGCTTTCACTCCTGAACTGTGAAAAGCAAAGAATTTGTTTTCTTTTAAATACAAAACAAAGTCAAATGTTATAACTTGACTTGCCGTATACATTTGTAATGTTGTTGTTCTGTTCTGCGTGCGTGTGTGTGTCGGTGGAACAATATAAACAAAAAAAAAATCCAATAAACATCTTCGGGCATTTTCGGCTTTGTTTGTTTGATAGAACAAACAACAAACATTATTCATGTTCTTCGACAAACACGTTTTTTTTTCTATCATTTTGATCTCAATTTCTATTTTGACACATAGAGAGAAAAAAGACACACACTAACCAAACAACTATCTACATCTTCAATTTGATTAGCAAAGGAAAGAATTTCTATCCTTTCCTTAGTGTTTTAGTGTTGAAAATCTATACAAATCATCATCACTTTATCAAGATCAAGTGAATTTACTGTCATTCTTATTTTTTCCTGTACGTGAGTGAGTGTATTGTTGTTGTTGTTATTGTTGTTGAAGTGTATTTTTAGCAAAAAAAATAACAAGACAAAAATATTGTAAAAAAATAGTTGGATAACGTTATTTATAATTTTTACTTTTTATTTTCGTTTCTTCATTGAAAAACTAACGTAGGAAATCATTATTAGAAATTTACATAAAATTTCAATCAAAATTACAATGTAAAAAATAGGAAAAATCTTTCCAAGAATTTTTTTCCAAGAAAAATGTTGGCTTCACTGCCAAAATTCATTTCAATAATCCGAATTTTTGTTTGTTATTTTGTCTATTTCTGAAAAAAATAGATTTTTTTCCCAAGAAAATCTTAGGATTTAAATTTAAAAATTAAAAATAAAATTTCCAAAAGAAAAAAGTTTCTTTTTTTTTGTTTCCGGAAGAATTTCTATTTTTATATAAACAATGATGATGACGCAATAATGAATGAATGTCATCAACTTTAATTGTAATGATAATAGAGTGTGGATAATAGAGACTTTGAAGAAAATTGCAAACTTTTCCTTTTCGTACACAATCTATTTTCTATTGTTTCCTTGCTTGTTTGCTTTTGAATGAATGTAACCAACAGTAATAGATCTCTATTGACAAATAGTCATTTGTTTGATGAATTGAAAATTGAGCACACACACACAAAGACAATGTAATTTAATTATAATCTCTCTTGGCTTTTTTTGTCGATAATGAATTTTTTCTATTTGGTGGAAAAAAACCTCAATTTCGACCATAATCAATTGATAGTGTCGATGTTGCTTTTGTATTCTATTCTATTTTTTTCAACGGAAATAAAATTATCAACAATTGAGAATCGGATGATTATCATCGACGAAATAGAAGCCCTGAAGTATTCTTATGTGAGAAAAATACGAAAAAAAATTGGCCAAATATCCACAGTGTTAAGGAAGAAAAGAAACTTTTTAATATTTATCATTTGGCAATAATATCGATTCGAATAAAAAGGTTTTTTTATGGTGATGATGATAATAATATTCAATGACAAAACCATTCATACATACATAAATTAATGATGTCAAAAAAATAAAAGAAAACTACTAAAACCCGAATAATAATGATAATAATAAAAATTTCACTTAATCATTTTAGCAGGTATAAAATTCTTGCTACAATTTTTATTATTCAAATTGATGATGATTTTCATTGATCATCATTGATGTACAAACAAACACTGTCTGACCATTGAGAAACCAAATGATAATCAATGAAATGTTATGAATGGCAATAAATGAAAGAAAAAAACAGGAATCGTTTGCACAGCATGTAGATATCAGTCATCAGTGGAAATATAGCAAAAATAAAGTTACCCATTTTTTAAATCAAATTTTCCCTATATAAACAACCAGAATTTGATGCTCACTGATAGTGTGTTTCGAAAAGGAAATAAAAAAAAACGGTTGACATTTTCTTGTTGCTGTTGTCTATAGAAAGTATCGGATATTTTATTTACAATCGTAGAGAAGGAAAAATTCTTTGGCCTGCTGTGTGTGTAGATGATGTGTTAATGATAATGATGATAATGTATTTTCTTCATCATCACCATTATCATCACCATTGATAATAAATGTTTGTCATGTTTATTTGACTATTGACTTTCTTACTTATGTGTATTTCTTATCCACCCCCATAAAACACATTGGCATTACCATTATAAAATCATTGTAAACAAAGACAGAAAATATATTATCAAATTTCATTCATTTCATTCAGATTTGAATTTAAATTCAAATTTTAAATTGAAAAAAAATGTTTATCTTTCATTTTCATACACACAACAGCAACACATAAATTCTGTTAACACAATCGATTCTGTTGTAAAAGAATGGTGATGAAGAATAAATAAAGAAAATAACTTTATTGCGTGATATATACAGTGGTTGATTTTTGTTTTTTCTTGTTTGATTTTCATTCACACCCGAGAATAATTTTCTCATTCATTCATTTCTTTTCCACAAAAACAGTATTTTAACCATTCAAACACACATAGCGATAGATTGACAAATGTTTTTTATTACGTGGAAAAATAATGTTTGTTTTTTCCCCTTTTTTCATTGTTTATTTGTGTGTGTGTGGGTGTAATGTTGACTTTTTTTCAACGATCAGGTTCTTTTATTTTGTCACCCGTAAAAAATGTCATTTAAAATTTTTTTTTCAAAAATTGTCAATTTTGAAATAGAACGTCTTGGAACACGTTGGTCGACACATTCGAAAGAATTTGATGAACAAAACTGAAAGAAAAATGAATGATAAAAATCTACGCAAAGATTGTATCTTGGAAAAAAAATATTTGAAACCAGAAAATAGTGTTAAATTGAAAAAAAAATTAATTTTTTAAATTGAATTTTAAACCATCCATGGTAACGTAGAGTTAAACTCAAATGCCTGTCACCGGGAATTGATTCCAATAATGATCAATGATGAGCAAGGAGAAAAAATAACCCATTTCTTATCTGATTACAAGAAAAAAAAATTAATTAAATTTATGTTTCGTTTTTTTCAATTTTCTCTTTCCTTCTTTTTTAACAGATATAATCAATCGATTTGTAATCGATTTAATTATAATCGGAAATAATCATCTAATGTTAATGAATAATGATAATAATAATTATCAACAATATCAGCCTATAACATCATCATCATCATTAATGATATTAATGTTTGGTATGGTAAATGCTCAACAACAACAACAACAACAATTAAAATGTGGAGATTTAAAACAATGTTCAAAAATGTTTCGTGAAGCAACATTATCACATAATCTTTCATATGATCTTTCAAGTGATAAAATTGAACGTATTTGTGTGTAAGTAACATTATCATTACTTTTCCTTTCCTTTCATTCATTCATTTTTTATTTTGCTTGATTTCAAAAACTATAATTTTTTTCGTAAACTTAAATCGACAAAATTTATAATTAGTAATTGAACCACGGGTTGAACCGAATTTACTCTTTATATTCATGATTCTATTCAATCTATTTCTCTCTCTCTCTCTCTCTCTCTCTCTGTCTTTTATGCTTGGATTTTAATGATTACTATTATAATTATTATTATCATAACCATCATCAAAATCATAATCATGATGACTACGATAAGAATATCTCAAGAGAGAAAAGAATGAATTTTCTTTCTTTCTTTGCTCATCAGAATCAAAAAAAAAAGAGAAGAAAAAAACCCGGAATCATTTGGGTCATTTTAGGTTCGTTGAATAGAATCAGTGTGTTCTATAGGAAAGAATCCATTCAATCCAGATGATGATGAAAACAGGAAAAGCAAATTCCTTTCCTTTGCAATCTCAGCACATTTTTAGGTTTGCTGTTATTGGAGGGGGTTGGTTTTTGTTTCATCAAGTTTTTATTCTTCGATTATATTTAGTATTCTAGTCTTAAAGATTATTATCATCATCATTTTTTTTCCTATTTGATCATTTTATGATTCTATGTTTTCTGATTTATTTTCCCAATTCATTCATTCACTCACTCACACTTATTTGCTCGATGATCAATCGTTTTTGTTTTTGTTTTCGGTTGTTCAATGCTTTTCTCTCCCCTTTTTTTTTTGTTTTGATTTTTTTTCCTCCAAAATCAAATCACATAGAAATCCTGGATCTAATCAATACTTTGCTTGTTTGTTTGTTTGTTTATTTCTGAATGATTTTCATTCCGAATGTAATCATCATCATCATAATACAAAGATTGTCATTCGGTTATGATGAAGTGTGTGAGAGTGAGAAATGAAAAGAGTTTTTGTTTTTGTTTTGCTCCAACAAAAAAAAAACTTTTTCTTTCATCACTCGATGATGTTTTGCCATCCTTAATGATGATGATGGTTTATTCCAAAGTTGAGAAAAAAAAATTGTACATCCTCATCACTAATGAGTCTAATGATAATCATTTTTTCCTGTTTGTTAGTGATCAATAATAATTTTCGATCATCAATCAATCAATCAATCATTTTTTCGTACGTACAATAGACAAAAGTAGAAAAGAAAGGAAGGAAATTCTCATTATTTATAAATTGTTGAAAATATTTGATAAAATACAAAAACCAAAAAAAAAAACGATTATCGACCTTATAATATGGATGATGTTAAATAGGAATTTGAAGGAAAAACAAGAGATTGTGAAATGATGGAAAGTTTGTATTTTTATTTTCGCCGCTTTACCCGTTCTGATTATGTATTTTTTCAAACAAAACAAATGATTTATGCTTGTTTTGATTCATTTTTCTTTTTGTTTTCTCACTTTTTTTTCTATTTGTATCAATCAATCGAATACAAATTCTGTTTTCTTATTTATAGAAAATTAAATCGAGCTGTAAATTGTTTCAAAAATTATCGTAGCATGTGTATTAATGATAATATACATAATTCAAAAATAATTACCGATTTTTATGATCAAATGTCGGAAGGACCACTTGGATTAACAATGGAACTATGTAATAATACTAAATTCAAACAAGGTAATGTTGATTTTTTGTGTATTTTAAAACAAAACAAATAATGATAATTTTCGAAAAAAAACAAACAAAACTTTTTTTTTAAAAAAATAGATTATTTAACATTAGGACCATGTCAGAAAAAATATCGTGGTGAATTTGATCGTTGTTTAACAATGAATCAAGGTAATCAAATTACACAAAATGATTCAAATTCAACAATATTGGAACAATTTATTGAACATTGTTGGTAAGTTTATCATCATTTTTTTTTTGCATTTTCTTTCATCAAATCCATACAGATTATTCTAATTTATTCAACCAAAAATCTACCAAACCAAACAAAAGCAAAAAGAATCCTCATTATAATCTATAGGCATTGCACACAGGTCAGATTCCTCCATTCATTCATTCATTCATTTGTTCTGTTCGGTTCTGTTGCCAACATAATCATTATTCATCTTTTTTTCTCTCTGTCTATATTTGCCTGATGTCATTTTTTTGTTACTAAAAACACATTTTTCATTTTGCGTGTGTTGATGTTTGTGTGGTTGTCATTACTGTTTAGCGAACCAAAATATTTTTTTGGTGTTTTTTTCGGCCAAAAAATCATTATTATCATCATCATAACACGGGATTCAGCAAAAGAGAGAGAAACATCGAAAAAAAGTGAAAAAAACGGGCAATGAAATTTATTTTTTGACTTTTTTTTACTGTGTTTTTATCATGTGATTAGGTGTATGGAACAAAATAATAATGAAAAAAAAGGAAAAAGAAAATAAATTTTCCAAACAAATGTAATATCAATAAACCAGAATCGTACTTGGTAATTATTATTTTGTTTTGAACAAAGAAAGGAATATTCTTTGTTCTGTAATTCTGTTGCTTTATCATTTGTACAATTCCAAACACACACAAACACACACACGCACAATGAATTCTTTTAAGAATTAATTAATTGAATTTATTTTGATTTCAAGGATTCTCTTCTTTTCTTTTCTTTTTTAATTTGTACATTGTATATTTCATTGTTTTTCATTTTGTTTTTTTTTCCAAATTCAGTCAACATGCGTTAATAGCAGCATCTTTTCAATCTATGGATTCTTTTGTTGTACAACAACAACAAGAATAAGTTGTTACAAAACAAAAAACAATGAAAATACAAAATTAATTATCATAATGTTTGGTAAATTAATATTATTGTTTTTCTGTTGTTGTTATTACATTGTTTGATTATTCTGTCGATATGCAAACATTTGTTGTTGTTGTTGTTTTCGTTGTTGTAGACAATATGTCAAGCAAAAAAAGAAAAATACATTTAAAAGTCTTCACTTGAAGTTGTCATCATCATTTTCCCCATCTCATTAATTCTCACTATCTTTCCTTCTTTCTCTTTCTCGCTGTGTTTATCACATCATAATGTCACCAAAATTCTATAGATATAATAGACAATATTGGCAACAACCGTGTAGAAAATTCTGTTATTTTTTTCCCTTGTTATATCAATGTCAAAACTTACACATGTCACTAACTGCCGAATTCAATGTGTTTGTCTAACTTTCTTCAAACAAACAAACACATATTGATGACCCGACATCAAACAGAATACATGGTAGACAGAATTCAACTAATTTTCTATCAATTATCAATGTTGGATGTGTTATGATGAACTTTTTTTTTCTGAAAACAAAAAAAAAATGATTGCCTGATGAACATAGTGAGAGTGTGAAAATATTAATAAATAATATCGTTTCAGGATCATTGGTTGTTGTTGTTGTCATTGTCTGTTGTATGCCATTGTTGTTGTTGTTGTTGTTAAATAATCATTGCCAAACAAATCATTCAAGTGTAAATTATTATTTTTCTATAGCAATTTCTAGATATCAGCCCACACACTAATGATGTTTAGAATGCCGAAGAAGAAGAAAAAAAAACATCATCAGCAAGAAAAATCGAAAAACATTTTCATTTTTGTTCATTTTCACTGTTATTGCCCAATTCTACATTCGACATTCATTCCCATTTTAATTATCATTTGAACATCAAATTTTTTTTTGTAGTTCAGTCAGCTTTTGTTCCAAAAAATCCATGGCATTTAGTTTTTGGTATAGATTATAGGATGATCAAAAGTAAAACAATGTTATTTTTTTCCCCTCTATTTCTACCCAATTAATCCTTAGGTCTTCCTATAGGATCTATTATTATTATAAATTCCATTCAATTAATAATATTTCCTTTTTTTTCCATTTTAATTAATCAAAATCATTTGTTTTTAATTTAATTTCATTCTAAATATAGTGCACTACATAATTATCACAATTGCATATATGATATTAGCCTAGATAAATGTGGAAAAGGTATGTATTCGATTTATGATTCATTCATGTTTTTTTTACCAAAATTACTAATATTTTCTTCCGTTTTTTTGTTTTTGGTTGAAACAAAAAAAAAAGATGCGGCCGAATTTTCATTAAAAATTCTGGAACTTTTTAATCGTAATTATCTACGTGAATGTGCTAAATATGCAAATCTATCACATTTATGTTCAAATCGTTTTTCACGTTCAAATGCTACAAATATTCATCTATTATGGTCATCGATTACAATCATCACTATTTCATCATTAATTTGGTCATTTATTATCTGTTCAATGACATCTAGATGAAATTCTTTTATTCATTTTCTTTCTCTGTTAACAATCACAATTCAATGTTTTTTCGTTTTTGCTTCTTCAATGTTGTTTCCTAAATCTTTCGAAACTATATATATATACGATTCACATGACCCTTCCAAATCACCCAAATCATTCACAAATTCACTCAAACAAATACACAATCAAAAAATAAATTTCAATTTTATCTTTATTCGGATTTGTTATACAAAATATATCGTTTTTTTTGTTTTCTATCTGTTAATAATAAATAAAGTTTTTAATTATGAAAAAAAAAGTTTGTTTCTTTTTAAATTTGTCCTATCATCTATGAACGTCAATTTCAGGATATTCTGCCGGTAAATTCAATGCCACTACCATTTTTTGAAATTCGAATCTGTCATAGTGGTCTATATATTCTGTTGATTCTTTTTTTGATTTGGTTGACGATTTTATCTCCACCTATGATTTACTATTCGAAACTGGATCGATCTGATTTGATTTGTTTTTGTTATCATTTCATCGCTTATTATCATCATTTCAATCCGAAGTTTGTTTTTGTAATTTATTGGACGATTTTTTTCAAATTCTAGAATGAATCAATCAATTGATCAATGTATTTTCACCATAAATTGATTTTGTTCCAACATAAAAAAAACATCAACAATTATTCAATCAGTTGATGAACATCTTGACATCAACATTGTACACGTCATTTCATCATTCTATGAATCGTTATGCTGATTATATTTGATTTAAAGAGCAAAAATTTATTTCAACCTTATCAAACACATTACCTCAAACGTTTAATTGAATTTAATCATTGATTTCATCGTTTATAATCCAAACAAATTTGATGACCAAACAATTTTTTTTGTCATTTGTCACCAATATCATCGAGAAACACACCCTTTCATTTCCAGTTAATTTTTTTTCATATCATTTTACATTTTTTTAAAATATCGAAATCATGAAAGCATTGATTCTTGTCGGTGGTTATGGAACTCGTCTTAGACCATTAACATTATCATTACCAAAACCATTGGTTGAATTCTGTAATAAACCAATGATTTTACATCAAATCGATGCATTGGTTGAATTTGGTATTAAACATATTATTTTGGCTGTTAGTTATCGTGCAGATATGCTTGAAGAATGTATCAAAAAACAAGCTAAAGAGGTATGTTTAGATTTATTGAATAAAAATTTGTATTTCAGGAATTTAATTTCAGTTAGGAATTAAAATTACCTTCAGTTTGGAAGAAGAACCATTAGGCACTGCTGGGCCATTAGCATTAGCACGCAAATATCTATCTGAAGATGATGAGCCATTTTTCGTGCTAAACAGCGATGTTATCTGTGAATTTCCATTCAAATCTTTATATGAATTCCATAAAAATCATGGCCATGAAGGAACTATTCTGGTGACCAAAGTAGAAGAGCCTTCAAAATATGGTGTAGTCGTTTATGATCAAAAATCTGGAAAAATTGAAAAATTTGTTGAAAAACCAGTTGAATTTGTATCGAATAAAATCAATGCTGGAATTTATATTTTTGAAACATCTGTATTGAATCGAATCGAGGTAATTAAAAGAGTTATGTGTTAGTAAAATTTACGTTTGATTTGCTATTTTTGTAGCTCAAGCCAACATCGATTGAAAAAGAAATTTTTCCAAAGATGGCTTCTGAAAATGAACTATATGCTTATGAATTATCCGGATTTTGGATGGATGTTGGACAGCCAAAAGATTTCATCACAGGCACCGGACTTTATCTTAATTCATTAAAATCGAGAAATATTTTAACCGGTTCTAATAATCCTTTGATAGTTGGTAATGTTCTAATTCATCCTACAGCTAAATATGGTCAAAATTGTCGAATTGGACCTAATGTTTCAATCGGTGCCAATGTTGTAATCGAAGATGGTGTCTGTATAAAACGTTGCACTATAATGAGCAATTCTATTGTTCGAGCTCATAGCTGGCTCGATTCCTGTATCATTGGCTGGAAATGTCGAATCGGTAAATGGGTAAATGTTAAATTCTTACCATTAAAAAAAATGAAAATCTAAATAAATTTCATTCAAATAGGTCCGTATGGAAAACAATTGTGTACTCGGTGAAGATGTTCTCGTCAACGATGAACTTTATTTGAACGGTGTAAAAGTTTTACCCAACAAAGAAATTTCTAAATCAGTTGCCGAACCAAGTGTTATAATGTGAAGTTATTGTTTTTTTTTTTGTATTTAAAACACATTTATTTATATATTCGCTAAAAAAATGATATGAAAATTCTATGTTAAGAATTTTCAAAGTGCCTTCAAAATTTTATTTTGTCTTCATTCATCACCACCAAATGAACGATGTTTATTTATTGTTTCTTTTCTAATTTTTTTTCATTCCAATTTTTATAAAATAATTTTTTTAAAATTTATTTGAAAACAAAATAAAAAAATAAAACCTGAATTTATTTTCATGGGTGAACATTGTTTATTTATGGATCATCCAAGTTTTTTTTACATTCGCCTAAATTTTCGAATTGCGCATGCTTTTTGCCAATTTTTTTTTCTTTTTGCTGTAAAATCCACGTTTTCCGTTTGTTGGAAAAGAAAAAAACGTGCATTCTCGATTCGATGATCATTTCGGTTCATTTTGATTTCATCGTTCGTTTTGGTAAGTTGGGTCCAACTTTGATATGAGTTTTTTTTTAAATTACAAATTCAATGATGACCATATTTGCTACTCTCGAGTTATTCGATGACGACTTTATCTACCACCTATCCGTGTTTCATCTGATTTAATTAATTTTTTTAATTCTTTTCGAAAAAAACTTGGTTCTTTCATGCTATTAATCTTGAGAAATTTTTTTTCTGTCTAATTTCAGTCACTAATTCAAAAAAGATGTTGGATAAATCTTGATACGGGATTCAAAGTAAGTAAATTATTCATGTAAAATAAATATTTCCAAGAAAATGATGATAATATAGTTCATATGAACATTAATGATTGTAAAAATCTATCTATTTTCGCCCCTATCTGATTTTATTATTTTTGTTTTTCTTAAAACAAATTATCAAATTTCTGAAATGATTTTCTTATGAGTTGTTTTTTGTTTTTGTTATAGCAATCCCGATTTGAAGATGGTGATTCAATCGAATGGTTCGTTCTAAATGGTAAGAATAAATTCACTTATTATCCCATTTGCTTAAATCTGATGATTGTTACACCAAGATCTTTGACGAAAAAAATGATAAAAGTTATTTGCTATGCCTGACTCTTTTAGTTTTTTTTCCAATTCAATCAAAGAGACCAATTTTTCACCTTGTTTTTTTACTATTTCCCTATTTAGAATCAAACGTGGTCTATGATGGAGGATGGGATTCATTTTGGTTTCAAAGAAAAGGTAAGCATTTTCTTTTTGTAAAAAACATTAACGTTTAACTAAAATGATGTTGAAAATCAAGTGGGAATCTATATGAACACTGTGATTATAGAATTGAATCAAAAAAAGATATTTCTGATTTCTATTGGACAAAATACCGCTTTTTTTACTTGCTTTTTTTCTATTTTTTAATTCAATTTTTTTTCTTATTCATTTTAGGTTAGTAGTCGAAACTTGACGACGATCAATTTTGATGTGACACAAAAAAAACAATGATGAGCAACGATTTTGCCAGATGAAATTGTCAATGATTATGCTAAAATATAAGCCCGATTAGTCTTTCTGAATGTTTTTTTTTCACTTCAAATTTTGAAATTTTATTGCTTGTTTCTGGTTATATTAATTTTGTTTTACCTGAAAATATAGAAATTTGAACCTGTTTATCGCAACTCGTTGTTGTAGCCCCAGGTAAGTTTTATATCCAACCATTTTTTTCACATAATCTTTTCAGTATATGATGAATTATACATGAAATGTAGGTTTTAGGGACATATGAAATCTATTATGATTTGATCATAAACCTAGCTGATTTTTGTTTTCAAAACATGAAATTTTTTTTCAATTTTTTCAAAATTAATGGATTATTTTTGTGTTTTCTCTTAGGAAATTATTCTAGATGGATTTTTGGTATCTTGCGATATAGAAAAATGGTAAGTTTTTTTTGAGATTGTTGTGCAAAAAAAATTATAAACTGAAAATGGATGAAAATGATAATTATGTTTGAACTGTTTTAAATGATGAAAAGCGCAAACATGTGAATTTCTTCAGCTGATTTTTTTTGTTTGTTATTAAATTCAATTTGAATTCTCATTATTCTTGTTTGATTTTAATTCTTTACATTTTATTTCGTTCATTTAGGATTGGATGATCGGTTTTTTTCTGGATATGATTGTAAGTATAGGAAATTTTGAACGGCTAATTTTTTTATTTGGATTGTGAAACATGATGACCTAAGGCAGACAGTGAATTTTACCACATTGATCGAATAAGATTTTCTTGTAAAAATTTTATTTTTCGTCAACTGAATTTCTTCAATCTATCAATTTTTTTTCTGTTGGATTTAAATTCAATTTTTTATATTAACACTTATTTTTTTCAATGTATAGGATTCCCTCAAATTCTATGGCCATCGAGATCCGTTCCCTTCTTCAATCATCTCATCATCATATCTGCCTCAAATGGGTCAAAGCTCACGTTGGCATTGAAGGTAATGAAAAAGCTGACATCCTGGCCAAGGAAGCAAGTCTGATAGAAAATATCTCATTTGACTTACTCCCCATGTCGTATGCCATGAGGATTCTCAGAGCCGGATTGGACGAAGGTTGGTGCAGTGAGTGGAGTCTCACGAGTGACTTTTTTCAACACAAATTTCAACCCATGTGAAATGGCATTTTCACAAATGAAAATTATAAAATCGCAATATAGAAGCTCATTAACTGCAGATAGCCATATAAAAGATTTTAAGAAAATTAATGATGAATTCATCAACACAATAATAATTTCGAAATAAAGTAAAATTGAAAATTGAATTCAATTTTTAAATCTAAAAATGCGAGTTTATCGTAGAAAATCTACGAAAAATTTAAAACAACTAGATGGTAATGTAGAACTCAAAGAATGATTTAATTTTCTTAATCAAATATCTTTTTATTTAGACCGTAACAGACTTAAACTTATTGAATTGGTCAAACAACATAATTGCTACAAAGACGGCAGAGTTCTTAAAAAAAGAGAAAAAGAAGTGAATGATGAATCTTGGAAATTAATTGCAAAATCTATGAATATGAAAGGTAAGTTTTGTAATTAAAATTAAAGAATTTAATAAAACAAATAAAATAAAATAGTTCAATTATGCAAGTTTTTTTGGTCAAGATATCGGGAAAATTATATGGTTCATTTAAAAAATAGATTACGTAATCCATATTTGGAACGAATTCATCCCGAATTATCGTTTTTGGACGACGAATTACCAAAAAAACCAAAACACGAATGGGCAAAGATAAAAAAAAATTACAACCGTCATCTAAGACGAAGAATGAATGATGATTCATTAAAAATTCTATACCCCGAATTAGAATTTTTAAAAGATGAATTACCAGAATTCTGTGAACAATCGTACGTTTTGTTTTTATTAAAAAAAATAACATCAATTAGATTGGATATGACAGAATATCAGCCCGACTTTACCAAAATTAACGACGAATTCATCAACACAATGAAATATTTTTTGATTTTTTTTTTTGAATATTAAATTAAATAAAACAAAAAACATTTATTATTTTGTATAAAGAAATTTTCCAATCTGGTAAATTTAACCCTTACCACTCTGAACAACAAAAAAGTGAATAAATTCAAATTTTTTTAAAATTTATTATTTGCATTTTTATTTAAATTGGTCATCATCATCATTAGTGTTTGTTTAACTGATTCGTTACATCATTGTGTGAAAATGTTGTAAAATGTGTGAGAAAGAAATTGACAAGAAAAAAGAAGAAAAGAAAAAAAAACATACTCATAACAAAAGAAAGAATCAATCATATAACTTAGCGAAAGTAGAAATAATTTCATCAATTTTTTTTTGCTGGTTTTTGTTTGTTGTTTCAGGGTTTATAGCAAACAGCACAACGACTTACTTTGCTACGTAAATTACCCGATTTTAATGTTTCACTAATTGGTTTTTGAAATTCTTTACCCGAATCGATTGTTGTTAACCAGAAACTAAATTTATTAGCAAAAAAATGACAACCACCAGCCGCACCATTACATTCGATGAATGGTGTTGCACGAAATTCTTCCAAACAACTACCTGGACTTGATAATGATTGTCCACCACCTTCAGCACCAGCACCGGTATGCTATTTGAACCAAAAAAAAAGATAGAAAAAATTAAATTTGTGATAAAAGTCGATGAGATTATAAATTACCATAGCAAAACTATAACCAATCCAAAGTTCAGTCCAATCTTGTGGACATTGTGGTATTGATACTGTTTGACTATGAACAGCAATCACATTACTTGGTGCTTCACAAACAACACAACGACTTATATAATTTTGTATAGCTGCTTCTCTAACGGGCATCATTGGTTTTGGTGCATTAGTTGTTAACCAATATGATTTATCATTACGACTTGCATAATTACAAACACTATTCGAATCACAAAACAAAAATGGCATTGTACTGAAACGTCGTAAACAAGAACCGGCAAATCCTAAATCTTGACTATGTGCTTTTTCATTTCCTTCAATATAAAGTAAACTATAACCATCCCATAATTTTCCCATTCCATTTGGACATTCTGGTATTGAACTTTGTTGACTATGTCGTACTAATAATATACCGGTAAAATAATTTGATGCCGAATCACCGGGTAAACCATCAAATCCTCTTGGACCTTGATTTCCTTTGGGTCCTGGTGGACCAGGTATACCATCAAATCCTCTTTCACCTAGATAAATTTGATTTTGAGTTTTTAAATTTCGAAACAAACATATACAGAATTACCAACCTTTTGTACCCGGAAATCCAGGTAGACCAGGCATTCCTTGAACTCCAGGTGGTCCAGATTCTCCTTTTTCTCCTGGAATTCCAGCTGGTCCAACATAACCTTCACGACCTGGAAATCCAGGTTCACCTTTGTCGCCTTTTTCACCGGTTATTACTGGTGCAACGCAAGAATCACCTTTATCACCAGGCACACCTTGTGGTCCAATCAATCCGGGCATTCCAGGTCTTCCAGGTAAGCCAGGTTCTCCTTTTACACCAAGTAAACCTGGAACTCCTGGCCATCCGCTGTCACCTTTATCTCCTTTATCGCCAGTCATTCCTTCATTACCAGGCGGACCAGGTTGCCCTGGAAGTCCATCTTTTCCATTCGCGCCAGGCATTCCTGGCAAACCTCTATCACCTTTCAATCCAGGAAGTCCTGGTAATCCAGTCAAACCTGGGTTTCCTTGCAAACCCGGAGTTCCTGGAAATCCGGGTTGACCAGGAAAACCGGAATCACCTTTATCTCCTGATCATTGAAATATTATGATAAAATCAAAATTTTTATCGTAAATAAAATTAAGACAAACCTTTGATTCCAATGCCTGGTGGTCCAGTAGGTCCAGGCATTCCTGGCATTCCAGGCAAGCCACGATCACCTTTGACAACTGAAAACAAAAAAATTAGTCAAAATAATTTTTTTTTCATTAATCTGGATTCCACCTTTTCCAATATCTGAGCATCTTGCATCAAGTCCAGGCTCACCAATATCACCTTTTGATCCAGGCAAACCAGGTTGACCTTGTGGTCCAGGTGCACCAGGAAATCCTGTATCACCCTATCAAAAAAAACAACCAATTCAGAAAAAAAACAAATTTAATTTACCAAATATTTTACCTTTGCTCCAGGAAAACCAGGAATACCATTCAAACCACGATCACCTTTCATTCCTGGAATACCAGGTAATCCTTGTAATCCTTGATCGCCTTTATCACCTTTTTCACCGCCTCTACCGGGTAAGCCAGGATCACCTTTTTGACCAGGAAAACCGGGCAATCCAGGTAATCCAACATCACCGGATACACCTTTCAATCCAGGAAAACCAGCATTGCCCATTTCTCCTTTTTGTCCGGGAAAACCTGGAAGTCCAGGATTGCCACGAGGACCAGGTGGGCCATAAGGTCCTGGTTGACCAGTTTCACCCTTTTTTGATGAAGAAAAATTTGAGTTTTTCTATAAAAAAAAACAAAGTTGTTTACCTTTGGTCCTGGAAATCCTGGTAATCCTTGAAGACCTTTATCGCCTTTAGGACCGGGTAATCCATAAAGTCCGGGTGGTCCTGGATTTCCAGGATCACCTTTATCTCCTTTAATACCTTCCAAACTTGTTGCTGGAATTCCAGGATCACCTTTCATTCCTGGTAAACCAGGCATACCGGGAACTCCTCTTTCACCAGGCAATCCAGGAGCACCCGGTTGAATACCAGCATCTCCTTTATCGCCTTTCATTGCTACATCACCGGGTGGACCTTGTGGACCGGGAATACCGTGATAACCTTTGTCACCTGAATCACATGATAAGTTGAAAATAATAATTTGAATTTTCTGAATCAAGATTTTATTTACCTTTTGGACCTTGAATGCCTTTTTGACCGGGCATTCCAGGCATTCCAGCATATCCTTTGTCACCTTTAAGTCCAGGCATTCCATCTACGCCATGTTGGCCTGGCAAACCTGGTGGTCCAGGTATTGAATCACCTTTTTCTCCTGAAATCAGAAAAAATATTCAGATCAGTAAGTAATCGATTAAATTTTGAAATTCAAACCTTTCATTCCGGGTATTCCAGGCATCCCATCTCGACCAGGAGCTCCAGGATTTCCTTCTTTTCCAGGCATTCCAGGTAGACCTTAAATTTTGAATGATTTTCATCAATCATTTATTATTAGGAATCAGTTTTTTTCTCAATCTCACCAGATAAACCAGGAAATCCTCTATCGCCTTTTTGTCCAGGTAGACCATGCATTCCTGGCTGTCCAAATCGACCAGGATCACCTTTATTTCCTTTCATACCATCACGACCAGGGAAACCAGGAGGACCTTCAGGACCGGATAATCCAGGAAGCCCGGGTTCACCAATATCACCTTTTGTTCCGGGAATACCTGGTATACCAGGATATCCAATATCTCCTTTTATTCCCATCTAACCGAAAAAAACCCGAAAATAATTATCATTCTTTTTTTCTTCAAAATGTATACTAACAATTCCAGGATGACCTTTGTTGCCTTTTTCTCCAGACTGACCGGGTGGACCCATATCACCTTTTGGACCAGAACTACCAGGTATACCCTAAGAAAAAAATTTCGTTAAACAACATAATTGAATAATTTCTTTGATTTTTACTTACAGGCAAACCAGTTCTACCAGTTCCAGGAAAACCTTTATCACCCTTTTGTCCTGTTGAATAGAATTTCTCATTATGTTGCTGATAATAATAGAATTTTTTAAAATTAAATAGCATACCCGACAAACCAGGTGGTCCAGGAGTTCCAGGTTGTCCAAGCATTCCAGGTTCACCGATTGGTCCTGGTATTCCAATTTGTCCTTTTTCTCCGGGCATTCCAGGCGGTCCTTGTGGACCTGGAGCACCAGGTAAACCATCAGTACCTTTTTCACCTTTAATTCCAGGATATCCAGGCAATCCTTTTTTTGTCGAAAAAAAACGTTAATTTTTTTTAAATATTTTCAATGACAAAAATTTTGTTTACCATTTTTTCCATTCAATCCTGGTGAACCACTTTCACCGGGTTCACCTTTTGGTCCAGGAAATCCCATATCACCAGGTGGGCCAGTATAAGTTAGATCACCAGTACAATCCACATTTCCTATGAATATTCAAGACATGATATAAATAATGACCAAGCGCATTTTTTGATTATACCTGGTTCTCCTTTTGGACCCGGGAAACCACGATCTCCTTTATCACCACGTACTCCAGGTGGACCGGGTTGTCCGGGTAAACCATCCAAACCAATTCCTGGTTCTCCTTTGGAACCTTGTAAACCAGGCATACCAGGAATACCTTGTTGACCATGTGTTCCTGGAAATCCCGGAAAACCTTTATCTCCTTTATCGCCCTATTTTTAAATAATTGATAAATAATTCAAATTTTTCAACATAATTTTAAATTACATACTTTAATACCCATTAGACCGGGTAAACCTGGTGAACCAGTTCTTCCATTCAATCCATGTTCACCTTTATCGCCTTTGAAACCACGTTCTCCTTTTTCGCCTTTTGGCAATGATGAGATAATTGCCGGCTGGCCTTTGTCACCTTTTGGCCCATCTTTTCCTGGCAAACCGGGATAACCCTGGAGTTTGATGAAATTGAAATAAATAAGATCCGATTTGGTTTATTTCAGTTTCTTACCCGATCTCCTTTGAATCCAGGAAAGCCTGGAATAGCATCATCACCTCTTGGTCCAGGTGGACCCATCGGACCTGATTCACCTTTTAATCCTTGAATTCCCGGCAAACCATCTCTTCCGCGATCGCCTTTTTCTCCTTTAATACCGGGTATACATGATGAACAGGATCTACCTGAATCACCTTTCGGTCCAGTAAGTCCCGGTAAACCTGGTTGTCCTGGTCTACCAGAATATCCTTTATCTCCTTTTTCTCCCGGAAAACCTGGTGGTCCAGGAATTCCATCTTTTGAATCGCCAGGTATTCCACGTTCACCTTTTTGACCTCTGTCGCCTTTACTTCCAGGAATTCCATTCAAACCTTTCATGCCGTCAAGCCCTTTTGGTCCAGGTATACTAAATCCAGGATCGCCTTTCATTCCAGGCTCGCCTTTACTTCCAGTCAAACCTGGTAAACCGGGTGGGCCGTCTACTCCAGGTTTACCCGGATATCCAGGATCTCCTTTGTTTCCTTTCAAACCCATTGGTCCTTCTCTTCCAGGTAATCCTGGCGTTCCTTGTCCTCCTGGCGGTCCAGGTGGTCCTCTCGGCCCCATGTCACCTTTGATACCTGGCATTCCTTGTGATCCAGGCAAGCCAATATTTCCTTTTGGTCCAGGGGGTCCGGGTGGTCCTGGACGACCTTGTGAACCTCCAGGCATACCAGGCGGACCTTGTATACCTTTTTCGCCGCCCCAACCCATAGGTCCCAAGTCTCCTTTTGTGCCTTTAATTCCAGGCAATCCAGGAAAACCAGTTTCACCACGATCTCCTTTGTATCCATTCAAACCTGGCAATCCAGGCATTCCTTCTTTGCCACGACTTCCCACCGGTCCTTGCGTACCTTTATCGCCTTTATCACCGACTTGGCCAGGCGGGCCACTTCTTCCAGGTTCACCATCAAAACCAGGATCTCCTTTCGGTCCAACTTCACCTTTGTCACCTTTATCACCAGATGGTCCTTTGACAGTGATAACTTCCGTACCAGGTGGTCCAATTGATGGATCTGATTTTGTGTAGCATACAACTTTGTCTCCTTTATCACCACGTTCGCCTTTGACGCCTTCTATACAGACTCCCATTTTGCCAACTTGGCCCATCGGTCCAATATCACCTTTGTCTCCTTTTGATCCAGGATATCCTGGCAAACCTCTTTCGCCTTTTGGCCCTTCAAAACCCATCGGTCCAGGTAAACCATTGGCACCATCTCTTCCAGGTTCGCCTTTTTGACCTTTATCTGATGGTGAAGTTGCTGGTTCACCTTTATCTCCTTTTGGACCATATGGTCCTGGCTCACCAGGTGGACCAGGATTTCCAGCACGTCCTGGTAAACCTGGTTTTCCGTCTGTACCATTACATCCATCTAAACCGGGATAACCTCTTGGTCCAGCAACACCAGGAGCACCCTTATGAAAAATAAAATTATTTTATAAAACATCATTTTACAAAGAAATATGAAAAAATAATTTACCGGCAAACCTGGAATTCCAGGATAACCAGGCATTCCCATTTTTCCACGATCACCTTTTGGTCCTCTTGGCCCTTCTGGTCCTCTAGAACCCTGTAGAATCAAATTTTTTTCTTTAGAAATTCATACCAAATTCTAGTTAATTAAATTCATACCTTAGGACCACGTTCACCAGGCGCACCTTCAATACCAGGATGTCCGGTTAAACCTTGTGGACCAACAGGACCAGGTATACCAGGTGGACCCTATTTTTTCGATCAATTAAAGTCAATAATCCAAACAAAAACAAAAACAAAAACATACTCTTGATCCTTTTTCACCAATACAGTTACAATCACCGGATACACATGATCGTTGTGAACAAAGACGTTGTTGTGTATTATTACGATATTGATTACAACAACAACAAATAACAATAGGATCTTGGCTAGTTGGATCACAACGACAACCAAATGGACTTGGTTCACATCTTCTTTCGGCACAAATAGAATTTAATGTTCGGGATGGATCCCAACCATATGTTGGATAACCAGTATATTGTATATCTTTTGGTATCGTATCATCATTCTTAATTTTATTTTTTGGCAATGCAACAAGAAAGAGGGAAGAAAAAAATTAATCATTTCATTTTTTTTGCAAATAAAAATCAACATTGAAATTGGTAATAAACTTTGGAAAAATAAACATTTGAGAAAATCCATACCAGATGAATCAAACAACGAAGGGAAATATAAAAAAAAATTTCATTTACAAAAATCTTATTTATCTAAATTTTATAATTTTTCTTTCAAATGTTTATTTAGGATGTTTATTTTGTTTGTTTATAATGTTGAAGCCAATTTTTTTCACTCGTTTGGTTTTTGTGTGATCAAAAAAAAAAATATTAATCCAAACTCGTCTACCACAAAAATGTCTAAATGCAAGGAAAATGTCTAAAAATCACATCATCATGTCATGCAGAGCGATGTTTTCACTTTTTTTCTTGGTTGATTTGGCTGAATTCTTACAGAATTTTTGTTTTTATGGAAGAAAAATTCATATGTAAAACTTGTCTATGTTTATAATAATAAGTAATGAATGTTTGAATAAAATTATGTTATTTTTAAATCTCATCATCAATGTTCAATTAGACAAATCGAAAATGATTCCTGAAAAAAAAAATAGGAAACGAATCAAGAATTTCTTCTTTCATTACATTTGATTTCCAAATACGGAAAAAGGATTTTCACTTTCTCACTTTAATGGGAAAATGCAATGGACAATTTGTAATCAACTTTTGATCAACTGTAAATCGTCTTTGAACATCATGCATCATAAACAACGATAACGATCGAAAAACAAAAATATCTATTTATTAGTCATAACAAATAAATATTTTGCTAACCTAAACAGATTTTTTTCCTTGATTTTTGATTGGAAAAATATTTGAAATCGATCCAAATGGTTATTTTTAATTTTTTTCCCCAATTTTTTTTGAAATTTGATTCGAATCTGATTTTTTTTTGTTTTTTCCATTCAATTCTGATAAAGTGAAAGAAAAAAAATCTCATCATAAACATCATAGATGTCGGCAACGACGGCAACGATGACAGACAAATGTAAAACATTTTCGGAAAGAAATTTTCGAAAAAAATAATCTAATCAAACACGTTGTTGTTTTGTCCTTTAAAGTTGTAGATTTCCAATTTTTTCCTGACAAAAATAAATCGAAAAAAAATCTATTTTTTTCTTCGATTTCATTGAATTGATGGTGTCACCAATGATTCAATGATTGATATGATTATCATTGATCGATTTTGTGTGTGTGAGATTTCAATGTGAGAAAAAATATATTTAGGTTCCCAAAACTGATATTTTAAGCGAAAAAAAATCTAAACATAATTTTACATGATTGATATGAAGCGGTTTGTTTTTGTATCGTGAATTGAAATTTTGATAACAAAACAAAATTTTTGAAATTATGAATAACAAACGGCAAGAGAGAAATTCCTCGAAATTGGAAAAGTTTTCATTTTCTTACACATTTTCGATTTCTGTAGTGGACAACCCGAAACAAAATCAAACGGATTCAAACCAAAAACAAAAAACATTGATTGTCCTCATTTTCCGGGTTTGTCTGTTTGAATATTATTGTGCAAACCTAAGCAAAAATTAACAGATAAAAAAGAATTTATCATCATTACCATTATATTTCACATCATTTAAATCAAATCAATGCAATTTTCCATAGAAAATGTCTTCATTCATTCATTCATTTAATGCGATTAAATCAATGACACACTGAATGACTGACAGACATGAAGAAAAATAGCAATATACAGACAGAACAAACAAACAAACAAGCAAAATCATTAACAAGGTACTCATGATGTTTCATGTTGTTGTTGTTGTTTTTTCATTCATCATTTCATCATAATCATCAACAACAAACAAACAAAATGGATACATTTGTAACAATTTTTTTTTTGCTTCTAATGATAATCATATTTCGACCGAATCAATGAAAACATTATATATGATGATGATGAAAAGAGGGAATAAATCATCAAATCTAAATCCAAATCTAAATTGAAAAACACAGAAGAAGAAAGAAAGTAAATTGTTTTAACATCAAAGTCACTATGGTTATTGATAATAATGATGATTTTTATCAATGAGAAAAATTAAGCTAAAGATGAAAAATGAAAATGAAAATGAAGTTGGACCTTAACCAGAAGATTCTTGTTCAGGCTAAAATTATCAAAAAATTTTTAATTTACCATATAAAAAAAACAATGTTAAATGATTCGTGTGATGTAATTTTTCATCATCATTTTGTTTCCATCATTTAGTTAATTTCCCTCAGTCATCCTCCCCCCTAAAACATGATCTTATGTTTCTTTGTGGTTGATGAATTCGGAAAAAAGAAAGAAAGAAAGAATCCGGTAGTGAATGATGCGCGAAACGAAAAAATGCGAAACAAAAATTAAAATTAGATTTTAAAGAACCAAAAGATTTAAGATTTGCTTGATGATGATTGTTTGTTTGTTTGTTGGCTGAACTGTTGTTAGTCAAACAAAACATGCACAAGATAATCATGATTATAAACTTTGAACTAATTCTAAATATAAATTCTGAATTTTAAGAATGCTGAATAGGACAATATTCATTGTTGTTGTTGTTGTTATGATTATGATATAAATTCAACAACGGAAAATAGAAACCATCAAGAAATAAAAACAAACAAACAAAACAGAATCTGAATTTTTTCATTGACATTTATCATTTTCAATGATCAATATAAACCGATGGACCAACCGGATTGTTATTTTTTTCAAAGTTTGATCGATCGATTGATTGGTCGGTTTTGTTTTTTTGTTAAAAATTTTATCAAATCTTTTTTTTTTCTTCAAAACAGATTTTTGGTTAATTCTGTGTTTTGTTTACATTATCACATTAATAATGTACATTACATCAATTTATTTAGTCAAATGATAATGATGAACATGTGTACGATTCGAAAAAATAATGTTTTTAGAAAAAAATTCATTTGCTGATTCCCATATACCCATCATCCATCCACCCACCCACGCTTATTCTTTTGGGTCAAACAAGTTCAAATTTGCTGTGTCATAAAAGTTCACATTCAGTTAACATTGCCTTTAATGGATTTTCTAGTTGGTCGATCTTTCAAGAAAAGAAAATTCGGCCAAAAGAATCTTATGTTAGTAAGCTAATGGATGGGTGTTTGGTTGGTTGGTTGGTTGGTTAGCTGTTGTTAACTTCTTTCATTAACGAATTGGTTTCTATTTAGCATATTTTGAAAACAACAGACGATATGGACTTTTCTGTCTTTCTGTCTTTTGGATGTTTTTTGATTTGTTTTTGTTTTGTTTTTGCTTAATTACTAATAAATGATTGTCGTCTTGTTTATCGTAGAAATCAACAAGAGAAAATCAAAAATAAATACAACCGAAAAGCGGAAAATTGTTGTCAGACAACCAGAAACAGAAAAAAAAAACTTGCCGAAAATATGAATTATTGGTTAGTTTGTGTAATGATGATGATGACAACAACCATATGATTAATCATTATTGATTGATTGAATGGATGGATGGTCCATCTTAAAGTCAGAAAAAATCGTATAAAATTACATTGAAATTTTGTGAAAATTTTTTTTCACGATTCAAGCACAAATAATGACAGGAATCGAAATGTGAAAAAAAATGTCTCAAATTTACGGAAAGAAATGTCAATAGTGAGAGAAAAGAAATGATTATCCTTGATGAATGTAATTGGATATTTTCATTTCAACTAAATGTATGTTTCTCTTTGAATCGTTACCGAATTGATTTTCCTTTAATCGATCCATTTTGCCTAGCGGAAAAAAATGTAAAGGATAATCAAATTTGGAAAAATTGGTTGCTCAGTTCTCATAAGGACAGAACAAAAAAAAAACAGACATCGATTTGAATCGCAAAGAAAATGAAGAAAATTTGTTTATATTAATGATGAGGAGATATCTTATGGGGATAAACAACGATTTCTTTTTTAAATCAAAAGAAAAATTTATCAATTTTTTTCGCATGTGTTATTCCAATGAAATTCACATTTTTTCCATTGAACGTTTCAAAAAAGAAAGAAAGAGAAAGTCAAACTTACAATACAATGCACAGGATTTATTATTATTGACAGTGATATTGTTGAAATGGCTAGTGTGATCCTGGAAATTAAATCAATTGTTTCAAATTTAAAAATTATTATTATTATTAAGGGGAAAAATACTACATACCAAAATAATAAATATGATGATGAAAAAATTTTATAACGAAATTTTTTACTAAAATTATCAATTCTATCCATAAATAATAATGGATTTGAATGATATTGTTTTTCATAATGATGATGAATATTTTTCATGATGAAAATTTTCAAAAATTACTTTTTACATTGAAAATTTTCGAATGGCAGCATTAGTAATTGAAAAACAAAACAAAGAACAAATTGTCAAATGCACAAAATTAAGCATAGCTTGATAGAAAATGAACACAAATTAGAAAAAAAGAAAATGGCAGTAACAGGTAAATTTCAATTCTAAATCAACAAGTGAAAACAGCATCACATCATTGTTGTTGTTGTTTTTATCGTTGTCAATAAATATTGATTTGAAATAAAAATTTGGCAGGTTTTTCATTGAAGAAAAAAAATGGTTAAATGCAGAAAAACAACAACAACAACAAACGGAACATCCGTTTATTGGATTCGGATGTATTTTTTTTTGTCAATGAATGAAAGAAAAAGAAAAATGTGTGGATAAAAAAAAATATATCCACCAATTTGATAATGAGAATCCAAAATCAAATCGCTTGTGTGTGTGTTTGTGTGTATTGATGATGTATGCCCCTTATTTAGCTGATGATCACACAGGAGCCTTTATTGAATGAATTAGATGTTGATGTTGATGAATTTTGCCAATCTTTCATCATTTGAAAGCATACACACACACACCCATATGTGCGTTCATTCATTCAATTAATTTGAGAAAAAAATCTTAATGTTGCTGGCTGGTTAGTCTGGTTTGGTTTAGTTCAATTACAAATTCATATCAGACAATTACAACCAACCCAGAAAAAAAAAGTAGGAAGACACTCAAACACACACACACAAAAATGTCGGCATTGATGATGATGTTTCATTTTCTGGTTCATTTTCAACTAAAAACCAAAAAGGAAATCTTATTCGAGGTTGATTAAGTTCGGGTTATGTTGTGTGTGTGTGTGTGTCTATGCGTATATATCATTTAAAACATCAAACAAAGACGCAAAGAATAATCATCCACCAGCAAAATTCGAGAAAAAAATAATCTTTGGGAAGACGCAGAAGAAGATGATGTTTAAAAAATTTTCTGCCTGATAATAAAAAAAAATAGAAAATGCAAACCGCGCTTTCTTTTTCTGGTTTGTGATTTTTTTTGTTTGTTTCTTCACTGTAAACATATCAAATTTTTTTTTCGGGAAATGATGATTTTGTCTTCTTCTTTCGTTTTCCACTAAACTCTTATACTCCCCCTCCAAGTTTTGTTCATTTTATTTATTTATATGTTTTGTTTAAAATAAATCCAAACATTTTATCCAGGCGTTGTCGGCACCCAAAGAAAAGTTAAGTTTATTCTTTTCGAAAGATATGAATGAATGAATACACACACAACACACAAACAAACAAACATAATCATTTACCATCCGCATCATCTTCTGAAACATATGTGTGTGTGCTAATGGATGGATGTTTGAATCCCAAATTAAACAAATTGGATTGCCGTTAGTTCAGATGAATAACAAGCACACCCACAGATTCAGCTCCACCTGATAATACGCCCAGCTTTATTTTATTTTTTCCTTCAACCAAAAAAGTAATGATGATGAGTGAAAGATTAAAACAATTGTAAAATGTGTGTGTCTCTGGTTTGTTCACAACAATTTGAAATAATCATCAATTTGAATGATCAAAGAAAAAAGAAAAACATTTTTTTTGGTTGATCAGATTCAGACTACCACATCCAGTATCCGGTGGTAGTGTATGACCATTGTCAACCAATATCATCATCATAATCACCGGAATCAATCATGTGTTGATTGTAAAAAAATTTGTTTCTATTAGTTTTGTTTGTTTGTAATTGATTTTTTTCCTTTTCCTCTTCGTTTTGTCATCGAATGTGTTCACGTGAATTTTATTTTGTTTATTTTGTTTTTAATTGAAAAAAGTTTTTTGTTTTTATAATGTCAACATCGATATTTGACATTCATCAATCATTATCATCATCATCATGAAACAAAAACTGTCAACAAATTTTAACATATGAATATGATTGTAGAATAAATTCAATCAAATTTTATTAATCTACACTGCCTTTAGTTTTGAATATTTTTTTTTTCTTTAAATTCATCAATTTAAAATTACGATGATGAATTCTTCACAAATATTGTATTCATTCATTTTATTATTATTTGCAATTGTTTTTCAATTAACCATTACTGCCGCTGAAGCCGATTTTCCGATATCACCACCACCACAGGATAGAAAGGTTTTTTGCTATTGTCGTGATTGAAATCAAAGTTAATAAAAAAAAATTCTGACATCTTTTTCATTTTATCAAAACAGAATTGTCAATGTTTTGCATCAAAATGTTATTGTATTGGAGCAGTTGGTGAACCGGTAATAAAGATTTTGGAATAGATTTTGGAAAAAAAATTCTTAGCATTTTTGTTTGTGTGTGAAAACAGGGTAATCCCGGTATTCCAGGTCTTCGTGGTGTTCAAGGTCAACCAGGAACTACAGGACTACCGGGTATTCCAGGAAATGTTGGTGAATTCGGATTACCAGGTGATATTGGTGATATAGGACCGAAAGGTATTCGTGGTGATATGGGTATACGTGGATTTGATGGTCAAATTGGTATGGCTGGTTTGCCTGGTCTTCCAGGCGAAATGGGATCACCAGGTCTTGATGGTTGTAATGGAACTGAAGGAAGAATGGGTCTTCCTGGTCCAACTGGATGGCCGGGTAGTCCCGGTCATCCAGGCTATTTTGGACCAAGAGGTCCGAAGGTAAAAAAAATCAAATTGAATCAATTCATTTGATTAAGATATATACGATTACATAGGGTGAACCTGGTGATGGTGGATATAATTCATTTGGAACTAAAGGAGATTCAGGCGATCCAGGTCGACCTGGATCTCCCGGCATTTCTGGTAGATCTGGTCCGCCTGGTATTCCTGGTGATCCTGGATCACCTGGTAAAAGGGTATGTAGTAAAGCAAAAGAATTCTTGAATTCGATTTGATCTTAAAATTTAATCCAAGGGACAAAAAGGAGATTCTGGTGATGTTGGTCCTCCAGGTTTACCTGGACCTGAAAGTCGAGCACCTAAAGGTTTAAAAGGAGAAAAAGGTCCAGTTGGTGAAATCATTTATCTTGCCATTCAAAGTAAACCTGAAATTATATTGTAGAAAAAAAATTAATTTATCAATTTTTTTAGAAAATGATACTATCATACAACCAAGTGCACAATCAAAAGGTGATAAAGGCGAAAAAGGTGAAAAAGGAATGAAAGCATATCCTGGTATTCCAGGCCGAACCGGAATAACGGTATATGATGATTATTTGAATATGATTTGAATAAATTTTATCATTCTGCTTTTTTAAAAAAGGGTTCGAAAGGCATTAAAGGTATCCAAGGTCAAAAAGGCGATCGTGGTGATGAAGGACCAAGAGTAAATTATCAACTTTTTTCAAAATATAAAATTTGCTAATTATTAATTGTATTACAAAAAGGGTGAACAAGGAATTCCCGGTCAAACTGGAATTTTTGGCGAAAAAGGACAAAAAGGAGAACCTGGTCTTGAAGGTTTAGTTGGTTATATGGGTGAAAAAGTAATTTAAAAAATATTCAATTCTTTCAATGATAGCTAATTGTTTTGTGTGGATTTATTATAGGGTGATCGAGGAGATCAAGGTATTCCTGGAAGGCCTGGTCCTCAAGGTGATCCTGGCCCGAAAGGCAAACTAATTGAAATTGGTGTATCGTTACCTGGTCCACCCGGTATACAAGGTCCACCCGGTGAAAGTGGATTTCCTGGACCATTTGGTCCTCCCGGTCCAATAGGTTCATTCGGTTATCCTGGAAGTCCCGGTGAGCCTGGTCCACCTGGCAATGATGGATTACTTGGAATGCCAGGACTTAGTCCGATTGGTGATAGAGGTGATGATGGTTTGCCTGGCAGTCCTGGATATCCTGGTCGTGTTGGTTTTCCAGGAATTCAAGGCATTAAAGGAAATAAAGGTGAACAAGGAATTACCGTAATTGGTCCACGTGGTGAACCTGGAACACCAGGATGGTATGGATTGCCAGGTTTGCCTGGTATTCGTGGTGATACTGGCCAAATTGGTGATCCTGGTTACCCTGGCCAAGGTGTACAAAAAATGGGTCAACCTGGTGAACCAGGATTGCGTGGTGAACAGGGTGATATTGGCGATGATGGATTGAATGGTTTGCCTGGAATACCAGGTGTCAAAGGTGAAAAAGGCTGGGACTGCATCTCATGCCCACCGGCAAGAAATGGAGAAAAAGGAGAAGCTGGCGAATCTGGCCGTGATGGATTTCCAGGCGCACCTGGTTTTGATGGCGATTCTGGTCCGCCCGGTCCAAAAGGCTTAAACGGAATTGCGGGATTGCCAGGATTGCCTGGTGAAAAAGGTGATCCTGGTAGTGAAGGAATTTATGGTCGAAAAGGACCAAAAGGTGATCCAGGAGAAGTCATCTCTCCAGGCGTTGTTACCATTGGTGATATTGGTGATAAAGGCGAACAAGGTGAACCTGGTACAGCAGGAGCTGATGGAAAAACTGGTGCTTCTGGTCTTCCTGGTTTGTTTGGTTTGAAAGGCGATCAGGTTAGATATCGTTAGTCAGTATTGATTAGATTTGAATCTAATAATTTATTTTAAAGGGAGATTTTGGTTATCCTGGAATTGCTGGACAACCTGGACCCGATGGAGTTCCTGGTATACCTGGTACGCCTGGTGAAAAAGGCACAACAGTTTATGGATTACCTGGTTTGCCTGGTCTGATGGGACAAAAAGGACTGAAAGGAATGATTGGTGATTATGGTTTTAAAGGAATAAAAGGTGATTCATTCTCTGCACCTGATCCATTGCAATTGCTTGCATTCAAAGGAAAACGAGGCCCACCAGGTCCACAAGGTGACAGAGGTGATCCAGGAATTCCCGGAATACCAGGAAAAGATGGCACGAATGGATTGCCTGGAATGCCAGGATTTAAAGGTGATCCAGGACGAAACGGTATCGTTCGGCCAGGTCTGATGGGATTCAAAGGTTATCAAGGTTTTGCCGGTGATCCTGGTTATCGTGGAAGACAAGGAACACCAGGATTCCCGGGAAAACCAGGCCTACCAGGATTTCCTGGTGAAAAAGTAAGTTTTCAAAGAATAATGTGAAAATAAATTTTCAACTGAATATTAATGAAAGGGTTTGATGGGAGATACTGGCGATGATGGCATAATGGGTGCACCTGGATTACCTGGAAGACCTGGACCTAAAGGTTTTCCTGGTGATATTGGACAAAGAGGATGGATAGGATTGATTGGAGAAGCTGGAGATCCTGGAATTCCAGGACCAAAAGTGAGTTGCATAATTCTCGATTCACCATCATAAATACAATGATTTATTTGATAAAAGGGAGATGTTGGTCGGCCAGGTCTTCCTGGTTTTAAAGGCGAAAAAGGATTAATTGGTATTTCGATACCAGGTCGACAAGGTTTACCCGGTAAAACTGGTCGTGATGGAATAGATGGTAACAATTCTGTTTTTTTTTCACAAAAATAGTCGATAAAATCAATTTTTTTTACAGGAGAAAAAGGTGATCCAGGTGATGATGGATTTCCAGGAGCACCAGGAATGTTTGGTCCTAAAGTAAGTCGAAAATTTTAAAATACTCGTTTCAAAATCCATTTTTCCAAATTCGAAAGGGCGTCATCGGTGATATAGGAATAAAAGGTGAAATTGGTGAAATCGGTCGACCGGGTAAAGATGGATACCGTGGATTAGACGGTTTGGAAGGAGCACCAGGATTGCCAGGCTTAAAAGGTGATCCGAATTTTGGTTTACCTGGTCCAACTGGTGTTCCCGGTGCACCTGGTTATTTTGGAGCGAAAGGAATGGTTGGTGATGCTGGTGATCCTGGTTTACCGGGAATTTTTATCTCACTTCCCGGTGAAAAAGGCGAAATTGGTGATTCAGGAGATCCTGGTTATCCTGGACCAAAAGGCATATCAGTATATGACAAAGGAATAAAAGGAGAAATGGGAGATCCTGCACCTCCCGGATTACCTGGTAGAAAAGGTGAACAAGGATATTCTGGAATTCCTGGTTATAAAGGAATAAAAGGTGAACCTGGACAAGTTTTTCAAGGAATACCCGGCCTCAAAGGTGATCGTGGTAATTTTGGTAGAGCCGGATTACCAGGTATGACTGGCCCGAAAGGAATGATTGGTGAATCTGGAGATCCTGGAATTAATGGTCCTATCGGAGAACCAGGATCTATGGGTGAACCTGGTCGAATGGGGCCACTCGGTACGCCAGGATTGCCTGGACTTCCTGGTAAGATTCAAAAATACAATTGGATTTTTCAAAAATTTTATTGATTATAATTGAAAAATAGGATTTTCGGGTCTTAAAGGTGAAAGCGGTCCGCCTGGTTATCCAGGAGAAAAAGGAAATCGTGGATTACCCGGAATTCCTGGTTTGATGGGAATTGATGGTGAAAGAGGCGAACCAGGATTAGATTCGCAAATCAATTATAAAGGCGATCAAGGTGATCCAGGTCCAGTCGGATTACCAGGATTAAAAGGTTTTTTACCTAAATAATTTTAAAATATGAAATTGATTCATTTTTTTGAAAGGAATGAGTGGTGATTCCGGTTATCAAGGTGTACCCGGTTTAAAAGGTTTTATAGGTGATCCAGGATATCCAGGATTACCGGGACTTGATGGTCTTATTGGATACAAAGGCATACAAGTAAGTATTGAGCACTTTAAATAAAGAATTTCAATATATTTACAAACAAAAAAATTTTCAAGGGTGATCGAGGTTTACCTGGAAGAGTTTACAACATAACTGGTATGTATGACTGTTATTCGGTTAATAATAAAGCAATGAATAATAAAATGTTATGTAGTTGCTCAGCCAAACATGCCGGGAGATCCTGGATTACCAGGTTTGCCAGGTACGCCTGGTAAACCAGGACCATTTGATGTTGGTGAAAAAGGCGAAAGAGGAGTACAAGGAATGCCTGGAATGCCTGGTAAATTTGATTTTTTTTTTGTCTAATCTTCATTAATATGATTTGAAATGTTTTCGAAGGAAAACCCGGTATGAAAGGTCAAATTGGACCAACTTCAATGCCAGGAGTTCCAGGTATCAAGGGTGTGATCGGGGATCCAGGATTACCGGGAATGATGGGAAGACAAGGACTTCCTGGACGTGTTGGTTTGCCTGGTATTCATGGCTTGAAAGGAATGAAAGGTTTCAAAGGTGATCTTGGTAATATTGGATTACCCGGAACTGAAGGACAAGTTGGTTTACGTGGTGATCCTGGATTACCAGGAATACCTGGAAATCCTGGTTTACAAGGTAAGTGCTAAATATTTTTTTGTCAACATTCATTATTTCATTACTTTTAAATGTTCTTATAACAGGAATCAAAGGATTTAAAGGCTATCCTGGTGATTTTGATCGTAACAAAATTGTAATCATAAAAGGAGAAAAAGGTGACTTTGGTGATCCAGGTCTGCCAGGATTACGTGGAAGATCAGGAGCTCCCGGTTTTAAAGGAACTATTGGTGATAAAGGAATGGCTGGAATGCCAGGACATCCTGGTTTACCTGGTTTGAAAGGAATACAAGGCGATACAGGATTTATTGGTTTTAGTGGTATGCCTGGACCAAATGGTGATCCTGGTATACCTGGTCAAAAAGGTGTCAAAGGTACACGATTAAAAACAATGGGTTATTATTTTACTCGTCATAGTCAAAATATACATGATCCATCTTGTCCGAATAATTCAACACCAATGTGGACTGGTTATTCACTTTTATACATTATGGGCAATGAAAAGTATTTAGGAAAAAAAATTGAGTAATTTTCCAGGACTAATTTTTTTCTTCTTTTTTTTTCATAGAGCACATGGTCAAGATCTGGGAAGTCCAGGCAGTTGTCTTCGTCGTTTCAGTACAATGCCATACATGTTCTGTACAATCAATGAAGTTTGTAATTTTGCATCAACCAATGATTATAGTTATTGGTTAAGTACAGATGAACCAATGCCAATGGATATGCGTCCAATTAAAGATGATCGTATTCGAAATTATATTGGAAGATGTTCAGTTTGTGAATCAACTACACAAGTGATTGCCATTCATAGCCAAAATACTATTGAACCATTATGTCCAGGCGGTTGGCAAAGTCTTTGGACTGGTTATAGTTTTTTTATGAATACAGATAGTGGTGGTGAAGGTAGCGGTCAAACATTATCATCACCTGGTTCATGTTTAGAATATTTTCGACCAAATCCATTTATTGAATGTCATGGACATGGTAGTTGTAATTTATATAGTACAGCTAATAGTTATTGGTTATCAACAATCGATAATAATGATCAATTTAGGATACCCGAATCAGAAACATTTAAAGCTGGTGATTTGACAAGAAAAATTTCTCGTTGTCGTGTTTGTATGCGTGGTTTAACAATGTAATTTTTTTTCTTTCTTTCTTTATTTCTTTCTTTCTGAATTTTCAACAACAATTATAAATTTCTAATTTTTTTTTGTTACTATATTAATTTTATTTATAATTTGAATAAATTTTTCTGTTTAAAATCATATATGTTTATAGTAGTTCTTTTATTATCATTCTTATTTTTTACCACAAGTTTTTTTTTATAAACCGATCACACAATTGTTTTTCCAATAAACAAAAAATCTATTGTTATTCAATGTTCTGTATTAATCGATGTTTTTCGCTTGTTCTTCTTTCACTGGTCAATCGATCATGTTGTTGATGATAAATGATTCACCATACATATGGTGAATGTAACAAATCAAAAGAAGGAAAAAAAGATGTCAAGAGATCTCACCATGGGAGAGAGAGAGAGAGAGAGAGAGAGAGAGAATTTACCAGTCTTTGAACAATACAACAACAAGATCATTATGTTTGTCTGTAAATTATTATCTTCATTTTTAATTTAGCAGGAAAAAAAATCCAAAATAGTTAGGATGCTGCAAAAGAGCCGAAAAGAAAAACCAGTTCCCCACACACAGAGAAAAAAAAACGATTTGTTGAGAGAAATGAACCGGTAAGATTCGCGAATGATAAGAGCCATTCTTTCTTTTTTGGATCTTTTCTTTTGTCGATCGGGCTCACCAATAAGATGTTTCTTTCTTGTAGATCTCATCATCGTTCGTTCGTTTGTTTGATTGTTATCTTATCAAACCGAAAAACAATTCAGCCGTGGAAAATATTTCATTTTTGTTTTCGCACTTAAAAATGTGTCAGAAGCGTGTTTGGTGAAATATGATTTTCTTGATTCCTTTTTCGTGATCAATTTCGTAACAACAATGCAACACCGACAATATCGACAACAACAAACGATGGATTGGCAAAAAAATATTGCCCTTATCATTGTCAATCCAATCATGATTATCAATGATGATGATCCACTGATAACCGACGACAATAATGATGATGATGATGATAATCATTCGGATTATCAAATTTATCTTCAACATTTTGATCGTCATGAAAAAATTTCACCCAATATTTCATTTGATAAATTACCACGAATGAATCTTTCCAAAGATGATTTTCATCGTGATTGGTTGAAATCAATTGATTGGCCGAATCGAAATTCCGATATGGAAACCTTAAAATTTCAAAATGTTCCTATTATTCATGATAAATTTATGACTAGTCATAATGATGATGATGATCATCAAGATGTATTGCTCGCACTTCGTATCTGTGCTTTACGTTGTTTATTCACTGAACTAGGTATCATACCGAACAATTGTGATTTTGTTCATTTCGATGAATCAATAATCGATAAATGTCGTAATGATTGGCAAAATTTTCGTAAATTTTATCTTGCCAATTTTTTACGAATCAATTTTGATAAACTAGAATTATATGAATGGTGGAATTGGCTGACACCAACTTCGGTTGGTCATTCACCACGTTTCGATACAATTTATTATCTGGTCATTTTACCTCAGACTTTTCCGAAAATTTCTACAAATAATGGTCATTGGATTTCTCCGAATCAATTATCATCATTGTTATTACCACCTAGTGATAATTATGAATTGAAATGTTTATCACAATTTAATCAAATCGATAAACTAAAACAATTTTTGAAACAAGAATATTCACAAATATCGATTCAACGATGGATACCATACATAGAATTTTATCAAGATGGTTGTATTTCATATTTACCAGGTAAACTTTTTTTCTGTGATGGTAAAAATCATCAGACATTTTTTATTTACTAATTTTACATTTCCAAAGGTGATCAATTTTATCCGGATCATGTATCGAACATACCGATTGCACCACCACGCTTCAACACAGATATTACAATGAATCAACGACGATCATCATCGATGAATCGTATCGAACATCAAGGGTTAAAATATCAGATAATCGTTTCGGGTAATCATCGTTATCAAATTTTGCCGAAGAAAATATCTAATGTAAAATCAAAATTATAAAAAAGTTTACAAAAATTTTTTTATTCAATTTTATCGATTTCTAACCCATTTTATAATCAAAACAATGGATATAGTCAAAATATTTAGGCAAATAAAACCGATAAAATCTGTACTGTAAAAATATTCGTAAAACATTTTTCGAAATAAATCAAGGTAGAAATTTTTTTGTGATCGAGGTTTTGATTTTTGATTATCGAATGATAATTTCGATATATCGTTCAAGATGATATTATCAGATTGAGTGGATGATGGTGATGGCGATGATGATAATGGTGAAGATGATGGTGTTTTAATCAACATCAATGAATTTCTATTTCGACAATGACATGATTGTTCAGATTTTTTAAATAATTTACTTGTATTACTTTTACTTTTGGTTGTTGTTGTTGTTGGTGATCGATCCGAACTAGTACTTTTCGAAACATTAATTTTAATTGGTGAACTAAAATCCGATGATATTGATGATGCTACGGTTGATGATGAACTTAGATCAATATTTTTCGGTGATATTGATGTTGTTGTAATTATTTTACCTTTAAATAATTTTCCATTTATAATTTGTGATTTTATATCATTTTTTGTTGTTATCGATGATGATTTTGTATTAATCAAATTTAAAGATTTTTGCTGTTGTTTTTGTTGTTGTTTTACTGATGTTGTTTCAATTGATAATTTTTGTTTTGGAGTTATTATCAATGATTTTCTTGGTTGTTGTTGTTGTGTTTTTAGAAATTTTTCAGGCATTTTTGTTGATTTTTTCAATGAATGATTTTTCGACGAAACATTTTCTTTTGTTTTCGAATGATCTTCATCCATGGTCCAGAAAAAAATTACAAAAATAGAAAAAATTATTCAGAAAATTTACAAAAATTTACAGAAATTTTCCGAAATAAATACCACGGAAAAAAATAAAATAATTCTAATTTGTTTCCTGGTGAAAAGAATTTCGAATTTTTGTTGTTTGTTTGTTATGGTTGAAAATTTGATTTGTTTCAATTCAAACATTCATCATTCATCATCTTGAGTGAAACATGAAACAAACCAGAACAACATTGCCACAACAACATTGAAATTCTGATTGATTTTCAATGGTGTTGTCATTGAATGAAAACCAATGTTTATTAGATTTAAAATCATTCATTACAGGCAACAAACAAGAAACATTTTTCATATTTTCAATAGTGATTATATTATTAATGTTTTTTGTCTATTTAATTGGTCTGAAAATTGGATCAAAAATTGCCAGAATGCAAATGAAATTCTACGTTATACGATTGATCAATCAACAAAGACAACAACAACAACAACATCGAAAAAGAGTTAATAATTTGAAATTATTTTTGGCCAAACTGATTGATGAGGAAGATCGATCTTGAAAATATCGATCGTTTTCGGTTTTTGCATATTCTTTAATCAAATGTTATAAAAAATAGATAATTTTTTCCAAAATATAAAAAAAAATGATTAAAAAATAACAATTTAAATTGGCTTAAGATTTTTCAATGATAATGATTTCGGCTGTAATTATTATTGTTGTTTGGATAATGATGATGAGGATAAGCTTCGGTTGTTGTTGATTGTTCAGCATCTTTCGATGCAACATTATCCGAATCTTGATTAAACATTTTCACAACAGAATTATAAACAACAAAATTATTGACACGAAATTGAAAACCAACACCATCCTGTACGGATGGTTGATTATTTGTAGGCAAATTTTTATCACCATCGCGAAGTGGTTCCATTCCCGCATCATTAGAATTATTCGGTGGTAAAATGGGATTTTTTTCCAAATTTCCTGAATCTCGATTAACTATATTAATATTAGTTGGTCCATATTGATTGGCAGAAAATCTTGATTCATATGATGACGATAGAATTGGATGTTTTGAATTTTGACATTCATTTTCATCATCACCTAATGGACAATCCGGATGATTATTACATAATTTTGACATTACAATACATATTTCAGTTGAATTACGACAAAGATAACAGCCGCTAGCGATAACAGTATGATTATCTGGTTTATTTGGATGACACTGGTCATCCGATTCATCTTGACCATTTGGACAATCATGATGACCATCACAAACACGTGATCGATCAATACAGATAAAACTTGGTATAGTTAATGCTTGAAAATCATCATAATCATCAAATAAATGATTGGATTTTTTTGTTTGATTTAACCAACATTGAAACATTCCATTTGGACATTGATTGATTACATCATCATCGATTGGTTTTTCCGTTGTTGTTGTTGTTAGAATTGGTGGCAATGGTGCAATAGTATCAACTGTTTCGGTTGCAAAAGGAAAAGTTGTTGCCTTTGGAATTACATTCGAAATAAACATCATCATTCCTATTGTTGACATGATTGATGTAATCATTGCAAATGCCATGATACTCAATATAATTATGATGAAAAAATAGATGATGAAACGATTTTTTCTTGTCTATACAGATCGAAGAAATAAGATGAAATTGGGCTTTAATTCACAAGAAAAAAAAACAGAAAATTTTTGAAGAAAAAAAAGTTTAAAACCGAAAAAAAACAGATCAAATTCAAACAAATTAAATCACTACTCACCATCCGATTTTTTTTCAATTTCAAGTCTATCTGTTTGAATTCTGGTGGATTCTTGTAGAGAAGGGAAAAAAATTGAAAAACTTTCGATTCTTGTGTTGTGTGTGTCTTTAGTACAAATCAAAACAAAGACAGGCAAATCATCATTTGTCGATGAGAAAAAAGATTGTTTATATCCAAAAAAAAAGTTGATTTTGATTTTTTTTCAGTGATTTTGGATGGCGATCATGTTTTTTTATATGCCAATTTGCATGTTTGAAATTTTTTTCTGCTTCTTTAAGCAAAAAAATTGAGGAAAGATATGATTATGGCTGATAGATTCGAATAACCCAAATCAATCAATCTGCTTCATGTTTTTTTCCGTTGTTGTTGTTGTTGATAAAAAACAAATATTGAAAAAAAAAATTGTTGTTGTCATCATCATCTCAATTCTGACAGCAAAAATTTGGTGATTTAGAAGCGTTGTGATTCCATAAATCAATCTTAGTTGTCGTTGTTGTTGTTGTCCATATCTAGGTTGATCTTATTTGTGATTTTTTCCTGTTGAAAATTCGATATATCATAGCCAACAATGTTTCACGATAACGACGTGAAAGTAGACAATAAATAATAAAATTACCGGCTGAATTAATTGCCATTAATAAATTACAAATATTACCAAGAATTTGTTTGATTTTTTTATCCTGATTATTATCATTATTTAATGGTTGATGATGAAATGTATCATAAACAATAACCAATGCTGTTGGTAATTGACAACAAATAAAAAATATAACAACAGCAATCAATAACCGTGTTACATGTGCATCTTGATAACGAAGAATTCGATAACGATTAAATTTGATTGCCGTTTCAAGTAGGATTTGTTGTGGATTTGCCAAACGATTAACCGAACGAATTGATTTTGTTGTTGTTGTTGTTGTTGTTATCATTTGATTCGAAGATGATTGTAATGATGTTCGAATGCCTGATGTCAACGACGAAGAATCACCACTATTATTTGCACAAAAACTATTCGAATGAGTCATCCATTGATGACGACGAAGTGTTTGTTGTTTAACCGACCAGATTAAAAAACCATTCATTATTGTTAACAATGATAATGGTATAAATGTAAAAATCATTGTTATAAATACTAAATAAATCATTTTATAAGTTTGATTTTTAGCCAAATCTGAATCACAGATTCGAATGAATTTTACATTATCATCGGTAACATCATCGTCGGCACAAATTTTCCATTCAAAATATGTTGGTAATGTTAATAAAAAACAAACCGAACCGATTAATGGTATCATTTTTAATGCTAATGAACGTGTACAGAATACACGTAAACGTAATGGAAAACGTATGGCAATATAACGTTCAATTGTAAATATAACAGTCAACCATATTGATGTATTTGATGCAAAATCACAACAAAATATTATACCAGGATAACATAATAGGTATAATATTTTAAATGAATCATTTGATAATGATGATAAACCACCGGAAAATGATGGATAATGTTGTATGGACAATAGAAATGAAAATGATAAATAAAATGTATCAAATATAGCTAATGTAGCAAGATAAATATGTGTTGTCGATGTAATTGAACGCATTTTTTTCTGAAACATAACAATCAATGTAATTAGATTACCAAAAACACCGACAACAGTAATCACTGGAACAAAAATACGTTGAACCCAGAATCGTACTTGTAATAGATCATTATCGATAGCCAATAAAGCGGTTGTTTGATTTGTTTCTGATATTATTTCATTCATCATTGAATTTGAAAAAAAGAGAAAACTTCAATGTGTGATATGCGATCAAACATTCGATAGTTTATGGCCAAATCAAAACCAAAAAAAAAGATAAATTTTTATTCAGAAATTTTGAAGAGATTTTTATTATTAATTTTTTTTCTTTGTTCACTGTTGCACAGTTCAAACAAACAGTTTTGGTTTTGGCGAAACTATGTTCTAGCTGAAATGATTTATTGGGATGACGACAATCGATCGATGATGATGATGATGATGGTTCCATGTAGAGAATGCAGAATGACGGCAAATGAAATGAAATTTCTGATTCATTCATTCATTCAATCATCATACTTTACTATGATTTGAATAATTATTATGTACATAACACTTGAAAAAAATTGGATAAACAAAAAAAAATGAAATGAAATGAAAAAAAGTTGCCTAAAAATAAGATTACAACCACAGGATTTGGGAATTAGTTTTTTCTTTTTTTTCGAATATTCCACTCGAAACACACGAAACACGCATGTCCAATTCGAATTTCATTGAAAAAAAAGAAAGAATACATTTTTATTCGAAAATTAAATTTGGAAATTTTGTTAATTTTTCAAATTTTTCCGAAAATTTCAATAAATTATAATCATCAAATTGTTGACCGATTAATTGTAAACCAATTGGTAAAAAATTGTTATCCGGATCGAGTTTAAATGGTAAACTAATTGCAGGTAAACCAGCCATATTAGCTGGTTGTGTACAATAATCTTCCCGGATTGCTTCTTCAGTTTGATCCATTTGATTCCATCGATAATAATTCATTGTATTTGTTAAACATACTGGTGTTAATATAAAATCAACATCATGAAATGCTTTTGAAAAATCATCACTAATTAAACGTCGAATTTGTAAAGATTTTTCAAAAAATCTTTGATAATTTTGACTAAGTAAGAAATAATTTCCGGCAATAATTCTTGATTTAACAATATCATTAAGTGATTCTTCACGTGTAGCTATATACAAATCTTCCAAATTTTGATCCGATTTTGTTGTTCGATAACCATATTCAATACCATCATAGCAAGCAAAATTCGAAGCTACTTCACTAGAATTTAAAATCGAATAACATGCTAATGAATATTCTGTATGTGGCAAAGATATTTGTTTGATTCGAACTCCAGCGTCACGTAACATATATTCAGCTTCTTTCCAAGCTTTCGAAATATTTGGACTAAGATTTTCAACATTATATTCGACTGGTATACCAATGGTTAAATTATTTAGATCATCAAGATTTTTATCATCATCATTAAGTTTAACATCGACAGTGGTCGAATCTTTAGTGTCATGACCATGAAGTTTATTGAAAATTAATCGAACATCGCCAACATTACGAGCCATAATTCCTGGTACATCCAATGAATGTGTTAATGGTATTAGACCGTACCGAGAAATCAATCCATATGATGGTTTAAATCCAACAATACCCAGACGTGATGCTGGATTTCTAGTTGATCCACCTGTATCGGATGAAAGTGATGCAAAACAAGCTCCAGTAGCAACTGATATTGCACTACCACCAGAGCTTCCACCGGCTATAAACCAACAATTTTTATCATCAACCAACTTTGATTCGGCAATCATTTTCGGATCTTTTGATTTTGAATAAAATTTACAATGAATACTAGAATTCCAAGGATGATAAGCCGGACCAAAATATGATTCTGAACAAGCTGAACCCATTGCAAATTCATCCATATTTGTTTTTCCCATTATTGTTACACCTGAATTGAATAATTTTTCCACTACAGTTGCATTGAATGGTGGATGATAATTTTCAAGCATTTTTGAAGCACATGTTGTACGAATATTTTTTGTACTAAAATTATCTTTAAATGAAATTGGTATTCCATCTAACAAACCAAATGCCTCGCCTTGACGATATCTTTCGGTAGATTTTGTTGATTGATCAAAACCAAAATCATCGGTACTGGTTATGAATGCATTCAATATTTTCGTATCACGTATACGTTGTCGACATTGTTCGAATAAATCTAATGGTGATAATTGTCCAGTACGAAAAAGTTGATGTATTTCAGCAATCGATCGATTCAGCAATGGTAAATTATTATTCAAATTTAATTTGTACATTTTTTTTGTTCTCTTGGATTTCGAATATCTTCACATGATCATTATGTCACGTGATCTACGAAGGGAATAAATATATTGCGACATGCATGTTTCACGCGTGTTTTTTATTTACGAACTGAATCTGAATTTTTGAAAGTTTAATTTGATGATAAAATGATGGCCAACGATTTGAAAACATCATCGAAAACATTAGTTGATGAACTTCGTGAACAAATTGAATCATCTACATTGAAGCCAAGTCAAAAATTTATTACCGGTTCAGAATGGAATGATCTTAAACGTGAACAAAATCGGGTAAATTTTTGATTTTTTTTTGAAATTTTTTTTCCGACTAATTGAATTCATTCGACAGACTTTACAGAATCTTGCTCGTGCTCATATTGAATCATTTAATTTTATGATAAATGAAGGTTTACAAAAAGGTTTACAAAATCTGAATCCAATTGGATTTGAACTGGCCAATGGTGATAGAATTGTAATACAGATAATGGATTGTGTAATTTTACGACCAAATGTATCGAATAGAAATGAAATAAAATCAATATCATCACATCATTCACTTTGTACAAAACTTTATCCATCCGAATGTCGTATGGCAAAAACATCATATAAAGCAAAAGTTTCATTGACAATAAATTGGAGTTTAAATGGTCGTGTTCAGGATATAATTGAAGATATTATTGGTGAAATTCCTATAATGGTTAAATCTAATCGATGTAATTTGGAAAAATTAACCCGATCAGAATTGATTCATCGAAAAGAAGATTCCGAAGAATTTGGTGGTTATTTCATAATGAATGGTAATGAATATTTGATAAGAAAATTAATTGCACAACGTAGAAATTATCCAATGGCAATTATACGATCATCATGGAAAGATAGTGGACAATTTTTTTCCGAATATGGTGTATCAATACGTTGTGTACGAAATGATCAAATTGGTTCAAATATGGTTCTACATTATTTAACTAATGGAACAGTTAAATTGAGATTTTTCTACAATCGTCAACCAATATATTTACCATTGATTTTAGTGCTAAAAGTTCTTTGTGATGTATCCGATCAATTTATATTTAATGAATTAATCAAAACACGTGAAAATGATAATTTTTTTCAATCATGTATTGTTAATATGTTACGTATGGTACAACAGGAAAAACTTTATACATCGAAACAGATTAAAAAATATATTGGTGAACGTGTTCGTATACGATATGAAGCACCAAGTTGGTATACGGATGAAGAAATTACTGATAATCTATTCAGGTAATCTATTTAATCTAATTACAAATAACAAGAATTTGATTTAAAATGAATTTATTTTTTTATTATTTTACAGAGAATGTATCGCCGTTCATCTAAATTCAAATGTTGATAAATTCAATTTGTTAGTATTTATGACAAGAAAATTATTTGCATTTGTACAACGTGAATGTGCAGAAGAAAAACCCGATAATCCAATGTTTCATGAAATTTATCAATCTGGTCATATTTATTTTACATTATTATTGGAACGGTTACAAGTGTTTTTGAGTACCGTACGACAAGCAATCGAACGTCAATATCAACAATCATTAAGATATCGTGATGCACATTCATTTTCATTAACAACAGCTATGGTACGTAGAGCTTTAGCATCAAAATATCGTGAAATTACTAGACCAATGGAACATTTGATTACGACTGGATATCTTCGTTCGAAAACTGGCCTTGGTTTGATGCAATCTGCCGGTATGGCTGTTAAAGCTGAAAAAATTAATTTCTGGCGTTTTTTAGCACATTTTCGTTCAGTACATCGTGGTCAATTTTTTAGTGAAATGAAAACAACAGCATGTAGAAAATTATATCCAGAAGCATGGGGATTTCTTTGTCCTGTACATACACCTGATGGTGCTCCTTGTGGTCTTTTAAATCATTTTAGTGAACTTTGTCAAATAACTAATCAACAACAATCAGTTAGACATCTGGCTTCAGTTTTAACTGTTTTAGGAATGGAACCATTAGATTCACCAATCAAACCGGATTCAAATTATTTAAATGTTCTTTTGGATGGACGAACATTAGGTTTTGTTCATGAAAATTCGGCTACAAAAATTGTTAATCAATTACGAATGTGGAAAACAACCGGTAAAGAAAAGATTCCATTAACATTGGAAATCGGATTAGTTCCACGTACCGATAAACCAACACAATATCCAGCTTTATATCTATTTTCAACACCATCACGTATGATTCGTCCAGTGTTTAATTTACTAACACAAAATATTGAATTTATTGGAACATTTGAACAATGTTATATGGATATTTGTGTTACAAATTCGGAATTAATATCCGGTATAACAACACATCAAGAAATACGTGAAACAAGTTTTCTTAGTATACTTGCTAGGCAAATTCCATATCCAGATTTTAATCAAAGTCCACGTAATATGTATTCATGTCAGATGGCAAAACAAACAATGGGTACAGCAAGTCATACATTAAGATATCGATCGGATAATAAAATGTATTCAATATTAACACCACAATCACCATTAGTACGTACAGCTGCATATGATCATTATGCATTGGATAATTATCCATTAGGAACTAATGCAGTTGTTGCTGTTATTTCATATACTGGTTATGATATGGAAGATGCTATGATATTGAATAAATCATCAGTTGAACGTGGATTTCAAGCCGGTATTATTAATAAAACAGAAGTTATTGATCTTTATGAATTAGCCGGATTACGTTCAACACAATTACAAGAATTAATGTTAAAATTTGGTTATGATGAAACGATTGATATTGATGAAAAATATTCCGGAATGTTTGATAAAGATGGATTGCCATTTATTGGAAGATTAGTTTGTCAAGATGATCCAGTTTGTGCATATTTAGATATGGTTGAAAATCGTACAAAATTTCATAAATATAAAAGTTCAGAACCGGCATATATTTTTGATGTAAAAATTTTAAGTGATGGTAATGAAACAAGAATAACAAGAGTTGCTATTTCATTTTTAATACGACGATCACCAATTATTGGTGATAAATTTGCTAATCGACATGGACAAAAAGGTATTTGCTCATTTTTATGGCCAGCTGAAGATATGCCATTTACTGAAAGTGGTATTATACCGGATATTCTGTTTAATCCACATGGTTTTCCTTCACGTATGACTATTGGACAAATGATTGAAACATTGGCTGGAAAATCAGCTTCAATGCATGGTTTAGTACATGATTGTACACCATTTACATTTTCGGAAGATAATCTTGCATCAGATTATTATGGTAAATTATTAGAAAGTTATGGTTTTAATTATTATGGAACGGAAAAAATGTTCAGTGGTGTTGATGGCCGAGAATTAGAAGCACAAATATTTATCGGTGTTGTTTATTATATTCGTTTACGTCATATGGTTGGTGATAAATATCAGGTACGATCAACTGGACCAATCGATCAGATTACACATCAACCGGTAAAAGGAAGAAAACGTGCTGGTGGTATTCGGTTTGGTGAAATGGAACGTGATTCACTTCTTGCTCATGGTACAACATTTTTACTACAAGATAGATTGTTTAATAATTCGGATAAAACATTGGTTAGTTGAAAATTATTTTAATAATTTTACTATTTTTTGTAAAATTTTATTTTATTTTAATCGATATAGGTTCATATGTGCAAAAAATGTGGCTCAATATTATCACCATATTTATTCTCGACAACAACGAATAAAAACAATGTCAATAATGAAGGAATAGATAAAAATGATGAAACTATCAATGGTGGTGGTGGTGGTGGTGATCTAGAAGCCGAAAAAATTCAATATTGGAATTGTAAACTTTGTGATTCAGCTGAACATATTGTAAAGGTGGCGATACCTTTTGTTTTACAATATTTGGTTGCTGAATTAGCATCCGTTAATATTAAAGTAAAATTTACGGCAACTTGATTAAAATAAAAATAAAATTTCCATTTTTAAAAAATTTTTTCCATATAAAAGTATGACTATGACTTATAGTCAAGTTAGGTTAGGTTAGGTTGATGACTATTACTATGACTGATAGTCAAGTTAGGTTAGGTTAGGTTAGGTTGATGACTATGACTATGACTGATAGTCAAGTTAGGTTAGGTTAGGTTAGGTTGATGACTATATCCATGACTATGATTTATAGTCAAGTTAGGTTAGGTTGATGACTATGATACATTTTTTTGCTTTTAATTTCGTCTTTTTTTATAAAATTTTTTTAAAATTGAACTTGCATTGTATGAACATTGCATATGTCAATGAGCGAATTTGACAACATTTTAATGCAGCTGATTTATTTTTTAGCGCGCACGTCAATGTTTTCAACAAACAAAATATTCATTCTTCATCAATGGATATGAATCAAGTTCAAAATAATAATGATAATGATGATGAAATTGATATTTATGAAGATTTAAATTTCAATCATGAACAACCAAAATCATCGGAAAAAGATTCATCAACTACTGATCAATTGTTTGATGAACTACATGTTTATGGAAAACTTTATCGTCTTGAAAGTGAATTGACTAGATTGACAAAAGAAAATACTAAATTAAATAATGATAATGAAACATTACGAAAACAGATTTCAATTAAAGATGGACAGATAAATGTATTGAAAAATAATATATCATCATTATATAAAACGGCAAAATTGGAATTGGATAGACGATTAATCGAAAAACAAGAACTTCAAAATCAATACGATACGCTTGTATTTCGAAGGATAAGAAATTTCGAACATCAAAAACAACAACAATCATCAACAGCTTTGGATAATAATAAAATTCCAGAATCGGATTCTGTCGATAGTGATAAAAAATCAAATCAACATAAACGAAAAACTTTACACAATCATCAAGATAATGTTGTCCATAAAAACAATAACCATGGTTTCAAACGTAAACGATCACCATCCAATAGATGAAGATCCAATGACTAATTAATTTTGTAATTTTTTCCTTATAAAATTCTAACCATAACCAGAAAAAACTATTATAAATTTTTATATAATTTTTCAAATAAATTTTTCCAAAATCAAAAAAAAAAATTTCGAACGAAACCAAAAAAAAAAGTCTATTTCTACTCAAGTTGGATAGGATTTTCCTGTTTTATTCGAATGCAGAAAAAAAATCCAATAAAATAAAATGATCTCCCTCTTTCTTTCTTCAATTGTCTATTTTGACACTTTTTTTTTCTTTCGTCGTCTTTCGTTGAATGAATGGGAATGGCAGCCGATAATAATAATAATGATGCTGATGGTAATAATAATAATAATAATCATTTGAGTTGGAAGAAAAAAAAACCATAATAATAATAATAATAATAATCATAACTGAAAACGACTGAAAAGCAATAATAATAATAATAACATGGATGGATGGATGGATGAAATGTTCGGTAATTTCTTGCTGCTGTTGCTGCAAAAAAATGGGGATCCAAACGAAAAGCTGATCAAAATTTTATATATCAGTCAATGGGCATATGTTCGGTAAGTTATCGGTATGTATACATCCTTCACATACGAATAAAGGACAATCGACCATATAAAATCAATAAAAAATTGTCCGTATAAATATGACAAGGAAAAGTAAGTTGATCAAAAAAAAAACTTTTTCATGATGGTCACCCAAAAATGGTGATAGTTTTTGCAGTTGTTTGAAATATTTTCATTTAAATAATGATAAGAATTTCTTTTCTTTCTTTTTTACGTTACTGTTCTATATTCTGATGTTATGATTATGGTTATTATTATTATTATTATTATTATTATTATTAGCGTTCTATTCAACGATCAACGTTTGTTCATGGACCATCATCATCAGCTTGGTATAATAATAATAATAATGATAATAATAATAATAATAATGTCAGTCTCTATAAAAATAAACGTGGAAAACTATAGATTTTATTTTCTTTCTTTCTTCATTTCGTTGTGTTTGTATATAATTGTTATGTTGAACTGTTGTGTATACAGTTTTCCATCAAATCATCATCATCATAACCATAATAATAATAATAATAACAATAATAATAAACATTCTTTATTTTCTCTTTCTATATCTGAATCCACTAACCAACAAAACACACAGTGATGATGTTTGGTTCAAATTTTCATTCGTTGCAAATTACAATTTTTTTCGTTGTTGGCCATATAATATTGATGATGAAAAAACTGAATCAAAAAGAATGGTGAAGATATTTGTTTGTCACTTTGAAAAAATCATATCAAATCCTAACCAAAAAAAAAAATTCTGAAAAAATATGAATTTTTGAAAAAAATTATTAAAATTCGAATATTCAAAAATCAAGAATATAAAAAATGATCGTAGTGGCATTAAATTATGTTGCAAGGATTCAAATTGACAATCTTGAAAATCGGATTGTACTGCTATGTTTTTTTTTCTCATTGACGCAATGCTGTCAGTATACTGTCCTAAAGGAAGATGTTATCAATTTTCGATGCCACTACTATTTATCAATTTAAGCTTTCTTCTCTTTTTCTATCTCCCCATACAGTCGATATGGAATTGGAATCTTCTTCTTCTTCTTCTCTCAAACATAAACAACAACAACAACAACAAAATAATAATCATTTGGAATGGGAAAACAAAACATAATTTTCATTCACAAATTTTTCCATTTTTCATGATTTTATAATTCAAAAATAGAAAGAAAAAAAGAAAAATAATTTCATTCAACATTGAATCAAATGATTTTGGCTGTTGTTGGTTGTTAACAAATTATCGATTGATTTGATCTCATCCTGAATAATCCAAAACTGTATACCAAAATTTTTTCACCACAATCATTTCAGGCGGCATCACAGATCGCACACGATCTGTTGACCGGAAAGATTGAAAATATTCATGTGGCTGCTGCCGCACAGGCTGTTCAATCACATTATCATAATGGCCAACAACAACAACAGCAACAAACGCATATCATTGACCAGCCGAATATTCATTCGCACCATCATCATCATCATCAACAACAACAACATCAACAGCAACATCATTCAAATGGTCAACCGGTCATATTGTTTTCACAACAACAACAACAACAAAATTCTGATCTCAAACGTGGACGTGGAAGACCACGTAAAGAAATGGAAACAACCAATAAAGATACATCAAATAGTTCCATATCATCATCATCATCATCATCGTCAACGACAGCGATCAAATCAACAACTAGAACAAGAAATAACCGTAATGGTAGCGCAAAAAAACTTTTTCCATGCGATTGGCCTGAATGTGGAATGTGGTTTTCACAATCATCCAATCTAAATAAACATTATCTAACACATACAAATGAAAAACCATTCAAATGTTTATGGCCAAATTGTAATAAAAGTTTTAAACAAAGTTCCAATCTTAATAAACATCGTTTTGTACATACAGGTTTGTTATTGTTATTCTTATTTTGAAATTTGATCGAATAACATTGTTTCTGTTTTTATATAATAAGGTGAAAAACCATTTGCATGTGATTATCCTCAATGTACCAAACGTTTTTCTCAATCATCAAATCTTAAAAAACATAAATTAGTTCATAGTGGTAAGTTTTTTTCAGTTGAATTTTAAATTATTTTCATTTTGTGTGTTCATCCAAAAATCAGGTGAAAAACCATATAAATGCGAATATCCAGGCTGTACTAAAATGTTTGATCAATCATCGAATCTGAATAAACATTACCTTACACATATGGGACAAAAACCATATCAATGTAATGATTGTGGTGATAAATTTTCACAAACATCTAATCTAGCTAAACATATGCGTAAACATGGCCGTATTGATTGTAATAGTCCATCATCATTATCCACTACGATTGTTGATCAATCAAATCATCAAATACCAATGTTTATGATGACCGATAATAAACGAAATTCGAATTCAATTCAATCACAACAACAGCATCAGCAACAGCTAACAGCAATCACTACCTCGAATTGTTATCATACAAATGGTCAAAACAATGTTAATCATCATTATCATCATGTTCATCTATTACATGATCCAAATAATCAACAATCAATAACTACCCATACATCATCATCATCATCAGATCAATTGGCTGCAACAGCTATGGCATTATTTAGCAATCATAATCATTCTAATCATTCACGATCATCAATTACACCTGTATTTATTAGCGATACGAATAAATTTATATCTGGTTTGTTTGCAAGAAAATTTTCAATGTAAACAAAAAATTCTTACAAATTTTATCTTTTTTCTTTATAGCAAATGATTTTTTGACACCAACAACACGACCATTGTCTTCAACAGTTGCGGTTACAACAACAGCAGCAGCAGCTTCAAATTCCATTTCTACCGCACCAGTCGCTGTATCAAATACAAAGACCAAATCACAAACGAATCGTATGATGAATTCATCGAATTCACCAAATCTTTCCACTTCATCTTCACAACCGCAACAACATCAACAACTTCCATGTCAATCATCAGTGGCAGCTATATCGGCTATTATCATTGAAAATAAAACTACTACCAACAAATCAAATGCAACAACAAAAACTTAATTATTTTTTTTGCAAAAAAAGACTAAATTTTTTTTTTTTGAAAATGACAAAAGTAAATAAAATAATAATGAGTAGTTGAATAAATTTTTTTTTTAAATAAATCATTTGTCATTTCTGAGTATTTATATGTGTGATTAAAAATGATTGTGTCTCGATAAAACAATCGCTTGAAAATGGAGGGTATTATTAATGATAATGGACGGAACAAAAAAGAAAAAGAAAAGAAATGAGAATTATTTGGATGGTTTTGTACCATCGTTTGATGAATTGGTCACTGTAATAGTTGGCTGTGATTGAGGTTGTGTTGTTTCTGGTGCTGGTGGTGGTGGTGGTGGTTCTACCGATTTCATTTCCATTGTTTGTTCATCATCTTCGTCATCGTAAAGATTTTTAATACGTCCAGCCAGATAAATAGTACCACATTCAAGTATAACACCGACCATTAAAAATGAAAATGCTGCCATATGCATATAGATACGATATTTATCCAGATCATATAACCAACAATTTCCCGTTTTACCACAGGATTTTTCCCAAATTATACATGTTGAATCAATAATTGCACCGAAAATTAATGGATACGGAATGAAAGCAAACACAGCGAATATTGTACCCATAATACCCATAGCAAAACTTTTATCCTGTGGATCGACTGATCTTAATGTTATAAGTGTATCACCAGTTCTAGCTGTCGATGCAATTGTATTTGATAATGCAATCAATGTAATATACATTGGAAAACGATTACAATCGGTTTGACAAAGACCGGATGTAGTTACTTGCGGTTGTGGTACACAGCTACAATTATGAAATGTCTAATTAAAGAAAGAGAAAAATACCACGGTTAATCGAATCATTTTTAATCAATTTTTCAATCATACCACAACTTCATGACCAGGTAAATGAAACGATGTTTTACAACCAGCATAACAAGGTGAAAAAAAATTTGTATTACCATCTTTGATACAGATTGGTTGATATATTTCCCCTGTACAGCCACAATCACGATTACAACGATAATCATGTTGATTTAATCTTTTTTTTGTGGAAAAAAATTAATTATTACAAATACAATGATTTTAAAAAGAAATTTACCCATATGGATTCATCGATAAACTTGGATTTAATTGTTCTAATCCGAAAAATTGTGGTGTTGGACATTGCAAAAACATTCCACCAAATATAGCTAATGATGATAATAATTCAACTAAAACAACAAAAATAGCTATACTACGTGCATTTGGACGAAATCTTCGTATGATTATACCACCGGCCATTGTTCCAATAGCCATTGTCAAAACAGATGCAGCACCTAAATTCAATAAAAAAAATGTTTACACCTTTAAGATTTATTTGAATAATCGAAGAATTTACCTGTAAAAAATGAAGCACTTGATGCTGATTGCCTGTATTGTAGTTCAATATATTTTGGCTTGACAATATAATAACCAAGATAACCAATAACACGAAATACACCGCTACAAATATGACAGATAAGTAATGAATTTTTTGAAAATCGTACAAAAGCTTTTCGTGCATCTAATTAACCGGATTATAAATCTAATCATTATGTCCATTTCAATGATTTTATTCAACAAACCTTGAATATTGGAAATATTTTCTGAGGTAGGTGCTGGTGTTGGTGTTGTTGTTGTTAAAGCTTTATCATTATCGGTTTGATTTTTACTATCAGAATTTTTTTCTGCTGTAGTAATAGGCTCTTTTTTGGTAAATGTTTTTGGAAATAAAAACATTGGAAATGTAAATAATAGAATAAGTGTGCCAAGAATAAGAAAACCAATCCACTGTGTTCAGATTCAAAAATCAAGTCAAAAAAATCATCAATTCTGTCAATTTCGAATAACTTACCCAGGCTCCAATCCAACGTGGATCATGATTATTGAACGATGGTGGCACTTGAAAATAATTTTTTTAGTTAAATTTTATTAAAACAAGAAAAAAATGAAACTTACTCAATGGATTTTCATAGAATTGAAGACAAATCGATGACAATACAAATCCTAATGTTGGTCCCAATAAACGAATAGTCGATATACTGCTTAAATAAACTGGTGAATTTTTCTTTTTAATATTATCATCAATATGAGGTAATCCAATTGTATAGAATGCTGTATAACCTAATCCATTTAAACAACATGCCAGCCATAAAAGAACAACAGCCAATATGACAGTTGAATGTCCTTCATGATGTTCACAATATCTACTATCTTTGCCGGCTATACACATTTCGGAATTTGTTACAGATGTTCGATTTAAAATCTGTGAATCAAGATGTGCTGCTGTACCGTATATAAAATATGGTGTAGCACTTAGAAAACATGAAAGTCCAACAATTAATTCACCAACAGCAATTAAACGTGAACGATTATATTTCGAGCCAAGATATCCAACAATTGGACTAACAATCATTTGACTTAGATTATCGGCAATCAATATGAAACCACTAACTTTTGTTTCAAATGCATAACGTTTTTCTAATGTTGATATAATACCGACCATATAAGTGAATAATGCACCCTGCAGAATGGCCAGAATAGAAAAATTGATGACAAAAAAATTTGCCGATGCAAATGGTTGCATCCATTGTGGACGAAATGCCCCGATACCACAAATAACTTCTTTTGAACTTAATATTGTTTCCGAACGAAGTCTTTTTGGTAGTTGAAGTTCTTGATGATGAGAATCGATCGATTCACCAGCATTTGTTGCCGCACCATCACTGTTGTTTGTTGTCATTTTTTTCTGATTGATTGATGAAACTTTTTTTTAAAAAAATCTAGGATTACAATCAATTAATCCTTCAATAACCAAAAAAAAAAATGTCAAATAGAACCTTAACCTTTTTTTGTTGTTGTTGATGAATTAGAATTACGATCACGAGTATATGATTTAATTTCAATCGATGGCCATCAACATGGTTAACAAAAATCAATCCGAAGAAGAAAGAAAGAAAAGAAAAATGGAAACAAAAGAAAATGAAAATGACTACATGTACCGACAGCAGTCGTGGATTGAATGTGGATGATTATGATTATAAAAATCAAATCGACGATCATCGATTTGTCAATGTGCATTATTATTGCATTTAAATTTTTACAGTATCTGGTTTAAAAATCGAGTGTTTGATTGATTGATTGATAATTCAAAGCTCGAACATTTTCTGTTTTTTTTTCACTCATCCTAATCATTTTACTTTTCCCAATCATCATTAAACAGTGAAAAAAAAAATTTGTTATCAATTTCATTTTCTGTATTCAAATTTAGTGAAACTCAGAAGAAATTATGTGTATTTGCAATAACAAAAACATATATATATCGTTAATTATCATTCTTCAATCCATATCAACAACATTTGTATCGAATTTCATATTCATCAATTTCATATTGATTTTTCTTTCATCAATTTTTTTTTTATTATTATTGTTTTTTGTTTTTCTGGAGCCATCATGATGATCATTTTACTATAAAGTTTTTCGATTGATAATCTTTTGAAATGGGACTTTATTTTTGTTCAAAACAACATCACATTTTTTTCACTGGTAATCGTATCGTATAATGTTAATGTCGGTTACTACTACCGGTTATTAACATATATTCTGATGTTTGTAAAGTTGAAACAAAAATCAAAAAGAAAAATAGGTTCAATGAATTTTCAATAATTAGATCAATGCATATTGTATTTCCGGGTGAATGTTAAAGTGTAAAAGTGAAAAAAATTAGTTTTTTTTACGATTAGATTTCTCAAGTTTTAATATCAATGTTCGCCTCTTAGAATGAAAATATGGGCAAATATGGCTTTTTATTAATGAAAACAAAAAAATTTCTATTCTAATTTGATTTGATCATTATTATCGTTATTGTTATCTTCAAATTCTTTGGGTTTCATTTCAATTGCCAAATCTTCATTATCTTGTTCATCTTCATAAAGATTTTTAATACGTCCAGCATAACATGCTGTACCAATTTCAAATAAAACACCCAACATTAAAAATGTAAATGCACCCATATGCATTGATACACGATATTTATCCAAATCATATAGCCAACAATTACCCGTTTTACCACAAGATTTTTCCCATATTAAACAAGTTGAATCAATAAGTGCACCGAAAATTAATGGATACGGTATGAATGCAAACACAGCAAATATTGTACCCATTATACCCATTGCAAAACTTTTATCCTGTGGATCAACAGCTCTGTTGAATTATATTATTAGAAAAAAGGGTAAAAAAATTCATAAAAGTTTATCTGGATGATTTACCTTAATGTCAACAATGTATCACCGGTTCTTGATAACGAAGCAATTGTATTTGAAAGTGCAATCAATGTAATATACATAGGAAAACGATTACAATCATGTTGACAAAGACCTGATGTTACAATGTTCGATAACAATGGTGATGATGATGATGATGCACAAGAACAATTATTAAAAGTCTAGATTGAAAATAATGAATTATTTTATGGGTTTTTTTCATATGTATCGAATGAATCGAATTACCAATATTCCAGATGATTCTTGATCAGACATTGAAACATCTTTACAGCCGGCAAAACATGGTGAAAAATAATTCATATTTGATTGTTGATGACAAACTGGTTGATAAACTTCAACCGAACAATCACAATTTTGATTACATTGAAAATTATTTGTCGATAATCTATGAATAATGGAAATGGAAATTGATTGAAATTAAAGGATTAAAAAATTCGAATTACATACGGATTGATAGTTGGATTCATTTGTTCAAGACCGAAAAATTGTGGTGTTGGACATTGAAGAAACATACCACCAAATATAGCTACTGAACTTAAAAATTCAACCAATACAACAAAAACAGCAATGGTTCTTGCATTCGGTCGTAACGAACGAATCAATACACCACCGACCATTGTACCGATAGCCATTGTAGCTACTGATGTTATACCGGTAAAAAATGATGCACTTGATGCTGATTGTCTATATTGAAGTTCAATATATTTTGGTTTAACAATATAATAACCAAGATAACCGACTAATCGAAAAACACCACCAATAATATGACACAGAAGTAATGAATTTTTTGAAAAACGTTTAAATCTTTTTCGGACATCTAAAAAATTCGAAACCAAGATTACAAAAGATTGAAGCGAAATTGAAATCAACCGAATGAAATTACCTTGAAATGTTGAATCATTTTTATCCAATTTTGTTTCAAATTCAGCCGATTTAATGAATGATTTTGGAAAGAAAAACATTGGTATTGTGAATATGAAAATCAATGTTCCTAATACCATAAAACCTATCCACTATAATGAAAAGCAAAATACAAAAATTGATTCAATTTCATTCAAAAATTCCTCCCCCTATCCATGTTTCAACATACCCAAGCTCCTATCCATCTAGGATCATGATTGTCGAATGAAGGTGGCACTTGAATTGAATTGAATTGAAAAAAAGAAAAATGTTTTTACGAATGAAACATACAACAGATAATAATGATACTTACATAAAGGATTTTCATAAAATCTTAATGAAATTGATGATAATGTAAATCCTAATGTTGGTCCTAACAAACGTATTGTTGAAATTGTACTTAGATAAATTGGTGAATTTTTCTTTTTAATATTATCATCAACATATGGTAAACCAATTGTATAGAATGCTGTATAACCAAGACCATTCAATAAACAAGCGATCCATAATATAACAACTGCTGCTATAACTGTTGATCTTCCACCACCACCATTATCATTACCATTTGCATCCAATTGACAAGATGATGATGATGAATCTTCTATTATCGAACATAAATCATAATTAATCGATGATGATGATGAAGAACTACTATTTGTGTAACCATGTGATCCAAGATGTGTTGCTGTACCATAAATAAAATATGGCATTGCACTTAGAAAACATGATATTACAACAACCATTTCACCAAATGCAATTAATCTAGATCGATTATATTTTGAACCTAAATAACCAATTATAGGACTGAGAATCATTTCACTCAGATTATCAGCAATGAGTAAAAAACCGCTAACTTTTGTTTCAAATGCATAACGTTTTTCTAATGTTGATATAATACCAATCATATAGGTAAAAACAGCACCCTGTAAAATGGCTAATATTGAAAAATTTATAACAAATATATTTGCCGATGCATATGATTGTAAGCATTGTGGTTGAAAACCACCAATACCACAGGTAATTTCTTTTGAACTTAATATTGTTGATGAACGTTCCAATTTTCTTTGATTATTATTATTATTATTATCATCATTATTGTTATTGTTATTATTCGGTGAGATTGTTGCCATTATTATTATTATGATTTTTGTTGTTGTTAAATGTCGTGGTTAAACAACATCACACAATACACACAACCGTATCAAAAGGTTAGTAAGCAAAAAATGGTTAAAACCATTTGATTTCAAAATATTTTTTCAAAACGAGAAACCTGATGATCAATTTTCGCAAATGATTAATTTATTTATCATGACCATAATCATATCGTATCAAATTATCATTTTTAAATGAATAAGGTTTCTAAATCAATCAATTTTTCCAATTGCTCGAATGATAAACAAATTAATAAAAATTGGTTCCTTAAAATCAGTGATGTGATAACCCGAAATTGGTTAATCAAAGAGAGAAAAGAAGAAGATTTTATAGTTATTTTATTTCATTTCATTTTTTAATCAAACTGATTGCTGATGCTAAATAAATATCTTTAACCAAAAAAAATAAACAATTTGAATAAATGTGTCAATCAAATTAACGTAATGATAATAAAATAAATATTGATATTAGGATCGATCGATCGATTGCTTGCTTGAAATTCTCTGATTTTTAATAAAATCGTTGCCCATTTAAACATAATTCACATTTTTCCATTAATTTTGTACGTTCTTTTTCCGTAAGTAATTGTTCAAATTTATCATTAGAAGATTGTTTTGGCCATTTAGATACAATATCCATTGTTTGATGGCAATATTTTTTAGCCAAATCTGGACGATTATTTTGACAATAAATTGATGCTAAATTCATATATAAAATTGGTAATAAATCTATTAGTTGCATTTCTTGTGCCTTATCGATAGCATTACGAAGATAACGTTTAGCATGATTGAATTTTTCCATTCGTGCATATAGGTCAGCAATATCATTTTCCAATATTAATGTTTGTTGATGTTCATTCCCGTTAACTATAATTGATATTTTTAATGCTTTAGTACGATATATTAAAGCACGATCCAATAATTTTGATGAAAGTTTTTCCAAATGTTTTGAATAATAATCATAGGCCATTCCAAGCAATGCTAAAGAATTACGTTGTTCATCATTATTTAACCATTCAATCGAACGTAATTCACCATTACGATCATCAAAAAATGTATCAGTTCGAATCAATTGAGTATCAATGGAAAATTGAAATCCTTTTTCAGCTGAATCTGGTTGATTCAATTGTCCATAACAATATGATAGTTTAATACTTATTTCAATTAATGCTTCACAATCTTGAGTAAAATCTTCACGTTTCGATAATCTTGTTAAAACTTCTAGATAAAGATCGATTGCTCGTTTATAATCACCTTTTTCAAAATAATTATCGGCCATTACATCGAATATATAGGTTTCGGCATCAGTATAGGATAAATCTTGAGCCATTTTCAATGCAGTATGAAGCAACATTTCTGCATAATGATGTTGTTTACGTTGTTTGGCCAATATGCCACGTTTGATTGCCAATATCAATGGTGAATCTTTTGGACGATCATCGGATGATGAATCTTCGATACCCAACAAAACAAGAATCGATGTAATCAGATCCCATCTTAATTGAAAATGTTTAGGTTTTTGATTATCATCATTATTATTGTTGTCTTCATTCGACTGTCGATCATGAACGATGGCTAAAGTTGACCTAGTTTGTTTTTGAAATAAAGGAAATTTGAAACTTGAATAATTGATTGTCGTCGTTAAGCATAAAGATCTAGGATAGTTGACAATCAACAACTGAGATAACCTCCGAATTGTTTGAATTCGTAACATTATTATTCAGAAAAAAATTCAATGAAAAAAATTACAATGATGAAACTCGATTCAAAATTGCCTAGTTTATACGATGACAGTCGTCTAACCGATTCTAAGGACATTTGTGATTCTATAATCAGGTTAGATGATTCTTTCGTTTGATTTTTTTCCACTCATTTTAAATCATTTTAAAAGGAAAAACTTCTGGTATAAAATAATCCTGAATAAAAAAAATGTATTAAATGTCTGAAAGTGTATTTAATGATTCTCAAATGATAACATTTAATTCGGAAAACATTAATTTTTCACTACAGTTCAAAAGTTCACTTGTACTCGATTCAATATAAATGTTGTTGATGATCAAAATAACTGAATGGCAATGTATTAATTTCATTCTATTTTTATCAAAAAAATAATAATTTTACGAATCGAATGACAGAAACGTGTTCAAATATTGATGACGAAATGACTGCTGTGATACCGAAAATTAGTAGATTATCACGGCGTGTTATACGTGTTTTGGGCTGTAATCCTGGACATTTTACATTGCAAGGAACAAATACCTAGTATGTTGAAAAAATTGATAAATGATTATTTTTTTTTAATTTTTGATCATTTAGCATAATTGGAACTGGACGTGATCGTTTATTAATCGATTGTGGTGAACCAGAAATTCCCGAATATATACAGGTGCTCAAAAATGTTGTCAAAGAGAATAATATATCGTTGACAAAAATTTTGCTCACACATTGGCATCCAGATCATGTTGGTGGTACAAAAGCTGTACTAGATAAAGTTGCTCATAAAGGTTTGATGATTGACAGTGATTGTCTTTTTAATAATAATAAAATAATTAACTTTTAATTCTTTAGAATGTAAAGTTTTTAAATATCCAAATCCTGATGATGATGATGCTATCACCAAAGGTAAATATGAGCTCAATTATTTGGACGATGAAGATGAAATTCATGTGGAAGGTGCATCGCTCAAAGTATATTTTACACCTGGCCATGCTAAAGATCATTTAGTTATATTTCTCAAAGAAGAAAACAATCTATTTTCCGGTGATAATGTACTTGGTGAAGGTTCAGCAGTGTTTGAAGATTTAACTAGTTATATACATTCATTACGTAAAATTTCCTCATTAGAAGCAAATAAAATTTATCCATCACATGGTCCAGTTGTAAATGATCCGAAAAAGAAAGTCGATGAATATATTGAAAATCGTATGCGAAAAGAAGCACAAATTTTGGATGTATTAAGTCGAACATCCGAACGTTTTGTTTCGATTGATGAAATTGTTAAAATAACTTATCCAAATCTAAAAGCTGGTCTAATATTTGGTGCTCAATGGAATGTGCTCAATCATTTGGAAAAATTGTTTAAAGAAAATCGTGTAGAAAAACAAGAAGCAGATGATGATATTGTTAAATTTCGTTTAAAAATTTAAATATTGTTTGTTTTAAAAACTATATTTTATTTAAATTAATTTTTTTTCTTTTGCAACAACAAAAAAAAATAGATAAATAATGTTAAAAAAATGATAACAGAAAGACAAATAAAATGATTAAAATAAACAAAATATGATTAATGGCTACATTGAGCCGTATACATTTGATAATAGATTCCTCTTCGTTCAATTAATTGTTCATGTGTACCTTGTTCAGCAATACGGCCATTCTGTATGACCATAATTTTATCAACATCACGAATTGTTGATAATCGATGAGCAATAACTAAACAAGTACGACCTTTTCTTGCTTCATCCAATGCTTTTTGTACAGCTTTTTCACTTTCCGAATCTAATGCACTTGTTGCTTCATCAAGTAATAATATTTTTGGATTACGTACTAATGCACGTGCTATAGCTATTCGTTGTTTTTGTCCACCACTTAATTGGGCACCTTTATCGCCAACCGATGTATCATAACCTTTTGGTAATGATTTGATAAAATCATGAATATATGCATTCTGTGAAGCACGAACAATTTCCGAATGTTCAACTTGGCGAGAATTATCACCATAGGCAATATTTTCGGCAATTGTTTTGTCAAATAACATTGGTTCCTGTGAAACAATACCAATCTGTGATCGTAGCCATGCAATATTCAATTGATGAATATTGTGATTATCTACAAACACTTCTCCTTGTTCATAATCATAGAATCGTTCCAATATTTGTGTACAGGTACTTTTACCACAACCAGATTCACCAACCAATGCTATTGTTTGACCTTTATCAACTTCGAATGAAATTCCTTTCAGTACACGAACTTGAGGACGAGTTGGATAACGGAATTCAACGTCTTTGAATTTCATCTCTCCATGACATTCATTGGGTTTATCACCGAAAATCGAATTTACCATGATTGTCGGTATACGATCAAGTAACCGGAATATAGCGACGGCGGCTAATTTACCTTTCTGATAATCCGATGAAAAAGCCACAGATTGTCCAATCATATTTGTACCAAATAGAACGGCTTCAGTACTTTTGAAAAGTTGGGAATAAGTAAGCTCATTGCTGATGATTAATCGACTTCCGTAAAAAAGAGCAACAGCGTATGCAACATTAAATGACATTTGTGTGAAACCAAATGTAAAACTTTTGATATGAGGTTCGAGACGAGATTTTCGAAAATCAACATCCAATGCAGTTTGATAATTGATCCAAAATGTTAATTCTAAATGCAGAGATGCTACAGTTCGAATATTGGAAATGGCTTCGACAGCAATTTTGGTTGCTTCTTCAGACACAACACGTTTGGATATGTTCATTCCCATTATGATTCTCATTTGAAAATATACCGAAAGCAATATGACCGGTACGAAACATAACATGACTAAACTTAGTTTCCAACAATAAAACATCGAAAGGATAATTCCAGCTGTTAATATCGAAACAGTTTGAGCCATTACCGAAAGCCGTGAACCAGTTGCACCTTGTATAGCGGATGTATCATTCGAAAGTCGAGCACAAAGAGCTCCGGTACTATTTTCCGGTCGATCAAACCAGGCAACTTCTTGCGAAAGAATAGCACGGAATACGTCGTTACGCATACGATATGTTAGATTTTCTGAACTCATTCCATATAAATATGATTGAAAAAATTGCAATATACCAGAAATAATACCCATAGCCAAAAAAATCAGAGCATATTTCAATACTTCATCCAATATATAATCGGGATCCGGATTAGCCAATATACCAAGAACTTCACCAAAAATGAATGAAAAAATCGGTATACTGAGACCAACTATAAATGAAAATAATGTGGCTGAAATCAATAAGTAACGATCGGGCATTACCGAACGAATCAATCGTCGAATTGGTAAACTTTCTTCTTCAAGAGGTTTTTCATCATTATTTGGATCATGTGCGCTCAAATTCGATGTCTGCACGGTATCAATAGATTTGGTTCTTTCGACATATGCGATGGATCGTTTTCGGATTAAATCTTTTGATTGTAGTTGTTCTTGTTCTTCATCTTGATTTTGTAATTTAGCCATAGTGTAATACAAACCTTTTGCATCGATCAATTCTTGATGAGTACCAAATTCTTTGACTCGTCCTTGATCAAGAACAATGATTTTATCAGCATTACGAATTGTTGACAAACGATGAGCTACTATAAATGTTGTACGACCAATACTAGCATGATCCAAAGCTGCTTGAACAATTTTTTCACTTTCCGAATCTAATGCAGAAGTCGATTCATCAAGCAACAGAATTTTTGGTCTTCGAATTAATGCTCGTGCTATGGCAATACGTTGTTTTTGTCCACCAGATAACTGTGCACCTCGTTCACCAACCAATGTATTGAATTTTTCGGGTAAATTCTGAATAAAATCAAAAGCATTGGCTTCCTTGGCAGCTTGAACTACTTCTTCGAAATTTGCTTCCGGATGGCCAAATGCAATATTTTTTTCAATAGAATATCCAAACAAAACTGGTTCTTGTCCAACGACACCGATTTGATCACGTAATGAACCGACATTTAATTCTTTGATATCATGTCCATCAATCAAAACTTGTCCTTTGCTAGTATCATAGAAACGTTGAATCAATTGAATGATTGTACTTTTACCACCACCACTTGAACCACAAATTGCTATAGTTTGACCAGGTTCAGCATCCAAATTTAAGCCATTTAAGATGGGAACTCCTGGACGGGACGGATATTCAAAATGAACATTTCTAAATTGAATTTGACCACGAATTTGTATTCGTTTGCCCAACTGTGATAGTGAATCGATTTTCGGTTTTTGTTGAATGATTTTAAAAATATTACCAGCAGCACCACAAGCTCGACCAATAGCTTCAAAATAAGGAGATGTTTGTCCAAGACTGAATGCACCCATCAATACGTTGAAAAAAACGATCATCATATTGCTAGCCTGATATTTTGGTGGCGTTTCATGATTTTTAATAGATCTTACAATCAAACGTGCACCATACCAAAACGATAAACCATACGATGAATAAATGGCAAAATACATAATACCCAGACTAATACCAGTGAACATACTGCGACGAATTCCATTACGACGAGCAGGTTCAATGTTTTTGTCATAACGTTCAATTTCTTTTTTTTGTCCACCAAATGCATAAACAGTTCTATCAAGTTTCAAAGTGATTATTATTCTGAATAAAATAAACATGTTGAACAAAACATACCTGATTAGATTGATAACTTCTTCGGCTATAGCACCGGCTTTACCGTATGCATTCGATTCGCTAGCTGCAAATCTTACTTGAACCTTACCAATAGCAGCAAAAGCAATACCAAGTACAGGCATAATAGACATTGTGACCAATGTCAATTCCCAACCATGATAAAATGCAATGCCAATCGAAAAAAGTAAAGTTGAAAAAGACATAATTGTTAAGGCAACTTTATCACCCATTCCTTGTTGCACCAGATTTAAATCACTGTGTAAATTTAGTTTAAAAGTTAATGATGATAATGTATCAATAAAAAAAACAAACAAACACATACTTGGTTAATTTTGATGCAAAATCACCGGATGCTTTTGTATCAAACCATGAAATATCTTGATGTATTATTGATCGAAAGAATAATAATTTAATTCGATAAACTTGATTACGTGCAGCTTGTTCCCAAAGACCAAGTGCAAAATAATCAAGAATACCAAAACCCATTGCAATCAATGCCATATACAGTGCATAATTACCAGAATTTGTACGAAAATCATCAACATATAATGTACCATTATGAAATACTGAATCATTAAATATATTGACAATATGTTCAACACTAAGTCCGGTTCTTGAACGAAGTTGATCAAAATCACTTGTATTAGTTAAACTATTATAGAAGCTAGCAGTAATATTATAAAACAAATCAACATCGGTAATATCTTTTAAGTTTTCTTCATAAAATTCATAACAAAAAGGTGGTTTATTCGTTGCAAATTGATGAAATATATCATATTCAATAAATATATTAGTTAATTTTCCCATAACTATAATAATTGATGGAAATCCTAGACCCAAACATAAAGCGAAAAATATTCCAAAACATATGAATATTTTATCCAAAGTTGTTGCATAACGAAACTATGTGAAAAATGAAAAAAAAAAGTTAAAAAAAGGATGAATTTTTTTTCAAAAAAAAAGTCATTTGATTTTTGTTGGGGGTGCTTATCGCAAATATTGATCACAAACAAAAAACTAATCAAAACTAATCAAATCAGGAATGATTAATCATCATAGTGATAAAGATGTACCATAATTATCACCTTGATATATATTTTGAGTTTTATAGCATCAAACATCAAAGTATTTTAATCCGACTTGTTACATCTGATCTGAAAATACTGAACTAAATCAAAAAAAAAGATGGCACTAATTAAAAAAGATTGTTCTCACTGATCAACATCAGTCGAAAGCATCACAAAAAAAATCAAATTGTTTTGTTATGAAGGTCATCCATTATAATTACCAATTTAAAAAATGAAATCGATGTCGGTTCATCAGCATTTTTATTGGTTTTTTCATCATCATTTTTTCCATTTTCATTGACAATTTTGGGTGGATCAAGATTGCTAATTTTTTAAAAAAGGAAAAAATTAAGCAAATTTTTTTCGAATCAAATTTTCTTTTACCTATCAAGTTGTATGGTATTTTTATGTTGATTATTTGAATAATAATTTTCATTCATATCTTGATTATTATCATTTAAATCGATTGATTTGAATGATGATATTGATTCGGTTCGTCGATTTGTTGATGGTGGTGGTGGTGGTGGTGGTGGAGTAGAAGGCGGAATATCATTATCATCATCAATATTCAATGCCATAGCTGGTCAAGATGATGCGTTCGAAATGATCGAAATAGTTCGTGGAATAATTGATCCAAAAAAAATTGATTTTATTTCAGTGATGCGACAACAAAAATCACATAAAATTAATGATGAAATCGATGGATGTAATTACATTGGAAATAAATCGACAAATGAAAAGCAATAATAAATTGTTTTTTTAAAAAAAGGTTAAAACTATCTGATCAGAACAAAACAACAACACTGATACGATAAGATTTTGATTATTAGATGTTTGAAAGAAAACAAAAAATTATTATAATTCTATGATGATGTTACCAAGGGAAACTTATAAATCATAATTGTTTTTTATCAATGTTGAATATTATTATGAATGAATGAGAAAATTACATTGTTTTTTACCAATGGCTTCTTTTTTGTTTTGTTTGAGACAATAATTATTTATTATAACGAGCTGCGATTGATAAAAAACACAATGTAACTATGCGATTATCATTTAAAAAAAAATGTTAATTGATGTAATTTTTGGCAATTGAAACCCAAGTTAAATTCTTGGTTGGTAGGATCTGGAAAAATAAAGTACTTTCAAGGTACACTGAGAAAAAAACACACATTTTTTACAACCCAAATAAAATAAAATAAAAAGTACAAACATAATAGGTGCAAAAAAAAACAAAAAGGTTGTGAAATTTTTCGGAAATTGTAAATAATAATGTTATTCAGGAGGCGAAAAATTTTATCAAATGAAATGGACAAACAATGGGATCTTTTTTTATGATTACTTTTTTATTTGCAAAACAGAATGAGCAAGTGAACAAAAAAAACATTCGAATCAGGAAGATGTTTGTTCGTATAGGAGGGAGGAAAAGAAAAGGAATTCAGTCAAAATAGATTTTCATGAATTTACGTTCTATATGAATGGACATTACACATGTTTTATTTGTTTGATTCGAAAAAAATTTGTTTTTTTTTGTCAAAAAAAACAAAAAATGTTTCGACCGATTTTGAGAGTTAATTTTTTGATTCGACAAAATTTTACCTTGAAAAAAACCTCGTCGATATCATCAATAGGCAATAATAGATGGCTAGGTACTACAGCTATACGTTGGAATGATAATGAACAACAACAACAGGTAAAATCAAATAATGAAACAACATTTGCAACATTATTTCGTGATTCACCTTATTGTCAACTTGGTTTACCTGAAGGAAAAATTGTTATCGGTCAAATTGTACAGGTTGTTGATGATGATATTTATATTGATTTTGGTTTTAAATTTTTGGCCGTTTGTCGCCGCCCGAAACAAAATGCAATGTAAATATTTTCTTTTTTACCTTAATTTTCTTTTAATTATCAAATTTTATTCCGCCATACCAGATCATATTGTCGTGGCGCTCTTGTTAAAGTTCGTATCAATGATTTAGAATTAAGTGATCGTTTTCTTGGATCATCACAAGATATGACATTATTGGAAGCTGATGTTACATTATTAGGTTTACATTCAAGTCCGATTAAAAATGTTACGGCAACAAAATCTCCAACAACCTAATAATTTTGAAAATTATAGTAATTTTAATTAATTTTTTTTTGTAATTAATCTTTGTAATTAAATAAAAAAGGTGAAATAGATTTACAATTTTTTTTTTGTTTTGTTTTGTTTGTTTCATGAAAACGTCTTGTATGAACGGTTTATTTTGCTGTTGTTGATTTGTTTTTGTTTTGGATCGATAAATTTCGCTTTCACTTTTTTTAGTTTTCCTTTTTGATTTTTATTTTGAGTCAAAAAAAATTCTTCTCGAATCACTAAAAAAAATTTCATTCAAATAAAATTCACCATGTCTTCATCAAGTGAACAAACTGAAAATTTTGATGATAAACTTCGAAAACGATCAACAATGAAATTGGATCAAAACCAAAATCCATTAAATAATAATAATAATGGTGAATCGATGATGAATATTTTAGATGATAATAATGAAAATGGTTTTGTTAATATCGATGATGATGATGATAATTTGGCCAAAAGCCAACCATCAAAGTTGAAAAATGAAGATTCTGTACGAAAATTTAATGAATCAATACAGGCATTAAATCTATGGATCTGGCAATGTCAAACATGGACTTATTTTCATGGAGCATATCAAACTCGTATTCAACAACAACTACAACCACAACAACCACAGAATAATATACAGCAGTCGGGAATAGCAACCGATTCTGGCAATCAACAACAACAACAACAACAATCAACAAATATGAATCGGGGTAAATTTTTTTTTAATTCTGCAATGAAAAAACATTGAATTCTTGACAGTAGATGGTGCCATTTTTTCCGTTAAGAAAAAAAAATCAAGTTTTAAAAAAATTTCAATTTGATAATTCTTGTTTGTTTGCTTTGATCGGTCCATTCGATTGTGATTAAAAAAGCGAAAAAGATTATTATTGTTTTTTTGTTTCATTGAAGAAACAAATTTTTTCGGTTGTATCAATTTTTCATTTGTTCCAATGTTTACTTAGCCGATACAATTCCTATTTTGAAATTTGAAATTTTTTATTTATCTAAAGAGGGGTGTGCGTTTGTTATTGTCTTTTTTTCTCGATACTGGGAAATGACAATGTCAACATCGAATTGTTGTTGTTTTTGGAAACAAACAAACAAATAAAACCAACGGTAGAATCAGTAAGAATTGAAAATTCAATTTGAAATTTAGTTTTTTTTTAATTTAGTTTAGTTTTTGCAAGTTTAATTTCAAAAAAACAAAAACAAACAAATATCCAATATAAAAATCGTTCATCACTATCGCGATTATTCGATTCGATTGTGTTCGATTCGAATGTTTTTCCAAAAAAAAAAAAAAAAAAAAATATTTTCCGCTTGCTATCTTTTACTTTGTTTTTTTTTCCACAATCATTATAAATGATGATGATAATGATGATGATGTGGGCGTCATAATGAAAGAATGTTTGATATATGTTTTCTGTCATCATCATCATCATTATCATCACGAAATGGTCATCATTCATTTAGTAATTAATTGTGTTTGAATTGTTTTTTGTTTTGTTTTGTTGCTTTTCTGGAATCGTTAGACCCAAAAAAATGAATGTACAATTCGAGCGTTTTTTGTGTGTGTGTTTTGTGGAGATTCTGGGTTTGTTTTTGTTTTTGTTTTTTCAGTTTGTCTATTTGCGAACAAATTGATTGAAAGAATCGGGGTAAAAAAAGCTCTTATTTATTATATCTTTTTACCCGAAAAAAAAAATTTCTTATGAATGAATTGAAAAGTGAAGAGTTTTTTTTTTTTGTTTGGCTTATCTTTTGGCCATTTTCTTTCTTTCTTTTTTCTTTTTGTTGTTGTCGTTCTCCATTCGGTTTTCGATCATCCCACTTATCTTGGTTTTTTGGCTTCTAATCTCAATCTTTGGTTTTGGTTGAATTGCATTTTGTATAATGCAAAGATAAAAAAAGACGTTTTTTTTTGTTGGTTTTTTTGTAACAAGCCAATAAATTCTTCTACAATGATGATGACCAAAACAAAAACCAACAAAAAAAAATCATTCGTTTCTTTTGAATTTCAAAAAGTTTTTTCTCTCTTCTCTTCTCTTCTCTTCTTCGTCTTTTGTGACCAAAAACCTAAAAAAGATCCTACTTAAAGCCGATTATATATTTCTGGTGTGCATTCATTCTGTTGGTCGTCGATACAAAATTCCAGTGTAGAGAATTTGAATTTTTCAATCCATAGTGGTCAAAGTTTCAAATATCAAAAAAATGAAACGAATTCCATCAAAAAGTGATTACACACATAGAAACTCATTCACCTGCGATTGAAAACAAAAAAAAAACTTTCCTTCCTTCATTCAACAAAACGTTATTAAGAAAATAAAAACGAATATCATCATCGATAGCAAAGCATCAACATCATTATTTATTTGGCCATTGCTGTTTGTTTTTTTTATTGCACAGAAAAAAAACAAAACAATGCAAAAACAAACAGTCGGTGGTATTGTTTGGTAGAAAAATTCCAATTTCATTCATTTCAGTCAGTAGTCATCTGGCTATTTCAATAGTCATATTGTTTCAGAATTTTCTATTTTATNTTATTCGATTCGATTGTGTTCGATTCGAATGTTTTTACAAAAAAAAAGAATATTTTCCGCTTGTAATCTTTTACTTTGTTTTTTTGTTCCATAGTCATTATAAATGATGATAATGATGATGATGTGGGCGTCATAATGAAAGAATGTTTGATATATGTTTTCTGTCATCATCATCATCATCATCATCATTATCATCACGAAATGGTCATCATTCATTTAGTAATTAATTGTGTTTGAATTGTTTTCTGTTTTGTTTTGTTGCTTTTCTGGGTCTCACTTGAATCGTTAGACCCAAAAATGAATGTACAATTCTGGCGTTTTGTGTGTGTTTTGTGAAGATTCTGGGTTTGTTTTTGTTTTTTTTTCAGTATTTGCGAACAAATTGATTGAAAGAATCGGGGTAAAAAAAAGCTCTTATTTATTATATCTTTTTACCCGAAAAAAAAAATTTTCTTATGAATGAATTGAAAAGTGAAGAGTTTGGCTTATCTTTTGGCCATTTTCTTTCTTCCTTTTTTCTTTTTCTTTTTGTTGTTGTCGTTCTTCATTCGATCATCCCACACTTATCTTGGTTTTTTTGGCTTCTAATCTCAATCTTTGGTTTTGGTTGAATTGCATTTTGTGTAATGCAAAGATAAAAAAAACGTTTTTTTTGTTGGTTTTTTGTAACAAGCCAATAAATTCTTCTGCAATGATGATGACCAAAACAAAACCGAAATCATTCTTTGAAATTCAAAAAGTTTTTTTCTCTTCAATTCTCTTCTTCTTCGTCTTTTGTGACCAAAAACCTAAAAGCCGATTATATTTCTGGTGTGCATTCATTCTTGGTCTTCGATCTGGTACAAAATTCCAGTGAAGAGAATTTGAATTTTTCAATCCATATAGATAGAATCATGTGGTCAAAGTTTCAAATATCAACGAAAAATGAAACGAACGAATTCCATCAAAAAGTGATTACACATAGCAACTCACTCACCTGCTATTGAAAAAACATTTCTTCCTTCATTCAACAAAACGTTATTAAGAAAATAAACGAATATCATCGATAACAACGCATCAACATCATTATTTATTTGACCATTGTTTTTTTTATTACACAGAAAAAAAACAATGCAATGCAAAAACAAACAGTCGGTGGTATTATTATTATTATTTGGAAGAAAAATTCCAATTTCATTTCAGTCAGTCATCTGGCTATTTCAATAGTCATATTGTTTCAGAATTTTCTATTTTATATTCATCGATCATTTTGTCTCTGCCAAACGCACACAACATACACTATATTCACAGCAAGTTTGTTAATATAACATTGTCAATTTTTTTCTGTTGTCTGTTTAGTTGAGGGGTAGAGATTCTCCATAGAGAATATTCTTCTTCTTCTTCTATTGTCATTCTGTATTCAATTGTTGTTTATATGAATTTTTTTCTCATTCGATTCTCTCTTTGTTAGAATATTCTCTCTTTGCTGTGATGATTTATTATTTTTTCATTTTTTATTATTATTATTCTTTATGAACATTCAGAATATTGGTCAAGCAGCGTTTTCTCTTTATTCTTGTTGTTGTTTTGGTAGAATTCTTCATTTTTTATAGATAATGTTCATCATCATTATTTTGAAATTTATATATTTTTTAAAGAATTTCAAATTCTCTATTTTACTTCTGGTCATTTTTTTCGATAGAGGAAAACGAGGATTTGTCATTTTTGGACAAATCTTTTTTCTCTCTCGTTGGCTGGCTGGCTGGCTTGATTCTTGGAAAAAACTGGGCAATTCTTTTTGTTGTCCTGATTCTTTGATTCTGGCTACTATCAAACTCCATAGTCAAAAGTATGAAAGGATTTTTTTTTTGTATTTTTCGCTACATTCGAATGATGATGATGACAGTTATTAATTGCCTAAAAATTGTCCAAATCCAAAACAGAATCCAGAAAAGAATTGAAAAAACAGAATCCAAAAAGAAAAAAGTTTGAGTTTTAAAAGCTGCAGATAACCGATTATAATGGTGATGGTGGTGTTACCACTATTTTTCTACTAAAGTAATGAACGACTGCTAAGCCGACAATGACCGATCGGTTTATGACGTGTTATTATCATCATCATTTTTTTGGGAAATTTTTTTTCAATTTTTTTTGATGGAAACTTTCTCAAGGAATTTCGGACGCCTAAAAAAGATGACGATAATAACTACGTTGTGGTTGATTTTGGGTTTCCCAAAAATTGAATTTGTTTCAATTCGTTTTTGGAACTTTGTAATTTATTTCGATTGTCGAATCATCATCATCTTTCGATAATCGATTGTGTTCGAATCATTCGAGCAAACAATCGATATTCGATTGTGGTGGTGGTGGTCAGGTATAATCAATCAATCAATCAATGTCAAAAAATGAGTGAAAAAATTTCAATTTTATTTCAGCAAATATTCAGTAGGAAAAAACAAAAGAGAAAATTCAAGAATTCTGCTGGACTTTTTCCTGTTCTTCTTGTTGTTGTTTATATTTATCCATTGAATATCTTTCCATTTCAATACCGATAATTGTTTCAAATTCTTCAGAAAATTCTTTACAAATTTCCGTTAACATTGTTGATAATAATGTTAATTGATCAATCATATCGAATATATCTTCGGGTTTCTTTTCATCCAACATACGTATTGTATATGATGTTATTTCTTCTTCATTTGGTTGTTGTTGTTCTGGTGGTAGTTGTTGCAGTAAATCCATTTTTCTCTTTGTTGAAATCAATGAAATCGGCTCTGCTCAGTGGAAAAAGTGGGAAAAACTTTCCAAAAAAACAGAAAAATTTATTGAAAGTTTTTTCGAATATTCGAATTTTCCTTTCTTCGAAAATTAAATTATTCAAGTGTAAATATTAATCAGATATTTACCCTGTTTTTCCTTCATTGATCGATTCGACTTTCCGTTTTTGATTCCGTTTTTCGAAAGAATTTCTCTTATCACTTTTCAAGAATCGTTTTAGTAATAAAAACGCTACTACTACTACTGCCTAAACGGGTTAATTTACTCTAATTACCCAGTCACATCAACATCGTAATCATCGATTTTAATGTTTTTTTTTCTTCTTTTCGGTTGGGTAAAATGAATACGAAAATGATTTTCGTTTCTTTCAGAAAAAAAAATGTTTCAATGAAAAATACCAATGATAATGACCAGAAAAAAACTACATAGATTCAACATACTGGAATCCCCCCAAAAAAAACGATATCAAATTCATTACGAAATTCAAAGCGAGTAATTGTCGTTCGTTTGTTTCTGACATTACACACACTGTGTAGATATCATTATCATGTTGCTTTCTCATTTGGCTGGTTTGTGGACTGTGTGCATTTCGTTATAAACGACGATTACAAACGATCAAAACGATTCATTCATTCATTCATGATGATAATGATGATGATGATTAAAAAAAAACTAAAAAGAGTAACCAATGTTTGTTGGGGAAACGATTTGGTTTTCGATTTTTTTTGGCTTAATCATCGATTGTTTTTTGTTTTTGTTTTGTTGTTTTTTTACTTCGTAATTCGGATATTAATGAGCACTAAACAACAACAACAACGTGGATCTAATCGACGATTTTGTTTTTGTTTTTTGATCTTTTTTCGTTCGATTTGTCTGATGATTATTCGTGTGTCCACATCAGTAGTCTGATGATTTTCAATCAATCCAATTTTCCAACGTCGGAAAATCGATACATTTTTTTTTCTTTATTTTTCTTACTGATTTTTTTTTTGACTGGAAAAATTCTCGGAAATATTTCCGATGAAAATCACAAAATTATCAAATTAATGAGGAATCATTGATTTGGCATCATCATTATTGAATTCTGTATCAGATTTCAGAATTTCAAATAAAATACTTGCTTGCTCATCAAATGGAATATACGTGTATAGATGGAAAATTTTCCATGTTAAAAATTGATTTTCATAAATATTTTTTTCATTTTTTTTGAAAAAAAAATTTTTTGATGATCAAAACATGTATACAACGTACGTGCTTGATTTGAGATTTGCATTTTGTTGTTGTTCTTGTTGTTTAAAAAAAAAAATTTCATAATGATCATCATAGTCATCAACCTAACCTAACCTGAACTAATGAATCACAGTCACAGTCATCAACCTAACCTAACTTGACTGTAAGTCATACGAATTATAGGCTCGAAATTACTCGAAAAAATTAAGAAAAACCAAAATGATGAAGAAAAATCAATTTAGAAATAATAATATACTTTCTTTTTTTCCTTATCATTTTCCAACAACAAAAAATGACAAAAATTCTTGTAAATTACCCTTTTTTCTCGCTTAATCATAATAATCATAACTTTTATAAAACTGACTTATTCATCACAATCTTTCACTTTCACTTTTACTTTCTCTCATAATCACTTTCACTCTCTCTCTAGCTATATTAACACCCGTAATTGAACCCTTACGGTTTTTTTCTCATCTCGATGATGATGATGATCGTTGCAAAATTCTTGTTCCAGAATATTGATGATGACAATAGAAGCCAGTAACAACAACGAAAACAACAATAAAAATGATGTTATTGTCAACGTTGACAACATCCTTTTCCATTAGCACACACAAAAAGAATTGCAACTTTTTTCACCCCTCACCATAGCTCTCAATAGCAGAATTTTATTGGAATCAGAAAAAGAAAAAAGTTTTTTCATTCATCTTGCCTCCATTGAAAAAACTGAATGGTAGAATATTGTTGTTGTTGTTATTCTCGCCAATGGCGTTGTTAATGTTTCATTCAATGTTTTATCCTGTAGCGAATTATTGTTGTATAGTCATTGTCGTTAATAATAATGATATCTCATTCGGTGTGTGTGTGTCTGTTGATAAGTGTTGAAAACTTTCAAAGTTCTTCACAATGTTGATGATGATGATTTTGATGATGGTAATCATCATTGTCATAACACTTTTCTCTCTTTGGATGAATCGTTCCACGAACAAAAAAAACACTTCAAAACTTATGGATGATGTGTGTTTGGTGATGTTGGCGATGGTCGTCATTGTCAAACACCGAAACACCAATCATCAAAAAACTTTTGGCTGATCGTGATGATGATTTTTATGATTTTTTTTCTGATGTTTTTGTCGATCAAATCTAATAATTTTTTTTTTGTTTTCTCCACTATTTCCACATCATATACAGGTCCGGTTATGGTTGTAAAACTTTCATCAATTCGTAAACGTTTATTGGCCAGTATGATTGATTATTTTTTCATTCTATTTTTATTCGATCAATTTCGTATGCTTATTGCTGAATTATTTGATTATGATATTCCATTGTAAGTTTTTTTTTTGTTTTATTCTGTAAAGAATTTGTAGTTCTTGCAAAATTCTTGCAAATTTTCTTTTTATAAAAAAAATTTCATTAAAATTTTTCCAAAAAGAATTTCATTATATTTCCCCTCCCCCTTGTAGTAATTCAGTGTTAAATTTACATATAATGAATTTATTTTAGAACAAAATTTCAGCTTAGGTTACTATGTCGGTGTTGGTTGGTGGGTGTATATAGCCATCCAGAATCAAATTATGTAACAAAAAATTTTTGTTTTTTTTTCATCAAAGAATTTCACTATTCTCTCCTATACATTCATTTGTTTCTATTACCATCCATATTTTTCGACACACACACACACAAGCAAATCTAATTATTTTTTGATCATTGAATTCTCTCTGTTGCTGAAAACACATAGTAACCAAGGAAAAAGAAAGAAAAATGTATGCTCGGTATGTTTATTTGCATGATGATAGAATCGGAATTGAATTCTTTCATTTTTTTGGTTGTTTTTATTCGCAATAATCTAATTATGAAATTCTATGATATTCTGTTTGAATCATTGAATCAAATGTACCCTACACACACACACACATGGAACATACCTGCTTTAACAGAATATTATGTGTTTCAGTGTCTTTGGGTAATAATTCATTTCCTATTCTGTTATTCCTATTCTGCTACGATGATGATTATGATGATAATAATGATAATGGAAAATGAATATCGATCAGATCATAATGATTCAATTCAATCCTTTAGTCACTATATTTTGCACAATAATGATGACTAATTGCTAATTAGTAAATGTTTTTTCGTTGTTTTGCTGTTGTTGTTATTATTGGAGTATTTGTTATTACATTATAGATTCAAAATCGCAAAAAAAATTGAATGTTTTGCTGCTTGTTTTCCACACTTTCCTATGGCCAAAATAATGACATTAAATGCAGGAAAATTCCACTAATATTGTCTAAAAAGAAATACTTTTTTTTGATGACATTCAAGACAAAAATTCTCATTTATAGGGGTAATAATAATGATGATGATGGCCATATTCTTCTTTTCATAACCAGAAACGAAATTGAAATGAAATCTTTTTTCATTTTTTTTCAATTTCAATTTGGTTTTTCTTTTTCTTCTTCGTTTTTTGACTAAATTAACTAAAATGAATGAAACTCTTTTTTCTCGCTTTTCAATAATAAAGAAGGGATGTTAGAAATTTTTTCATTTTCTCTAAAATATAAATTGAAATTTAAATGTGAAAAAAAACCAGAATCTAACAACGAAAAAAAAAACTAACCAAGAACTCATCAGGCAGACATTATCATCATTGTCATCATCGCCGAATGATGAATAAACACAAGAATGCCCGAGGTTTTTTTTCACTTTACTAAATTCATTTTTTTCTTTGATTGTAAAAAATGAAGAAGAAGAAGAAGAAAACCATGTATGTATTGAAATAATGTAATTTGAAAATTTTTCTTCGTTTAGTTTCTTCTGTGGCCCACTTTTGATTCGGTTATATTTTCTTTCTTTCGAAAAAAAATCAATTCTAATGAATCAGACAAGCAAGCAAAGAATTGACTTGATGTTTTTCTTCTTGTTTGACACTTTTTTTTCCAATTGAAACTTTTTTTTCTTTTCTTTTGTTGTTTTGGTTGGTTGGTTGCTTTCATCAATGAATGAACTCATCAGACGACAACAACAAAAGTTTGTTGATTAAAATAAATAAATTAGCATAAATTAAATGCAAAACAAGAGAAAATGAATGAATGAATGAAAGTTGATGACAATCAAAATAGTAAACCATGTTGTTGTTCTTTGATTCATCACTTATGTTTTTCTGATCGATGTGGGTGTATATAGTCGAAGGAATATTCAGATTCTGCCCATATGAAAAAGATGTCGCTTTTGTCGGTTACTTGGTGTAGAAAAAAAAAATGAAATTCTTCATTTGTTTTTTTCCAATCCAAGAAATTCTTGTTGTTGAAAATGGGAATGAAAGAAGCAAACGAAAACAAAGAACCAATTTAAATTTAAATTCAAATTGACATTCCAATTTAGCAGGCAAAGTTTGTGAATTGAATTGATTTGAAAATGCATTTTTTCGACAACAACAACAAAACAAAACTGGCAGAAAAATCGAGAAAAATGCCTTGATCCAAATTCACAAAAGAATTTTCATCATTTTTTCGTTCGTTCAGAAAAATCAATGAACGAAAAACAAAACAAAAATTTCGTTGTTGGCCCCCCCTGTAATTCAGAAATATTTTTTTGGTTTGTTTGTTTCGGTTGTCATGTGATTTGTTGTAAATCATCATCATTGAATTCCGGACTATTGAAATACCAAAAATTTTTTGTTTTTTTGATTTAAAAAATCCTATTTGACCATGTAAATTCAATGTTATCATCATCATCGTATTGCGTTGTTATGGTTGCCCAACAAAAAAAAAACCAACCACACAAACTGACGAAAAGTTGATTCTTTCATTCATTTTCTTCTTCTTTGGTTATCTTGGCCTATCACCACCAAACCAAACCAAACCAAACATAATGAAATTATTATTTTTTTTTACTACTTATCAGGATGATCTTTCATTCTTTCATTCAGATGTTTGCTTAGTTTCTCTGTATATATTGTATATAAGCAATCGGAAACCGCAAGTTTCTTTTTGTCCTAATGATAGATTTTTTTTTATTATTAGAAAAGCTTTTGACGGTTCAAATGATTTCTTTTGGTTCAGAGTTTGTCATTGTGGTTTTTATGATGCCTGTTTTTTCAAAGATAAGGTGTATGTTTGTTTGTTTGGTAAATTCTTTGGTCACACACACACAATGAAATCTTCTTTTTCTTTGACAAACCACGACTTTTTCTTTCGTAACTTTCTTTTATTTATTATCTAAATTTCAGAATGACATAATCATTTTATTCAATTTCTTTTTCTTTTTTCTTATTTTCTTTCAATATTTTCTTATATATAGTACAACAATGGATTTTAAAGAATTGGAAACATTTTTCCCTGAAGATGATGATAATTTAGAAGATTTATTACCAAAAATTTTTTGGATTTATATAAAAAATATACAATATTCAACAATGTTTTATTTATTTGTATTAATATATGAGGTAAGAGATTGTTTTTTTTTCTTTGCTACTTTTCATCATCACCTCACACTTTTCATTCACCCAACAATATTGATACATTGTTGATACATACTGTATCGATATTGAGAAACTTTCCGTCATAATCGATAATTATGATCTATGTTAGTTAGGCGAAAATTTTTCCGGGAAACAATTCCGTATAACGCACATACAATCCCGAAAAACAACAAAAAAACATTACTTTGGCTGTCGGTCGGTTATTGTTGTTGAAAGTGATAAATATTTGATGATAAAGGAAGAAATTTCCTTTCCTTTGCATTCAATTCATTCATTATTGATTCCTATTAGATTCATAAACACGAACATCAATTCAAAGAATTGTGATTGTGATAAATAAATAAAGCCAATGAAGATTTATTTAGATGAGATTTTTTTTTCATTCATCGATAAATGAATCAATGATGAATTGTCGTGTGCTGTTTGTTGTTTGCTGTTTGTTGTTGAAAATGGAGGTCGATCAAATCACGGCTATATATTCAAATTTTCTATTTGCCTTCACTTTTTCATCATCATCATCATCATCGGAATTGTTTCAGAAACTTCATTGTCTGTTGTTATTTTCCCGGGGAAAATTTCCGAATGAATTTATTTGTTTGTTTTTCTCTTTCTCTGTTGATGATGATGAAACAATTGCCTTATATATCAACAACAACAGCAAAATATTCAAAAAAAAAACAATGTTTGAAAAAAAATTTGCATATTCATTTGTTTTTCCGAGAAAATTTCCCATTTTTTGTTTTGTTTTCGCTTTCGATTAAAACAAACATTGGATTTTAATTTCAAAAATAAAATACAAACTTTCCGAAAACATTCTGAATATTTTTGGCCATATTTGGATGAAAATGGAAAACATTTTTTTCATTTTGAGATTTCCGTCTTTTAAAAACATAAACAAACTAGCTAAACACATGGCGATAGACAAACACAAACAAATGAAATAAAAAAACGTTTAAGTTTTTTTGGTTTTTCTTCCTGAGAAACTTTTTGTCTTTTCCAAAAAACTTTTCAAAACACAAGAAGGGGTTAAATATATTCGTTGTTTCGGAAACGAAGAAAAAACTATGGATAAAATCTTCTTCTTTCGCTTGCTAATAGTGTTTCATCTTGACTTGTCTTTATCTGGTTGTGTGAGGGTTAACAAAAAAAAACATCATTTCCTGCCATTATCATTCGGCTTTGGAGCTGAAAAAATGTTTGTTTCGGCTACATTTGTTTGTCGATTTTGTTTCTTTGTATTTCGTCTCGAAAGACAAACAGCAAAACATTTTCAGGTTAAATTTGAATAATTTTTCTTTCTTCGTTTTCAGCCTTTTATACAATGTATTCAAAGTGTTAAAGAATTAATGGTTTTTTTGTTATACAAAGTTTTTCAAAGATGCTGATGTGAAATAACATGAAATTTTCGCTTAGTTTAAACCGATTAACAAGCCATTATATAAGATGATTTCATGAATATCCTTTTTTGTAAATACCTACTGTTGTTGTTGTTGTTGAACGAACAACAACAACAACAAAAAGTTTCAACAACAACAACAACAAGCTTTGAACTTGTTTTTTTCTGGTTGTCTGTCTGAAGAATGATTCAAAAGTTTCAAAAACAAAAAATCTCACCTCCTTTTTTCTCGATTGAATCTGACTTTGAATTGATGTTTCCAAAAGCAGAGAAAATTCAGTTTCGATTTAATAGGATGTGAAATATTATGATACGAAAAAAACAATCTTCTGATTTAAAAGATTTTTGTTTAAAAAAAAAGAATTCATATCAGCTATTTTAACACCGTAACCCAATTATATTTGGATAAAAAAGCGCCAAAACTTTTTTCTTTGAGTTTTTTTTTCATTTGGTGGATTTAAACCAAACCAAACAAAAAAAAATTCATCGAAATAATGAATTAATTAATGAATAATGGATTCTTCAATTCTTTTCTTGCTTGTCTTCTTTTCTTCGTTATTGTTGTTGTTGGTAATGTTAAGTGCTTTTTCGTTAGTTGGTTGGCTGGTTGGTTGCACGTGAATTTTTCGTTCGTTTGTTCAAAAGAAAAAAAGGTTTTTCCGAAATTCTTCAGCAATTCTTCAATTCTTCGAAAGAAAAGAGAACAACAGAAGCAGACTATATTCGGAATATTAATGAGAATATAAGTGCGTGAGGAATAATAATAATAAAGAAAAACGTAAAAGAAGATTCTGATTCTGTTGTTGATGATGGTGATGGAAGCTCAAATTAATTAGATGTTTTGGCAGCAGCAGTAGCAGCCTATTTTGTCGATTTTTTTTGTTGTTATAAAAATTGGAATTGGAATTTTTTTGAATAGAATTCTGGTAGCTTCATCACAGAATCATTCTATGTATGGTAAGTTGCTACTTACCGGTGGTTTCACTTCTTTCTTTCTTTCTTTCGCTAATGAATCTTTTCTTTTTTTTTCTGGGAAAGTTTCCTTGGGATCGACACCAAATGGTGATGATGATGATGATTGAATGTAATGAATTTTTATTTTCTTCTCACCAGTCATGATGAACCCAAAATGATTTTTTTCCTTTCCTCTGATGCTTTTATTGATTCGTATTGGATTCATTTAATTTCGCTGATGTTTGGTGTTTGGATGATGATGATGGTCATCATTATAGAATCAATTCGAATGAATTTTCCCTCAAGGCTAGTAGTTTTCTGGGATTCCTGTATTTTGATCAACTAGATTTATGATGATGATATATTTACAATTACCGAGACTTATGATTACATAATAAAGTAGTTGGTTCCGGTTTTTTTCGAGAATCCAAAGAATCCGGAACCGAACAGAACGGATATGAAATGATGAAAATATGGCAAGCAAGCAAGCAAACCAACTTAATAATATTTCAATAATATTTCCTCTTTGATTACATAAAATTTTGTTTCTTTAATAACTTTTTTCCATATTTATTCAACAAACTAATAACAAATTCCACATATCTTTTCTCATAGACATTATTCCTATTTGGTTGGCCAAATCGTACATATCCAGGTGCAACAATAGGTAAACGTATTATGGGTTTAAGAGTTGTTAGTTGTGATTATTTGGAATCAATTTCAATGGCAACACCAAATATTGTTCGTATTATGCCGGCAGGTAATATTACACTTGTCAAGTAAGTAACTGAACAAAAAAAAAATAGAGAAAATTTCATTTCAATAATTTTGTTTAACCCCCTTTACGCATATATAGATCATTCTTTCGAACATTGGTAAAATTAATGCCAATCAATAATACCATTCAATGTTTTTATATATTAACATCACGTTATAATCGATCATATTTTGATCAACGAATTGGTTTAATAGTGATTGATATGTCACCATCAGCAATGTTGCAAGTTCAAGCAATTATGGCCAATGCAACTACCAGTAATACATTGCAAAATCAACAACAACAACCACCGCAACAGCAGCCGCAACCAAATTGGAATCGTGGATTTTTGTAACAACGAAAGTGAGGCAAAAACATTGATGAAGAACTGGAACAACGTCAACGTCATTCTCTTTCAATAATACTTTTTTGTTTTTTTTTTGTTTCTCTCTTATTAAATTTACCCTATTGTTACAAGGATTCTTTTCATTCATTTTCTCTTTTCTTGATAATAAAAAAAACAACAAATTCTTGAGAAAAACAAAAACATTGGCGCAATCATTTTTTAACAACAACAATTTCTCTTTCTTATAAACATACGGTGGCTGTGTTTTATATGTTTTTTTTAAAAGCTAATATTTCGTTGCATAGTGGATGTTTGTTGTTTGTTGTAATAAATTACATTCAATAAATCTTGGAACCATCAGTGTATCAAAAACAAAAAACAAAAAAAGTTTCTTCTTCGTAGTCGTCTGTGCAAGGAGAAAACTTTTTTCTTTTTCTTTTTCTGGAGAAAGAGTACAAAGTGATTTATCCCAAAGAACATGGAGCAAACAAACAATAAGTGTAGAGGGATAAGTGTTTGAAATGAAAATTTTTTGTTTTTTAGTGAAACAAATTGGAAAATTTGTAGAGAAAAAACAATTGAAAAAAACTTACGAAAAGTTTTTAGGCATCCAAAAATATACAGGAATAACAAAAAACAAAACAGTGTGGCTTTTTTTTAATTGAATTTTTATTTTCATTTTTCAGCTTGGATATTTTTGGTCCATTTTCCCCAGCAATTTTTTTTCTCCCATATTGACCAATGGTCAATATGTGCGTCGTATTGGTTGGCCGGTGTATTTACACAATGATTGATTATCGTTGACTTTTTTTTCTCTTGAAAAAAAAGTAGAAATAGGGTAACTTTTGCAAGAAAAATTGGAACTTTATTATTCTGATTATTTGATAAATAGTCAAACGATTTACCTTTACCGGGGAAGTTTTTCTTTTTCCACACGAAAATTTTTGACAACCAAGGAAAAATATCTTTATTCATTCATTTTTCTTTGGTTTTTTTCCAAAGACTTTTGGGAGAAAAGGTCTAATGATTATTCGGTTGTTTGTTTTGTTTTGTTTTGTTTATTGGGGGGCTTGTTTGTTTGTTTATTTGGATTCGATTTCTCAGTGTGTGTTTAGCCAGAAGAAAACTGACAAACTTCAAGTCAAATCCTCGATTGACATTATGTTCAGTAGTGGAAGAGAGAGATCAGCAGATTTTTTTTCTTCTTAATTGCAAACAGGCTGGATCGAAAATTGAATTGGATTCAATATCGTCGCCAACGAGAGTGGTTGTTGGCCGGAACAATCGAATTCAATTAACAGCCAAACAATAAGGGAGGAAGAAAAAGAAAAGCAATGACAGTCTTCAGTAAGGGAGGAAAAAAAGAAATCAAAGCAGCAGTACAAACCTCCGAAAGAAAACCATTTAAGAAAAGCAAAAAAACAGAAAGATATTTTGGTGTGTACGATGGTGGAGGAAAGTAAAAAGCATTTTGAAAATGAAAAGTTTTTTTTGCGGGTTATCTATCGTATCGTCAGTCGGGTCGGTCGGTTATTCAATGATTAACGTACTTTTTTCATTCATTCATTCATACCGTATGGTCGGATGGATGATTGTTTGGGATGAATGAATTGAATGAATGAATTCCAATATAGAGAGATGAAATGAAAGTTTTTTCTTTCTTTCTTTTTCTTTTTCTTTTCAACTTCACCATCAAAATGTTGTTTGGTTCATTCGACCGACCTAACTGATCGATCCATTCATTCATTCATTCAGTCATTTAGTTTAGTTTAGGGTTGGCGTGATCAATGTTTTGTTTTCTTCTTCTTCTTTTCATTCGAATGCCATGGGGCTTCAGTTAGTGGTTTAGGACCTCATTATTGTTGTTGTCGTCGATTTTCCTAGGAAAAATTCCGACGACCATTGATGAAATTTGATGACATTTGTCACAATAACACAAACACTGTAAGGTGGTGTATTTTTTCCCAATGACCCAAAAATTATCATGTGACCTTTATTCAAATATCGTTGATGATGACTACCGTTTCGTTATTTGTTGTGATCCGATATTTTCAAGTTTGAAAAAACCACAAAATCCAATTTTTGTTGTTGTTGAAAACAGGATTTGAAATTCGATAGTCATAATCATCACAATGATAATGATCTACAAATCCTATTTCGATATGAAATGACACTTGAAACAAAAACAATTCATTTGATTTGAGAATTTTTATTCAAATTCGTGATTAGAATTTTGTTGTTATTGTTGTTGTTGATATAAATTCTTGATGATGATGATAATCAACTGCCAGAAAATCGATAAAATCTATATAGAATTTATGTCTTTTTTTGATGAATTTATCTCAGTTGTTTTTCGTTTACTTTTTTTCGGGAATCGAATAAAAAAAAGAATGATATTCGAATACAAAATTTATGAATGAACCATATGTAGTAGCAGTTTAAATAATAGCTAATACACACATCCGTGTTTTGATAAAAATTGATAAGTTTTCTCATCTCCAACTATCAATCGAACCACTACTACACGATGGTTGGGTTTTTTTTCCGCAAAAAGATTATATTGAAAATAGTAAGAGAGGAGGAGGAGAAGGAGAAAGAGGAGGAGACCATCATGCGCATCTAAAACTAACAGACAACAAAACGAACAGACCGAAAAAAAAACTAACATGCAAAATCCAATTCATTCATTCATTCATTGGATATCAATTCGTATGGATGTTTTGTTAATATTCTTATTTCCAAAAGAAAAAAAAACTGTGTGTTCAAAGTGTGTTGTGTTCAATAGCTGTTGCTTCATCTTTATCACCAACCACCTCTCTCTCTATTCAAAAAAGAAGAAATTTGATCAACTTTCAATCAATCGATCGATCGATTGATTCAGAGCCCTAGAGATAAATTTTTTTTGGATCGAAATTGTTTTGGTATGCAAATTTTCTCCTTTTCTTCGTTGATTCTATCATTGTAAATCATCATTTGTTTGTTGAACTGGTGTGTGTTTTGCGTTCTGTGTTTGGTTGTGTTACAGTTGATATATTTTGGATACCCTGAAGGGTTGACATACCAAAAAAAAACCAAAAAATCATCGATTCTCTTTCTCTGTCTAAATGTTAAAGTTTGTTTTGTTTATTTACTTAACTGTGAACTGAACCGAATGTGTATGCAGGTGTTCAGCAAAAACAGAAGCAAAATAAGTAAGAAAAAAAACGCCTAACAACAATCAACCATCGACAAGACGAAGAAAATCTTCGAATAAAAAAGGTCATCGGTCCTTCATTTATCATCAAACACATACCATTCATTCATTTTCTGGTACGAATCTTTCTTTGCATTTTTGCATTTATTTATGACTATCATCATTTTGAATGATTAGAAAAAAAAGAGATTAATTTTTCGTTCGTTTGCATCGTATAAATTAAATTAAATTAATTTAAAAAAAAAATGTTTTTTTTCAGTTAGTTAGTTAGTTTGAATGTTCCGGGTCGAGTCCATTTGAGAGAGAGATAGAGAGGCTACAAAAGTGTTAAAAAATCTGATAAGTTTGTTGTCAACAGAAAATTTCAAAACTTTAAAAGGGGTAATATGATAGGAAAAAACTAAGGTGTGCTGGTGATTTATATTCAAAAGATGGTTAAGAAAGGTGGTTAAAGGATGGTTAAAAAATGTCACCAAACAATGTGTCGAGAATTATGAATCCGCGGATTTTGGAAAAAGTAAAGCCAAGCCATCATTATTATTGTGATAATAGAAATCGTTGGATTTGGTTGATGATCATCATCATTGGATTGGTTAATGTTTTCTATTTGATTTTGTCTAGCGTTTTGACAAATGACAATTTTTTTGTGCTTTAAAAAATCTCTGTGTCTGTGTGTCTGTGTGTGTGGATATTGCTACTTATCATGATTATTTTGCTGGATGATGGTTAGTGATGATAATGATGAGGATGAGGGCATATAAAACATTATTTGAATCATTAAGGGTTAATTGAATTTATTTTTATTTTTTTAGTTTCAAGAATGAGTTCAATGTTCAATGTCCCCATTGTTGTTGCTGTTGTCGTTAGAAAATAACCCCGAAAAAGAACATGTAGGAATTGGAAATTTATTCACCACCACCACCATGTTAATCGAATTGATATCTTTTCTGATCTGATCTGTGTATTTTCACTGTTATTTCTCAATTCTGTACAGAAAAATGTTTCCAATTTCATTGATTGTATATTAAAAAAAAAAATGATAATCTTTGTTGTTAATAATGGTCATCATCATCATGTTGTTTGAACATTGGATGTTTTTGTCTGGAGCCAAAGAAGAAAAAATAGCTTGCATTTTCATTTCCCTTCAACATTCAGCAAGATAATTCGATTTATTTCATCTCTCTTCGCTCTGTGAATATATAAGTTTTTCATTTCTCTCTCCTCTAAATGTCGGATTTAATTCAATTTAAATCTCATCGTTTGTTGTTGTTGTTTTCTGTTTCTGGATCGTTATTTTCTGCTGCTGTTTTTTCCTTCTTTTTCCTACATTTCAATTGAATTGAATTGAATTGAAATGTTTTCTCTGCCAGCAGTCGAAACGAAAGAAAAAAAAAGAAGCTTAATTTTCTCAATTGGTTGTTGATGATTGGATGATAGTTTATGTATGTAATGTTTGTTGGATATTCAATAAATTGAATTGATTCACTTTAGCTGATGACATTTGATGATATGGTATTTAATCAGTACAAAACAAAAAAGAAAAAGAAAAGAAAAAAAAGAGTAAACGACTGTAAACGATCAGACAACAGCAAAGAATATATTATCATCATTATGTGAATGAATGAATGATTCATCTCAGAATCACAGTTTGTTTTTTTCCCCGCCATTTAAAATAGATGAAAATTGCCCACCATCATGATGATGATAATCACGATGATGATGATGATGATGATAATGATGGCGGCAACTAACCAAAAAATTGAAAAATCAGTTTTTTTTTGAAAAACACAAGTTTTGATTCTGTTTAAGAATGTTTCACCAAAGAATTTTCACCAGAAAATAAGCTTATAAAGCAGCAGCAGCTTGGGGGATAATTTTTTCCACTATTTCCACTTTTGTTGTTGTTTTGTTTATAAAAAAAAAGTAAATTCACATCATGTTTTTCCATTTTGTTGTTTTGGATCCAAATCGAATCGAAATAGAAAATAAATAAATAAAAAGAGAGAGAGAGAGAGAGAGAGAGAGAGAGAGAGAGCCAACAACAACATCTGGAACCCTGTACATATTACTAAAAAACTCTATGTGGATCTCTTCTTCTTTGGAAAAAAAAATAAAAAAAAAAACGTATCCATCGAATCTGATCTGAATTTTTTCGTTTCTTTTGGTTTTGGTTTGGTCGATATTATTCTTTTTTTCCCCTCATAATATTTGTAATTGTACAACGATTGTGCAACGAAAAAAAAACTGAATGTGAAAAAACTTTTCTTCTGAATGATGTTCAAGTGAGAAAAAAAATGGAATTTTCATTCAATTCATTTTTTGATTGACAGCATTATTTTCTGCAAAGTGCTGCACTATTTCTACCTTCTTATCGAATTTGAATATCGATCGATCCATATATATCGATATTATTATGATTATGATTGATTGATTAATCACCATCATTCTCTGTTTACATTTTCTTTTTTCAATTGAAATTGTGGTCATATTGGGGTTTTTCTTTTGTTTTTTCCTATTAATATTTCCGATCTAAATCTCCACTCCATTGGTTTTTGTTTGATTTGGTTTAGTTTGACATATGACATTTTTACAATCAGATTTGTGACCTCCCAAAGTGTTATGTATACACACTTCTGTTTGATTTAGAGTGTGTTTTTTGTTTCGATATGTAATTCTTGTGTGTGTTTGATCAAGATGTGACAAGTCAATTCGTGTGTGTCTTTTTTTGTCTATAAAAACACTGCTTAAAAATGTCAACTAAAATGTTTGATTGACAGCAGTTAAGGCTTTCAATTACATTCGGTTGATCAACTTGTCCTGTGTGTGGTGTCACACAGTATGTATGACTCATTGAATAAATCAAAAAAAAAGAAAGAATTCAATTCAAGAATTTTGATTTTCTCTAAACTGATTTTTGGCAACTTGTGAGGTATAAACAAACAGGAAAAATTTTTCCATTTTTAGAGAAAACTTATGGAAAAAAACAACAAGGAAAATAAAGTCATCATAATTTATTTGAAGCAAAAAAAAAAGAGGTAAAATGATTACCTGCATTTTTCTACTTGATTGTTTACCTGTGTGTGTGTGTGGTGATTGTATGGTGCTTGGTGTGGTATAAATTACATTTTTCTTTCTGTTTTGTTTTCAAGCCAGGTAAAAAAAACAAAACAAAAAATAATTAACTTGTCTGAAGTAAGAACCGAAGTCGTTTTCAAAGTTTTTTTCAATTTACATTTTTTTTCTTTCCTTGCTTTTCACTTACCTAAACATTATTTATTGTCACTGAATTCACTTCACTTCTTTTCTTCACCTTTGAACAATTCAATCGTCCACTTCGTTGCTTAATTATTTTCTTCTTGTTGTTGAATGTCCTTGAAGAAAAAAAAGAGACCAACCTCGACAATCATATATAATCATCCGGAATGATGCATTCATTATTTTTTTTCTGTAAAGTTTTTCGACCCCATGTTGACCAAAAACAGAAAAAAGAGAAAAAACTTTTCGGAAAACTTATTCATTATGAAAGGTGTTTTTATTTTTCGTTAAACAAAAGGGTAATAATCATATATTACCTAAGGATGTTATCATTTTTCTTGTGTTTTTGTTTCTGTTTTTGTTTCTGATTATATAAAGACATCAACTTTATCAAGTGACAAGTGTAATGATTCCTCTTCTTCTTTACTTTCTCGAAATAATTCTGAAATTTATGTTCATTTTGGTTTGTCGAATCAATGGAAGGAAAAGAAACATCTTTTGATCAGCCTGAGCCTCTCTCTCTTTTGGTGATTTGGAAATCAATTTTTGGAAAGCAAAAGAAGTTTTTCGAAAACTCAATTTGAAAAAAAATGATGGAATTTTTTTTTTGCTGTAAATTCCTGGTAATTCAATTCGAATGTTTTGAACATGAAATTTTACTTAGTTAAGTTTTTTTTCATTCCATTTCATTTCATCAACTTCTTCATCATCAACTGAGAGACAGAGAAAATAAAGTTTACTTTAAAACAAGAACCAACCAAAAATCTCATTTTCTTTTGATTTTTTACGGATTCGATTACAATTTTCCGGAAGAAAATTGGGAAAAGATTTCTGAAAAGTTTTCCAAAAAGAAAATGAGAGATGTCCTAATGTTTGTCTTGTCCAGGGAATATTCTTGTTTTCGGAAGAATATTCTTTCTTGTAATCATCATCAGCATCATCAACAGTCAATTTTGAATGTAAAAAACAAAAATCGATTGAACAAACATTATTCAATGATGATTATGATGATGACTAAAAATGTAAATTTAATGTTGTTGTTGTCGAAGATGATGTTCAAAAAATATTCCCATGTTGGTCAAATATGTTAATAATTTTGGCCTAAATAAAAACTTTTTTCTTCATTACTTTGTAGAAGGGAAAATTTCCGAGAAATATTTGTTTTTTGATTACCCGCAAAAGATTCTTGTAAACTTTTTTTTTCTCCCCATTCACAGTATTCTTCCATAAGGAATTGTGTTTAATAATTTTTTTCTCTTTTACTTTTTCTAGAATTTTGCCCAATGGATAATGTTCTCCCATAGGATGATTCAAAACCGAATGATTCTCACTTTTTTTTAGATCGAATTTGGTTCAATGAAAAAAACTTTTTCGTTCCTGATGCCACCAGCTGGTCAGTTTGTTAAAGTTGGATTCGTTTTTCATCAACATCAGTTTTTTTCGGGATTTTTTCGTTTTTTAATTCACCGGATTTGTTCATATCACATTCATTCCACAGTATTCTTTTTTAAATGAACCAAACGAACCCAAAAAATTGAATTATCGAGTGGATAAAAAACAGAGGAAAAAAAGCCGAATTCTTCTTCGCTTGTATCCTGGAGCATATTCTTCTTCTTTTTTGGTTCCAGAACATCTTTTTTGGTGATTAATGTGGTTAATTTCAATTTGAATTTCAGAAAATCAACAACAACAAAGTCATTGGCCTTTTTGTTTTTCAACAAATATCTTCTCTGTGTGTCTGTGCTGTGTTTGAATTGTGTTCGTGTTTTATTTTTTTTGTGTTTTTAGTGCGATGATCCTGGATCAGGGTCTTATGTTTTTTACTGTGTTTTTTATAGTGTCTATGGTTGTGGTGATAAGTGAGCATCTTTGATTATCAACATCAGCATTGTGAATAAGCAAAATCAACGATAAAAATCAACGATAAAAATGGCAGCATCTACTTCACATAAGATTGGTGGTCAATTATATACCACTGAATCAATGTTATTACATTTGCTATCAAGATTAGATCAAGCAAGACAACGTACACAACAAGTACGTCGTAAACGTTTTGGCCGTCATGAACCAATATCATTAGCAACAATGCGTTATGAATTATGTACATTTGATCTTTGGAGATCAATTATTGCCGAATGTTTAGCATCATTTTTATATGTATTTTTATTATGTTCAACACATTTAACATGGAATGGATCAAATTTTATATTTAATTCAAACACACAACCAAATTGGTTAATAATATCATTATGTTCTGGTTTTACAATGGCAACATTAATACATTGTTTTGGTCATATTAGTGGTGGTCATATTAATCCAGCCGTTACAATATCATTTCTGATAACAAAACGTATTTCACCATTACGAACAATTTTATATATTTTAGCACATTGTACGGGCGCTATTGCCGGTGCTGCATTACTTTATGGGTATGTATTCATTTTTTCATTTTCCAGCTTAAAATGCTGATTTCATTTTGCTGTTTTTCTGCTTATCTAAGCCAAAAAAAGCAAGAAAATCTTTTTTCCCCTTTGCATAACAAGCTGCTGCCATCGATTCGCGATGCATATACAAATCACGAATCGATTACTAATTAATTAGAATTATGATCAGAATGATGAACACGTGTGTGTTTCAGCTTTGAAAAGTTTTACTGATGATTCATTTTCAGCCATTAATAGTTTTCGAATGAATATTTTTTGAAGTGAACAAAAAACTTTCCAGAAAAACAAAAAAATTAACATTTTTCTTTTGTCTATGGTTTCTGTTGTTGGTAAAAATTCCATTATATCAGTCGTGACCCGATGAACCTTTTTTTTGTTGAATGATTGATAACGTTTTGACATGGACCTGGTCCGCATTGGGTCTGCAATTTTGTGTTGTTTTTTTGATCGATCAAGAGCCCACACTACCTGTCTGTATTTTTTTGCAAATTGTTTTTTTTTCAAGAAAAAACGAATTCGTGTCTTGTTTCATGTCTGAAAGTAATTAGTTTATGGTTTCGATTTTTTTGGTTTTTGGTTTTGTGGTCCAAATTTTTGGCCAACGATAATTGCCGTTTACCTGATTTAAAACAGANGGTCATATTAATCCAGCCGTTACAATATCATTTCTAATAACAAAACGTATTTCACCATTACGAACAATTTTATATATTTTAGCACATTGTACGGGCGCTATTGCCGGTGCTGCATTACTTTATGGGTATGTATTCATTTTTTCATTTTTCAGCTTAAAAATGCTGATTCTTTTTCATTTTTCGCTTAGCCAAGCCAAAAAATTTTTTCCCCTTTGCATAACAAGCTGCTGCCATCGATTCGCTGCTGCATACAAATCACGAATCGATTATTAATTAATTAGAATTATGATCAGAATGATGAACACGTGTGTGTTTCAGCTTTTGCAAGTTTTACTGATGATTCATTTTCAGCCATTAATAGTTTTCATAGGGTTTTTCGTGTGTGTGTATGATAAAATGAGAATCACTACATGGCTAATGAATTTTTTTGGTTGAAAAACTTTCCAGAAAAACAAAAAATTAACATTTTTCTTTTGTCTATGGTTGTTGTTGTTGGTAAAAATTCCATTATATTAGTCGTGACCCGATGAACCTTTTTTTTGTTTTGTTTTGTTGAATGATTGATAACATTTTGACATGGACCTGGTCCACATTGGGTCTGCATTATATTTTTTGTGTTTTTTGATCGATCAAGAGCCCACTCTATCTGTCTGTATTTTTTTGGAAATTGTTTTTTTTTCAAGAAAAAACGAATTCGTGTCTTGTTTCATGTCTGAAAGTAATTAGTTTATGGTTTCGATTTTTTTGGTTTTTGGTTTTGTGGTCCAAATTTTTGGCCAACGATAATTGCCGTTTACCTGATTTAAAACAGAACCAAACAGAAAAATTTTTCGCCAAAAAAATCAATTTTTTTTCAAGTGAAAAAAAATTTCCTGAAAAGTTTCTTTGGTTTGTTTTTTCAGCAATGAATGATATTGGCCACTGGCCATTGTTTTTTGTTTTTGTTTTTTTGGTTCATTTAAGATCACAAACTTTTCTCTTATTTTTTTTTTTTTTTTTTTTTTTTTTTTTTTTTTTTTTCCCCAAATATTTTTTTTTTTTTGCGGGTTTTTAATAATTTTATTTATTTTTG